TTCGACAAATACCTTACTTAAAAGATTAATTAATTAAAATAACAAAGTTAGTGTCATTTCCCGGCTAGATAAGAAAGTTATGTTCAGTCTGTTACCTCCACGCGATTCCTAGCCAAAATTGAGGTTTGTAAAGACGATTATTTGCTAAAGTTAATCGTTTTCGAACTAAATGAGTGGACTTAAAAGTTCATACACCGTGTATAATAATTGTCCTAATATCCATTTTAAGTTGCTTTATTCTTGGCCCTTGATGCTCCAAGAATCAAATTAATAATTTTTCAATTAGTACAAAAATTATAACAGCGTGTCGCTTAAAAAATGATAATTGAAAGAAGATAAAACACTTAGCCACAACTTCACCTTGTTTGCGTCAATGCGAGAGATAAGTTATCTCATTAATCTTGTTGGTACCATTCATCAATCACTGGCCGTGTTTACCGAATCGATGCATTCAAGCAGCATTTAATACAGGGGATTTTACCCTTCCGCACCTCTCTTGGCCGCCTTTTCCCAGATGGAGTACGAGAAGTGGTACTGAGAAAATTGTCGTCGGGAGGAGGAGGCCGAAGAAGAAGCGACAAGAGCGAGAGAGCCCACGAACCGGTGGTTTAAAGAGGTCATCGAACTTTTCACAGAATCATGGACATACAAACACACACGGCCCAGGGAAGGGTTAGCTTCAAAAAAACACTTGTTCCATCCAATAACCAACCGATATCACGTTAAAAAGTTTTTTGAACTGAAAAAAGAAAATTGTCTCTTTAAGAAAAGTAATTGATACAAATGTACTATAAAAGACAAGGGTATACTGAATAAAGTAAAATCTTGTTGGTACCATTCATCAATCATCGGCTGTATTTACCGATTCGGTGTAGCATTACTGCTTTTCGTTTTCTCGTGTGCTTTTTTTTTTTTAATAATTTCGTTCAGCAGTAATTTGATAATTGACCATTTCCAATTTCCTTTTCGTAATGACCTTCTCTTAGTTTAAACAGTCGTTTCTGTTCTCCGATCTGTGGAACCAGGAAATGGATTAAATGAACCTCCATATCGGTATTGGTAAATAGAATTTCCCTGTTTTAACTTGCAATTTACTCGCACGGACTTTTACCCTGATCGAAATGCATATGGGTATTTACACGTATTATATTAATTATGGAAATAAATTATCTCTTAACAGTATGGGCATGGATCGCATCGATTCGTCTCAATTTTATACCCAATAAGTACAAAATATACTGATTCATTCAATTAATTAATCTTTATGTAAGGTATTAGATGAGATAGAAAAGACAGCGTCACGAGCGGGATTTGAACTTATGACCCTCGGCTAAATACGCAGCTACCTACCACTTGAGCTATCGTGACTTCGATCCACTCGGACACTAACTTCCCATCTCAAAACCTCACCTTTCGAATTTTTCCTCCTTTTTACCATGCTTCAAATGTGTAATCTATTCGATTCTCGGCGACAAATGAAATGGCCACGGAGAGGTGTCGTGGTCCGATTGACCGAATAACTATTTTCTTCGAATGGATCGATAGCTCAAGTGGTAGAGCAGCGGCGAATTTAGCCGAGGGTCATGGGTTCGAATCCCTCTCGTGTCGCTGACTTTTCTATCTCATCCCATACCTTACATAAAGATTAATTAATTGAAAAAAGTTATTCGGTCACTCGGACCACGAACTCTAATGAATACTGATTTATGTTGATGCTCTGTAACAGAATACAAAGCAGACCTGGCTGGATTTATAGTTTAAGAACCATTATTTAAAATATTAAAATTAATTGTTGCTGTATAAACAAAGAATATTATTTTAATGTGTTTAATTAGCGGACCCAACCCCTGTGACGGTTGGGAGACGCCATTCGAATAACAATCGTTTCTGTATCGGATGGACCGTTTAATTCTTTGCGAGGCACGTTTTCTGATAGGATTCTTTGTACGGTACGAGCCAGGTGGGCAGGACAGTCATTGCGGATAAGATTTGGAAAGAACAAGGAAAATAAAAGTGTGACAAACAAATAAAAACGCCTTCGTAATCAAATGTCATCGCAAGGTGAAAATGCCCTTTCCGGTTTTGCCAAATCAGATCGGGTTTTCGAAACCTGCTGAGCCGTGATTCTGTCCGTTTGGGACGGATTGATGCCGATTTTTAACTTCCTTTTGAACTTACTTTCCGATCAATTTCTGGTAAGAAAGGAAAGAAGGTCAAAGATCTTTCAAAAATCCATGTTTGCCATGTAAACATTATTTACAAGAAAAGTAGACGATATTTAAGTTTTTAAAATATTTTTCTTTATATTTAGCCATTTATTATCACTAAATTGTACATTGTATGGTGGAAAGATAGAATAAATAATATAATTAAAATTAATTAAGGTTTTTAGTTGATATAAAAAAAGTCAATGGCACGAGCGGGATTCGAACCCACGATCTTCGGCTAGATTCGCCGCTGCTCTACTACTCGATCCACTCGGACACCAACTTCTTATCTCAATCCCACGTTTTGAGTTTTCCCTCCTTTTTGCCATTTTTTAAATGTGTAATCGGATTGGATCCAATCGGTGTCCGAGTGGATCGAGGTCACGATAACTCGAGTGGTAGAGCAGCGGCGGCGTATCTAGCCGAAGATCGTGGGTTCGAATCCCGCTCGTGCCATTGACTTTTTTATCTCAACTAAAAACCTTAATTGTAATTTATTAATTGGTCAAGGGGACCACGAAATTAGTGAATTTAGTATAATTAAATAATTATTTGGAGATTGTAAGATGTGGGTCTGCTGTAACGTAGGTTTTAGAAAAACTTTATCGTGCCAACGTTTCGTTCTTCATAGAGAACATCTTCAGGGCTCAAATTGTTTGTTTTCTGTGTAGATGTGTCATTCTTGTGTGTCATATTGAGAGTACCACGACACACAAATATTAAATCTTAATAAAGATCGAAACGTTGGCACGATAAAGAAAATGTTTTCTAAAACCACACCAGACCTCATCTCACGATTTCCAAATAATCATTAACTAACGATCACTAAACACCACACATAATTAAATAATTTGAAAGGCTGATTTTGGATTTATAAAGCGCAAATTCACACGTGAAAAGTTGAGCCTATCACTTCTCGCAGTTTTTTCTCCCCAGCCACCGAGGCTGAGGTCCGGGTGCTGTGTCAACACCTAGGTCAATTCAGCACCCACCTACGTAGTTTCTAGAACCAAAACCATTCACACTCTCATTCTTAAAATTAATTTTTTCCTATTTACAAATAATTCACTCAATTGGTGGTGGAGTACTCGATATTCCTTCATCACCCTTTATTCCTAGTATTCCTAGTTGATGGTCTATGGGGTACTTTGCCATAGGCCCTCTCATACAACACATTCACGCTTGTAAATACTTTCACTCTCAGCACATGCCAGAGACACAAAATTATATACAGTAAAACGACCCTTTTTCCTCCAAGTATTGGTACAGTGAACTCGGATGATCGCTGCAATGTAAACTGTAATGCATTTTATAGGCGAATGTTCTATCCTGGCAGATTTTCGTTTGATTTATTAAAACAGAAGTTCTAATTTTATGATCTAATGATCAGTGTTCAGCCATTTTAAATGGAGACAGTTGGGATGATTTTTATTCATAAGCCATTGCTGCTTTAAAACAGAAAATTCACCACGTTTTTGGTGAATGAATTTAATTCTAATTAATTTTCATTTATTAAAAAGTAATATTTTGCTTAATTTTAATATGTTTACTTCTGTATTTAGTATTTATTTGGATATGTAACCATCCCGGTCGTGGGTTCGAATCCCGCTCGTGACACTAACTTTTCCATTTCAAGCAAAACCTTACATAAAAAGATGAATTAATTGAAAGTAGTAATTTTGTCAATAGACCACCTAATAACTAAATACAACGGAGTTATTATCAATGTTGATCTCCTTTTTTTGTATTGTATTTCTTTATAGTTAAATAAATTTTTCGTTCCTATATTTTTGAAAATTTTTAAATAATTTATAAATCCAAAAGAAGAGGAAGTTTCCAATATTAAAGGTTCAAAACTGTCCAATCCAACAACCAACATTCAAAAAGTATCACATTGGCAAATAAACCTGTATAACTGCATATATATAAAAGACTCTAAAGTTCTCTGAATTAACTGCAATGGTCAAACGATCCAAAAACACCAGGGCTTACAGGAAGAACGGGAGAGAAAACGCGCAGACATCCGATTGAGAGTCGCTGAGCTGACAAACCATAAAACGGTAAAAGCGAAACCAAGATATCTGATACAAACAGATCACCGATAAAAAATTGCTTAGAAAACTGTTTTCATACAGTTTTCCAAGAAAATTCTTAAATTGCTTGGAATCAAATCCAGAACCGCTAATGTGACAAAACGAGGGTTCTGGAACCGCGGATCCCAAATCACAGGAGTATTCCAAACGAATTTCTATTGTCCGGCCCACTTTTCATCGTCAGTAGTGTTAAATCAAAATATTGTACAACCATTGTCCCAGCTTATCCAAACATCCGGCAAGTCGGTGGGACGGGAAAGGTGTCGGAAGGTTGCCCAAGAATTTCTTCTCCGTTCTCCATTGTCTTACCTGGCATTTGCCGAAATGACATTCAACTCTTCCCCTTTCTTCAAACATGAATGATTTACTAGAGACAATACAAATTGAATAATACATCGGGGAACGTCGCATTTCGAATGACCCGCAGCCGTCCTTGGAAACCGTGGGTGTAGACAGTCAAATGCTAATTACTCATTTCCTTACGATTAACCTATTATTTGCCCTCTCGCTTCCTTCTTGATTTCTACCTTAAATTACAGCTCTTTTCTTTTGTTTTCACAAAGCGAATCGAGTTGAAAAAGATTTACTCTTAATTTTATGTTAAATAATGTAGCCAAGGCTTGTCACTTTGACCATATCTATTGCATACGCCCGTTAGAAATGAATAATATTAATTTTCTCCTTTTTCTTTTTGTTACAGTCATATCACACAAACGACGACATGGGAAGATCCGAGAAAAACAGCAGCGGCCCAGCAGCAGAGGAGTCAAGAAATGCTGAACACAGTACCGACATCACCGCACCCTCCTACCTCGCCTCAACCGCACCAAAGTCAGTCAATGAGCTCGCTCACTTTTCTCACCTTTATCCATTTAAATCATTATGTTCTGCATGCCACTTTGCGTTTACATTAGAAGAACACTGGATGTTTCAAGCTATTAGCGCCTAGGCTGAAGAACGTGACATTACTCTTAGTTAAATTTAACCGGTGACCTTTTCTAGGATATGGAAAATCGCGGTCAACCGGCAACGCCCATTTCGGCACACAAAACCCCCTTTATTGACATTATCAGGGTACATTCCCAAATAGCGCATTTGTATGTTCAATCACGAAAGTCTACCAGGTTGTTAAACGGTGATTATTAATCAGTTTGGAAAGATCGTGTACCGTTGTATTATAATTGACAGTAAAGTACAAAACAAGCAATATTGGACGTATTGTAAGATTTCTTTTAGGCGAAATTGATAGTATGTCCCATCTAAAAATTTATATAGTTTTTGTGTTTAGAATCAACTATTATCACAGCCACCAATCCAAGGAATCAAAAGTGAAGCAGGCTTTTGATATCCCCAAATTTTCTGTTTATACAAATTCAGATAGGGCTGGTTGTTGAGCTCAGATTACTATTTCTATTCGATTCTATTTGAGACCTTTGCTACGTATTAACCTCCTGGGTGGTCTGCGAATTGATGGGGTCCGTTTGTCAGTTTGGCCATTACTGATAATCTTTGGATCTGCCTCGTCTCTCCCTCTTTGTCCTTGGTGGACGAGTTTTGAATTTACGCCATGATCGAGAAAAACGACCAAGAAGACTTAATGTCCCTGTTCCCAGGGATCACCGAACGAGCGAGGCGACCCACCACGTCCACTCGGGACGCAGTGCAAAAAAACGCCGTTATTACATATAACCGAAGAATATAAAAGGATGACCAGTAATAATGCGTACTGCTGCACCTGTTTATTATTAGAGTCCATTTGAATGCAGTAAGTGGATTTTATTCACAGTTATTTATTTCCCTCGGCCGGAAGCGGTCGACTATTTTTGATCACGTGTGAGCATGTTTGCCGGATTTTGACTCGTGAAAAGAATCCGTGAATTATCGCTCTGAAGACTGGAAACGGCAGTAATCGCGATGTTCCCCACCTTTAACGAAACTCTTAAAAGTGAATTTATTTACGGTCCCGAGTCAAAACAACTCGTCCGTGCCTTATCTACGTACAGAACGATTTTTAACGGGCACCTTTGTATTTTAGCAATTTGTGCTATCTTTCCCTGGAAACTCAGTATGTGATCTGCTCTTAATTAGCGCATACAACTTGTCTTATTTTTTTTTTTTTTTACGGATAGAGAGGCATGATAGACGAGGAAAAGATAGAAACCAGAGTTAGAAAGGCAGTATTAAAAAATAGAAGACAAAGAGAAAGTTAAAGAGTAGTGTTAACGAGAGAGATGAAGAGAGAGTGAGAGAGATGGAGAGAGAGTGAGAGAGATGGAGGGAGGGAGAGATGATAGACGAGGAAGAGATAGAAACTTGAGTTAGAGAGGTAGTACCAAAAGATATCAGTCAAAGAGAACGTTAAAGAGTAATGATAAAGAGGGAGAGAGAGAGAAATAGTGAGAGTGATGGAGAGAGAGGTGATAAACGAGGAAAAGATAGAAACTTGAGTTAGAGAGGTAGTACTAAAAGATAAAAGAGAAAGTTAAAGAAAGAGTGTGAGAGAGAGAGAGAGAGAGAGAGAGAGAGAATGAGTTAGTGACGATATAAAAGAGATTGATATTGACGGAAGGAACGTTAATGATGAACGAGTGTGTGTAAGCTAATGGATGTAAATATTGTGTATGTGAGAAAGGAACTTGAATTATGAGTAAGGGTGCAAATGAATGTGTGACGGGTAAGCTTTGGGTAAGGTTGACAATTTTGTTTATGTAATCGTTACTAGCCTTTCAAAATCCATCAAAGAAAGAGGAAAGATGGAGGTAGATATAGATAGATAGATAGTGAGAGGAGAGAGAGAGAGAGAGAGAGAGAGAGAGAGAGAGAGAGAGAGAGAGAGTAGTGAGGATATAAAAGAGATTGAGATCAACTGAAGGAACGTTAATGATGAATGTGAAGCTAATGGAAGCAAATATTGTGAATGTGAGAAAGGAACTTGAATTATAAATAAGGGTGCAAATGAATGTGTGAGAGTTAAGCTAATGGGAAGTAAATATTTGAATATTAGGGAAATAACGTGAATGATGAGTAAGGGTGTGAGTACGAGCAAATGGGATGTAAATATTGTGAATGTGAGAAAGGACCGTGAATGTTGAATAAAGGATGTGAATAACTGTAAGAGGGTAAACTAATTGGAAGTAAATATTGTGAATGTGAGAGAAACAACGTGAATGATGAGTCGATGTAAATGAATTGAGCGTGAATAAAGAATGGTGATTTAAGAGTGCGAATGATAGGAAAGCAAGAGTGCATTGCGAATAAGAAGGAGAATGAAAGAAGTATGAACTTAACAGTAAATCATAAAAGAAATGGTGTGTATTGAAAGATGGAAAGAGATTCTTGACTTAGGTGAGCAACAGAGTGAATTAGAGAGAGTTGAGAGATAAGATATTTCTCATCTGAATGAGAGATAAGGGAAACGCATTAAGAGAAGTGTAAGAGTGGCGTGAATGAGAGGAAAATAAGAGCGCGTCTGGCTTTAACCTGTTAAATAATGTTTGTTCTTTTTAAAGAGCTGTATACATTGGTGAACTTGAATTGTAAACAATTGATTCAGAAGGTAAGAGTCGGATCTAAAAATAGAATGTTGGTAGGGCTTTTTTTGAAATTTATATTCTTTACGTGAGGTCTGTCAGTAGTCTCCACTATTGCTCAGAAATTTTTTTTGTTTTCCATGCCCATGCATCTCCAGATATTTGAACAAAAACTTTAAGTATGTGGGGTTTTCTGTGTGCTACTTTTTGTTATAGTATTATTTTTGTTTTGTTTTCTCCAAATTATACAACCTCCATTTTATCGTCAATTCTAGAATCTTAGAAAACGTACAAATCGGGTTTTTCCTTAAAGCGGGCTTTATCAGCACGAAAAATAACAAATATTGTGAATCATTTACTTCCGCTATCATGCTTTGTTTGTTGGCAGAATGGGGTATATGTTTAGCATTCTCACGTTTTATTCCGTATAATATTATTTATAATAACTTCCTTGGCTAATTTTAAACCGAGGAAAGCAGTTTTACCCAAAGGAAGTCGCCGAGTGTGTGAAAAGAGTTCATTGTGGAAACCGCCAAGGGCAGGGCAATTTACAGCGGCAGGATGTAGCATGCCTACACATGGATTCTATTTCGAAAAGTAGTAGATAACCACACGACTCACCACACCACCTTAATAGATACAATTAAATAGTTTTTGAAAATTTTACCCTCTACGATTATAGCTCAAATCCCTATCGTCCTGCCGAAAGTTCGCACCTCGTTTTTTACCGTCGGGTTTTTTTCTTGTCCCTTTTCTTTTTCTCTCGCTTCTTCTCTCATTTATTTATTGCCTGTAAGTAGACCGTCTGGCCCTATCGTCGAAAATATCGTAGGGGCCATGAGCCTGGACAGGCTCCAAGACAAGGCTGTAAACATCCCAGACGCCGTCTCGCTAAAAAGTTCCCACTCCATCTCTCAACAAACCGATTTTACTCGGAAAAGCTTGACTTGTGCTTTGCACTTAGGGAAATGTCAGTTCTAAACCTATATTGAACAGTAAATACTCATAAATTCACACCATAGTATTGGGTTGTCCGGAAAATAATGCAGGATTTTGGTATTAAACAAAAAAAAAGAAACTAGTTACTTTAAAGCAATGTTCTTTAATCAAAATAATTTCCNATGAGTAATCCTGTAAACGTAAACAGAATATTTTATATAGATTTTTTTTAATGAAAACTTAAAATCCTGCATTATTTTCCGGACAACCCAATAGTATATATATTGCCATATATCTGCCTCATTTCAAGAAAAACTCATAGAAAATTCAGGATTTAGTTGAAAATTGTAAAATCTATTGCTCTCCTCCTTTGAACATTGGTCAATCTTAAAAGACATTACAACCCCCCTTGCCAAGACTTAAGGTACTGAATGTTAAACTTAAGCATAAAGGAAAAACAAATTCTAATTGTAATACCTTACTTCGGCCTCTTGTTTAATCAACACAAAAGATCTAAATAAACAGTGGATTGCATAGTTTTGAACAGGCTTTGTAAACATACACTTTGTTATTCTTCATTTTCTTGAGAAACTGTGAATAGACTTTGCTGCTTTTAACCATATCGACATTCCATTTAAAAAAAAGTATTTCACTGGTTGTATTAAGATTTCACTATGGCTGTGCACTTATTGATTCGTTGTCATTTTTTTCCAAATAACTTTTTGGAACTTTTGGAACAACTAATAAAATTGGCTTCACAATAATAGCAATTTTTATATTATTAATTCAAGGATTAATAATATTGTAGTCATATTTTTTAAAACGAAAGCCATAATCATTTCAAACAAACGTTATTTTCGTTAACATTGTTTTACATGAAAAGCATAATATAAAAAAGAATTGTTTATGACCATCATGGAAACAGGGTTTTCACGTGACTTTTCTAGGATAAAATAGAATTAATATTACACTAAAAACAAGATTTTACATGACATCACAAAAAAAGCACGATGTTCCCGGAAAATTTAAACGAAAAACAAGGTTGTACATCATGTTTTATCACACAAACACAAAATGAATTCATGCTCCAAGTGAATCTTTTTAAAGAAAAAACATATTTTAATAGTCTTTCTTATCATATTCATACACGAATTCTAAAAAATACACGCCACTAAAATTAATAAATTATTCCATTTAAATGAACGAGAAAACATAGTTTCCATGACAATTTATGCCTCAGACATTCTTCAGCATGCAGTACCATGGGAAAAAAATGCCTGATTTCGCGTTACGATTCCAACTAAAAATCTTCTTCATTTTAAAAAAAAAAAACAAGAAATTGACATTTCTAGAAAAGATTAAAATGTAATAAGTCAATTCATCAGAAACACTTTCTTGCAATATCAGCTCGAAACATTAATTAACAAATAATTAAAAATTAATTAATAAGTAAAAAACATTTTTTTCTGCATTGATCTGCTTGGCTTTATTTTACATGATAATCCGTCAGGAAAACAAGACATTTCATGTGACTAGTTTTGCTTAGTTATTTTAACTAAAAACAAGTTTTTGCATCTTCTACTTGACAATCACCACGAAAGGACGAATTCTTCATGTGACATTTCAAGGGCAAATAAAATGTAATGTGTCATTATTAAAACCTTTCTTGCACATATCAGCTCAAAACATCAATTAACAAATAATTATAAACTCAAACAAGAAGATAGAAACGACAGTGAAATTCCATAAGTTATACATGACGTTTTTTCTACATTGATCTGCGAGGCAGTTTCAGGGAAAATATATAAGTTTCATATGACTCCTTCTTATTAAAACTGAAATTTTAATGACAATACATTTAATTTTTAAATGAAGTTTATTTTACGAGATAATCCGACAATAAAACAAGACATTTCATGTGACTGTTTTAACTAAAAACAAGTTTTTGCATCTTCCACTTGACAGTCATCACAAAAAGAATTCATCACGTAACTTTCAAGGGAAAATAAAATGTAATGAGTCAATTCATTAGAAAAAACGTTCATGCACATATCAGCTTAAAAAAATTAATCAATAATTAAAAATCAAACGCGGATGAAACAAAGACAGTAAAAATTCGGAAATATCAATTCCAGAAACGTTCGTCTCTAAGGGCAGTTCACCCAATAACTAAAATCGTTTTCGTGCCACCCCTCTTTGAGAACTTTGTTATAAATTGCACAATGCCATTTCCTTTAACAAAAAATGTTATTAAACACGATACCATAAATGAAGAAAAATGTTTTTCATGTCAATTTACACAAAAAACTAGGCTTTACATGATAATTCCTGTCAGAAGCATTCTTTTACAAGACAATTCCATTAATAAAAAATGTATTTCATGTGACTTTTTTTCACATAAAGAAGTCCTGTTTTTTATAGAAAAATACTTCCAAAACATCCTTCAACATAACAATTCTGCCTGAAAACCAAAGTTTTTTGTTATACTTCCTCTTTAAACGTTTCAAACGACGTCATGCAAGGAAAAAAGTTTCTCATTTTTATGCGACAATTCGGTAATATTTATGGTTTAATTTTTCCTTCATTTAGGATGGTCGATTCAATTTCTTAGCGCATCTTTCACACACTGACCCACGCCAATACAAACTTGTAAAACAAAATACCTGAAACATCAGACAAAAGCAATCTTATTAACATGCAACCTCTTCTTTGTAGCCATTGAAAACTGTACAATAGACAAAAGCAAACGGTCGATTACCTTAATTACCAAATTGAACGAATACACACAACAAAAAACCAGGCTCGAGCCTTCAAAGGACACCGACAGACACGAATGCCTCGTCGGCTTTTCCTGACTATGGGTTACCTGAAGATATTTTTTCTCGACGTTTTAATGATTATTTCCTATTCCCCCCCCCCCTTGAGGGTATATGATAGCGTGTCGTATAGTATACTATACTGATAAACCCCCGACCAAATGATGCATGCCCATGCAACCCTCAAATGGCGTAAACCCGTATAAAAACGCAATCTTTATTTCTTTAAATGACTCAGGTTTCATATTTAATTTTGAATTAATTATTAAAAGTTTGTTTGTTCTTAAACAACAAGCGTACATTCAACAAGATACAATTTTTATCAGAAGACTTTTTTACTTTTTGCTTTACTTTTTTACCAGTAAATGTTAACACTTCACCTGCCCGTGACTTAAGCTGACTCCAGTGATAATAATCTCACAGGGAATCTTTCATTATTGATTTTGTCTAAAATAATTAAAAACACCAAAAAAAATCAGCCTACAGTTCATTAAAAGACAATCCACTATCCAGTATGAAGTCTAGTTATTAGTTTTTCCTAATTATTTTAAATAGTTTCTCTTAAACTAACTTATTAAGTCTTTTAAACTAATAATAATAGAATAATATTAGACTAAGAGCGGTTTATTGTGTGTGTGTACCAGGTAAGAACGGAGGTGTTTCATCGCCTGCTGGTTCTGCAACACTCGGGCCATTGCCAGATGGATGGGAACAGGCGTCGACCGCTGAAGGGGAAGTTTATTTCATAAACCACCAGACCAAGACTACTTCATGGTTTGACCCACGTATACGTAAGTAGGACCTTTTTATTTACAAAAAAATTAAACCTAAAGCTCATTTTGTACACACACACAAGAGCTTTGTGTTTATTAACAACAGAAACTATTTTTCTACATTGTTTTTCTATCTCTCTATTGTTCTTTCTTTGATTGCTTTTTATCTTTGTTGTCATATAGCCGTTCACCTCCAAAGAGCTCCGACAGCAGCGGGAACCCTTCCAGGCTGGCTGCAGCCGCTCACCCAGTCACAAAACCTACAAGCGGCCACACAGCAGAAGCTCAGATTACAATCTTTACAAATGGAAAGAGAAAGATTGAAATTGAGGCAACAAGAGATCATGAGACAGGTAATTTTTCAATATTCAGTTTTGATATTAAATTAGAAATTATTTAAAACCCAAAATTTGTCTGTTCATGTTTTTGTAAATTGACAAATATGAATACCAACAAAAAATAATTCGAAGTTAGTAGGTTGGAAGTTTTTTTTGGCAAAAGTACCAACGTTCTAAAGCAACACTAAAGCCCTTGTGCCATAAAACTCAATATGGAAACCAGAAAGTTAAAATTAAAAGTTATTTCAAAGTCAATAAGTAATTCTTTAATTTTATGAGATTCTTCTGCACATTAACTCAACTCTTGACTCCCCAAAAAAATCATAAAACTTGCAAAATGTAAGGAAAATGAGAACACATCTTGGAAAAATATATGGTAGTATTTAAAGTAAAGTTGTTTGTTTTAAACAAAACTACATTAATAGCAGCATCTATAAAATTGAACAAAACTGTTATAATTGTATATGACAATAAACCATCTAGGAAACAGGGTTTCTCATGACTTTTCCAGGATAAACAAACATTAATATTTCAATTCCTTTCAAAAACAATTCTAAATGTCAATTCCACCAAAATCAAGATTTCTTTCTTAAACCCATCTTCTGATCAAATTCATTCTTCAAATTCAGAATAATAAATTATTGCATTTAAATGATGAGAAAACAGTTTTCCTTGACAATTTATGCCAAAGAAGACATTCTTCAACATTGCTGTACCATGGTGAAAAATGCCTGATTTCGCGATACAATTCCAACTAAAAACTTCATGACACTATCTTCTTAATTTTTTTTTGTTTTGTTTGTAAAACAAGAAATTGACATTAAAAAAATGTAATATTCATTCAAAAAACATTCTCGCACATGTAGGTAATTAACATCAAAAAAATTAACACATAATTAAAAAATAAAACTAAAATAAAAACATCATTATGAAGACTTATATTTCAATACAATTTCTAACTCAAACATTGTTCTGCATGACAGTTGACAGCATGAAATATATTATATTTCACAAGACCTTATTAAAATTGACTTTTTTTTTTTACATGGCAATCAGTCAGAAAAGTAAGAGATTTTATATGACTTTTTTTTTACTAAAAACAAGTTTTTGCATCTTCAGTCAACAATCATCACCAAAAGAATTGTTTTTGTATCATTTCCAGGGAAAATAAAACACAACAATAAGTCATTCATCAGGAAAAAACGTTTTGCACATATAAGCTCAAAACATTAATTAACAAATAATTAAAAAATTTAGCATGACAATAAAAAAAAAAGTGTACATTCTGTAAGTTGTACATGATTTTTTCTACATTGTTCTGCATGGTAATTTTATATGAAATGTAATATGTTCCATGTGAACTTCTTATTAAAACTGACAATCCATCAAACAAGAAATGTCATGAGATTTCTTTTTCTTTCTTCTCTCCTCTTCTCTTTTCTCTCTCTCTCTCTCTCTTTCTCTCTCCTCTCCTCTTCTCTCTCTCTCTCTCTCTCTCTCTCTCTCTCTCTCTCTCTCTCTCTCTCTCTCTCTCTTTTATTTTTTATTTTTTATTACTAAAAACAAGTTTCTTCATCTTCCGTACGACAATCATCATGAAAAGAAAAATGCTTTGCATAATGTTTTAAGGGAAAATAAAATTTAATACATATGTATAACAGTTGCAAAAAAGGAAATCTTCACAAAATAGAAGTTTACACTTCACTCTCAGACCTCTGTTTGTTATGCCGAATTCCTCAAACAATTCTAAAATAAGACTAGTCTCAATAAACCAACCATTTAATCTGAAAATGGGTATTAATTTTGATATATGATCATTATGATAAATCTAGTAATGTTATGAGATTTTTAATATATATTTTTTTAATAGTATTCAGTTTTATTCATTGATTTTTAAATGCAGGCATGCTTTGCACAGTCACCTACAGTTAAAAATTTATTCGAGGGTGATTCACTGTTTATTGATCCAAATGCAACTAGTGTCAGATTGTTGTCTTGTTAGTCAACACTGGTCAATCAATACACACAATTAACGTTTTTTGACCTTTGCAGCAAGAACTGATGCTTAGAGATGCACCTGCTACTACAGGACTTGACCCTTTTCTTTCTGGCCTTGCTGATCATTCGAGACAAGAGTCTGCTGACAGTGGACTGGGTCTCGGAAATAGCTACTCTCTACCTCATACACCAGATGACTTCCTGTCTTCCATGGATGACAACATGGATGGCGTATCAGGTGAGGATTACAACTCTTCTCCTACAACCTCTTTACATTTTTGACATTGTTGTTTATTTTAATTTTAGAAGGTAGTATTATAATTCTTACAAGTTTTATTTGAAGGAATGTTGCGAGTCAGTTTTATTTTTTGTTTGCAGAAGGAGGAACTGGCGCAGAGATTGCATCGTTAGATTCACATGAAATTACTTCTCTAAGCGATAACATTGATTCTACCGATGATCTTGTACCCTCCCTTCAGGTAATTAATATTTTTTATAATTTACTATTCCATAGTTGTGTTGTTATTTTTAATATACAATCAATAAATCAATTGCTTAATATTAAAATGTTTTTCAAAGTGAGTCCACAAATCATTTTCACAAGTAATTAGCTCAAATCTCTTCTCATTTGTAAATTATGATCTAAGACAAACACGTATAAATAATATTGCAACCGGTGAATGGTGCTATAAATATAATTTTAAATTCCCGATTCCTTTATGTATTCCATTTTTTTTCATTTTTATTTGGCAGCTTTACAAAGGAAGCAACTCAGACCGACGTTTAAATTTAGATATTGTAAAACTACATTTATTTAATTTTATATCTTTGTTTTTCTGCCAGACCCTTGTCTCTTGGTATAAATTTAATTGGCAAAGTTAAAAGGCATTCGATGACAAAGTAGGTGGCAAATTTATATTGATTCCGTTTGTTTTTCAGCTGGGCGAAGAGTTCACAAGTGATATACTCGATGATGTACAAGCACTTATAAACCCAAACAGCAAACCTGGGAACAGCCTCACCTGGCTCTAAAACCCCAACAAAGACTTAAAAGTGTTTTAAAATAATAAAATATATGATGAATTTTATTAATATATGAAATATATAATTTAAAAAAGTAAGTTAATGTATCGCCGTCCGTGAAAACTTAAAAAATGTCCAAGCGGCATTTCACTACTTAATTCAATGGATAGGTTGTAGGTAGAGTTGATTTATACCATTTTTGACTAGTAATTTTTAAAACATGGTGTAATATTTTTTTAAACAATGGATTTTTAACTTCAAAGGGATATAAAAGCAATAATTATCTCCGTCCTAAATATATTTGAAAAATTGTCAAAATTGTTATTTGTGCCAGTGCTCTCATTAGTTATTTGTTTTAAATAACTAGCCATTTATGTGGTGAGCCATATTTTATTTATTATTTATGGTTTCTTTTTTTTAGGGGGGGGGTCATCTTTTTATTATTTGCTCAAACCATTATATATCCGTAATGGAGTGGTTAAGATGCAAATTTATAAACCATATATAAAATTTTGGTCTAAAACTGTTACAATAACTTTGAAGTGCCATTTTAATCGCTAAGTTTTTGTAAACTTTAAGGAGATTTTTGCCTTTAAACATTTATATCGTATGTAATTGTGAAATTAAAAATTCAGTAGATGATATTCTGTATGGCTTATTTTCAAACTTAATTACAACTAATTTTTACACTATATTTAATTGTTCAATCTGTCTACTGAATTTTTTATTTTATGTGATAGTTTCCTTTTCTTTTTTTATTTTTACTTGTTTATGAAAAAAACAAACAGTGTGAAAAGATATTCAGAAAAATTATGAACTTTTGTTTGAATTAAGTAGTTTTTTTACAATAAGTTGTAGCAAAAATCTAAAGAGTAAATTTTGCCTAATGGTTGGCCTAAGAAAAGTTTGATACAGCAAACATCACTTTTTTTTTTTTTTTTTAAATAAATCCTGTTAACTTCAAATATTTTTTGAAGAGTTCTCTCTTGATTCATTTTTGTAATGAATTTATAGAAAAGAATTTGGAATGTATTGAACTTTTGTTTAGTTTACAGGGCAAAAATGTATAAGAACATAATACATAAATGAATAAATAATACTTAAGTGAATTAATTCATCCATCAGCCACACTAATAGTCCGATGTATTATCTTTGCAGATCATGTGATAATTTTTATTATAAAATATAAAATTTAAAAATATCTGTTTTTATTAAAACTTATAATTGTAATCGAATAAAAATGTTGTTGAAATTCTATGTATCGTTTTCTTGTATATAGTTTATATATCGCCTACAGTTTTTAGTATGTATAAATGTGGGCAGTTATGTTACGAACTTTGTACCATTGAACTGGTGTATGCTTATTATTATACATGTTAATTAAAACAATAATTGCATCAGTTCTATCATTAAAATTTGTTCATAAATTATATATATCATTAAGGCTCTTTATAAATATATAAATATTAAAGAACCAAGTCAATTTTAGTGCCTTGAATTTGATATTGTAATGAAATGAGTGTCTTTCAATACATGTTTATAAATCTACCATCTACAAAGCATTTATTGAATATTGTATAAAAACAATCTCACATCAAATTTTTATCTAATGTTATGACAACCTTTTAAGCTACTAAATTGAATTTAGTGTTTTCTTTTTTTGTCTTTAATAAAATAACATTGTTATTGAATTTTTAAAATGTGTATACAGTTTGTAAAATTATATTGTTTTCTTTTGTTAGATAATTATTACATTACTTTTATATTTCCATTTATTGAAAATGTATTGGCTTTTACAAACTAATCAAGTTGAGAGAGAGAAAAAGAGAGTGAGGGAGAGAAAGTGAGATTTGATAATTTTTTTTAATATTTGAAAAATATGAATTTTGCATATCTTATAAGCCAATTTCAAACAACTAAGTGAAATAAATGTATACATATATATAATTGATGTGTCAATATGTATTTATAACAGTAAATTGTATAGATTTTAAACATTTAAAAAGTAAATGATAAATATTTATGTAATAACAGTCATTATATTTGTTTGAACTGTTTCAATTTTTATTAGATTTAAAATATTGTTTAGTTTTAAAATTGTTTAGATATTGGTCTTTTATGTATCATTTTATAATTCTGTTGGCTATACAGATAATAAAATTGTTTCATTTCCAAATTAAGAATAATTTAATAAGTGAAGACTCTTTTTTCTTTGGTTTTTATCCTTTCGTATCTTCCCGCTCCTCTGGAAATAATGATCTATCAATTGAATATTTGCTGTTAGGGGGGCCACTGCACACTAGGCAAGCTAAACTGGTTGGCTGGTAATGAACTCTGTCCAATATGATTTGGCTGATTTCTTAACCAAACTTGCAGGTCAAAGAGCGTTGGACAATCCAGTCCAACAGACAACCGAAATCTGTTATTATTGCTATTTGGTTTAAATAGGGTTAACTTATTTAAATGTCAGCAAATTTAGTTGGTTGGGGAGCGATGATCTTCTGGGCATCTGACTTAAAGGGGATACTCAGTCACATAAAGAGGATGAAATCGCTGCCCTAGAGTCAGCAAATTGGGGAGTGACAACCCTTTAAGGTGAAGGTCCAGTGCGTAGCCCTTTAAATCAATGAATTAAACACGATTATTACCATTTGTCACACTCCCAAAAGAAATTCTCTTGAGTGTCAAATTAATTCTCTTTTTATACTTTCTTTATGCTTTATTTTTTTTTGGCTATTACATATTTCTAAATACGTAAAACCCTTACTTTTAAAAGAAAACATTGGTGCCACCCAGTTTAACTGGTTACTAAAAAAAAGATTAGTGACCCTTAGTCGATAATTATTCAGAAATCATGAGATACGTTCTGGTGTGATGTAGGTTTCAGAAAAACATTTTCTTTTTCCTGCCAACTTTTCGATCTTTATTGAGATCATCTTCAGGGCCTGGGATTTACAAACATTGTTTAAGTTTAACAAATACATGTAGGATGTGGAAAAAAGTGAGTTTATACAAAGCAAAAAAAAATATTTTTTATATTCGATCAAAGTATTTCTACTTAAACTGTCCCATTCTTGCATGTTGTGTTGAGAGTGCCAGTGAGATTTTGCTATTTTATGTTTATATACGTTGGATTTTGAATGGGTGGAGAAGGAAGTCGATATAGAAAGACATTTTTGTATAAGGAGTCGACGTCTTTGAGGTGAAAAGAGCCGACGAAGGGAAAAAAACGTTAATAGTTCGGCCAAACATAAAACAGCAATATCTCACTGGCATTCTCAACACGACACACAAGAATGGCACTCTTACGCAGAAAACAAACACTTTGAATGAGATGTGTGGTGATTAGTGACCGTTAATTGATAATTATTCAGAAATCGTGAGATGCGGTTTGGTGTGATGTAGGTTTCAGAAAAACATTTTCTTTATCGTGCCAACGTTTCGATCTTTATTGAGATCATCTTCAAGGCTCAAAGTGTTTGTTTCTTGCGTAATTGTGCCATTCTTGTGTGTCGTGTTGAGAGTGTGCAAGAATGGCACAATTACGCAAGAAACAAACACTTTGAGCCTTGAAGATGATCTCAATAAAGATCGAAACGTTGGCACGATAAAGAAAATGTTTTTCTGAAACCTACATCATACCAGACCGCATCTCACAATTTCTGAATAACTTTGAATGAGTAGAAATACTTTGATCAAATATAAAAAATATATTTTTTTGGCAATGTATAAATTCACTTTTTTCCACATCCTACATTTATTTGTTAAATTTAAACAATGTTTGTAAATCCCAGGCCCTGAAGATGATCTCAATAAAGGTCGAAACGTTGGCACGATAAAGAAAATGTTTTTCTGAAACCTACATCATACCAGATCGCATCTCACAATTTCTGAATAACTAAAAATTAGCCTGAAAACACAGAATATGTCAATATGATTGCACGAATTTGCAGGCACCAATTTATTGTCAGTGACAGCTAACTGTATTTTTATGAAAAAGGACTTAATTCTTCCTATTGGTTTTGTTTTTGCTTAATCATAAAATTTGGTCGTCATAAATGTGTAATGTTTAGTGACCATTACTTGATGATTATTTAAAGATCGTGAGATGCAGTCTGGTGTGATGTATATTTTATAATTAGTTATATTTATAATTTAATCAATATTTATAAATCCCAGGCCCTGAAGGTGATTTCAATAAAGATTGAAATGAAACATAAAGAAAATGTTTTTCTAACCTACATCACACCAGACCCCATCTCACGATCTTTAAATTATCATAAACAATTGAATTTATTTCCACGAAATATTATTTGAACTGATAGACTGTCAATTAAATTTTACGCAAAAAGCGTACAGAGTTAAAAGTACTTTATTGATTTTCATATAAAGTGAAAGCTTTGAAAGCTAAAATTGCATTACATAGATTTAATTTTCTTCTTAAACCATAAATCTGTTAAGAAAATAAGGGGAGAAAAAGTTCCCTCGAGGGTTGTCATTGTTTAAAGGGGGGTACTTGGGCTCCGTGTCCTCAGTCAGGAAATACAGAAATGTTTAAATAATCGTTTTTATTTTCTTCTATGTCCATTTCATTCCAACAGATTCAGAGCATACAATTGCTATGTTGTTTTTGTTCAATTAAAACATTATACTGAAATTAATTTGAAACTTACACACAGCCATTATTGATGAGATAGGTTTAAGAAGTTGTTACAACCATAACCAAAAAGAATACTTTTAATAAAAAATTTTAACACTCAAACTGTGAATTTTTCTTTATATTTGTTGGAACTACAAATTTATGTATTTAAGAGAAATTATGGTAAACTATTCATTACACTCAATGAGTAATTTTTGATTGTTACAAGAATATACATACATTTTGTATAAGACTAGAATTCTTTTGTTACACTTTTCACAACTAGTTTTTTGTTAACGCTATTCAATATTCCTTGCGAAAATTTTGTCATTTGATTATTATACAGTAGATCGCACACAAAGTCATGATTTATAAAATAAAAGCACAAATCACAGCAAGTTATAAAGACATTTTCACTATTTCTTGTTTTTTCCTTGTTTGCCATTTCCTCCTTTCTGATTTCCTTTTCTTTTTGGAGGCACTGGGGCCTCTACAGGTGTAGCCGCACTAGCTACTGGTTTCTGTGGTTCAGATTGGTTGGATGGTAATTTCACTTCTTCTGGAAAAGGACTTCCTGGTGTTGCAGGTGTGACTGTAGGTGTGCCAGGTACAGTGTTTTTTTCAGAGGCAGCTGTTGGCTCTGTGGTTTTTTCACTACCTTTGGGTTCTTCATTAGGTTTATCTTTAGATGGCTCAGAAGCAACCAATTTGACAGATTCATTTGATACTGTTTGTTTAGGAGTTTCTTGCACTGGCACATTTGTATTAGGCTTTTGAGCTTCAGTCTTTTGGGTGTCAGTTGGCTTAGGAAGCTCTTCAGTCTTTGGTGCTTCTGGTTTTACCACTTCAGTTGATTTATTGGATTCAGTCTTTGGAAGTTCCTTTGATAAACATTTTGAAGCATCTTTGGTAGGTTCTGTTGGTGTGGGTTCCGATTTGGATGTAACTGGAGATTCAGTTTTTGTTGTCGCTGGAGCAGAAGGAACTTCAGTTTTGGGAGAACCAGGCACTGCTGGAGCCTCAGTCTTTGGAGTACTTGGTGCAAGAGGAACCTCAGCTTTTGGAGTACCTGGTGATGCTGGGGCCTCAGTCTTTGGAGTGCCTGGTGCCATAGGAGCATCAGTTAGTGTGCCTTGGGGTGTGGCAGCCTCCATCTTTGGACCACCTAGTCCTACAGGAGTATCTGATTTTGGAGTACTTGGTACAGCTGGTGCTTCAGCTTTTGGAGCACTTGGTGTTGCAGGTGCCTCAGTTTTTGGAGTTCCTGGTGCTGGAGGCGCCTCAGTCTTTGGTGGACCTGCTAATACAGGTGCCTCTGTTTTTGGAGTACCCGGAGCTTCTGGAACTTCAGTTTTGGGAGTGCCTGGTGCTATCGGCACCTCAACCTTTGGTGTTCCTTGTGTTACTGGACCTTCTGTTTTCAGTGAGCTAGGTGCAGCAGGAGCCACAGTACTTGGTGAACCCGGTGCCACTGGGGCATCGCTTTTTGGAAGACTTGGAGCTGCTAGAACATCAGATTTTGGAGTGCCTGGTGCTACTGGAGTTTCAGTTTTAGGAGAACCAGGTAAAACAGGGGCATCAGCTTTTGGGGTTTCTTGTAATGCAGGAGCCTCTGTTTTGGGTGTACTCGGTGCTGCTGGAACCTCTGTTTTTGGTGATCCTAGTACTAGAGGAGCCTCAGTTTGTTGAGTGCCAGGTGATGCTGGGACTTCAGTTTTTGGTAAACCAGGTGCCACCGGGGCCTCAGTTTTTGAGGAACCTAGTGCTGCAGGTGCTTCAGTTTTTGGAGTATCTGGTTCTACTGGGGTCTCAGTTTTTGGTACGCCTGGTGTTGCAGGGACTTCAGCTTTCGGCATAGCTGGAGCTGCAGGGGCCTCAGTTTTCGGAGTACTTGGTACTGCAGAGCCCTCAGCTTTCGGCATAGTTGGAGCTGCAGGAGCCTCAGTTTTTGGAGTGCCTGGTGCTGCAGAGACATCAGCTTTCGGCACAGCTGGAGCTGCAGGTACCTCAGTTTTTGGGGAACCTGGTGCTGCAGGAGCTTCAGTTTTTGGGGTGCCCGGTGCTGCAGGAGCTTCAGTTTTTGGAGTGCCCGGTGCTGCAGGAGTTTCAGTTTTTGTCACAGCTAGTGTTGGAGAGGCCTCATCTTTTAACGCAACAGTTGAAGTTAGTGCGTCAGCAGCTTTTGCATTTGGAACAACTGCATCACTTTTTGGAGATTCAGATAGGAGAGGAACAGCATTTGATTTCAGTGGTTCAAGTGCCGGTGCTAATGGTACATTTGATGTTACAGTTTTAGCAACTTCTTCCTTTGTTGTTTGCTTTAGTAAGTCAGTTTTAGAAGTATCAACAGGAGCTGATGGTAATCCAACAGTTTGACTTATTTTCTTCCATATGTTTTCAAAGGAATCTTTTCCCATATAATCGATGTTACCCTGTTCCCAATTTTGTTTCCTCCACTGTTCTTCAACCTCCGCACGCTGTCCTCCTCCCAAGGCTCCTGCAAGTCCGTTCTAAACAAATAAACACAATGACAAAATAAGAAATGGCTTATTATAAAGTGGGTAGTAAACAATTTATTATTAACGAATAACCTACCTCACCAGAAATTTCTGGATATTCAAGTTCAGACTCCTCTAGTAAATTATTACTTTCAACAAAGGGATGAGAACAATCAGTACACAGGGTAGCAGTAGGAATTATACTATCATTTATTAGCATTTTGTTAATAAAAGTTTCATTCATATTGTTTGTTGACTTAATGATGGGAGTTGTGGAGTGGTTTGTTTTGTCAAAATATATTTCAGTATTAATGAGTTTGCCATTTTTTGTTTCATTCCTTTTCTTTGTTTGTCCGTTTGGAGTAAATGTGTCATTTTTTATTTCATTTCCTTTCTTTGTTTGCCCATTTGGAGTAAATGTGTCATTTTTTGTTTCATTCCCTTTCTTTGTTTGTCCATTTGGAGTAAATGTGTCATTTTTTGTTTCATTCCCTTTCTTTGTTTGTCCATTTGGAGTAAATGTGTCATTTTTTGTTTCATTCCCTTTCTTTGTTTGTCCATATGGAGTAAATCTGTTTTCAAAAGTATTGTTATTTCTGTTATGAGTGGGTGTGAAATGAAGTTGTTCTTCCTGATTTGTATTAGAACTATTTAATGCGATTTGGTCTTGAGTCGTATTGTTTATTGGGAAATTTTCTGTGTCAGTAAATACTTCTTGGTCAGAACTTATTTCTTGGTTCGGTTGGTTTTGAAATTGTTCCCAGGGGTCAATGAACATATACCTTTCTTGGTAAGGTTCAGGAGGAGGAGGAGGTGGTGTGCAGTTTTGAGAAGCTTTTTGTCCATCTCCATAAACAGTGCAATTAATAATCTGTATAAAAATCAATGCTTGTTATCAACACAAAATCAAAGAAGTATGAAAACTGTTAAATTAGAAGATTAATTATATAAGAGATTTTATAAAAAGCAAACATTTCATTATTGGCTATGAAAAAGCAAAATTTTATTTTTAGGCATAACAAAAGAAAGTGTTTAAATACATATGAACTTATAATATGAAGCTAGCAGTAGCAACACAAATCAAAACACAACATAAACACAAATTTAGTAATGTAATAATGAATTACCATTTTATTAGAAAGTTGTTTATTCACACTTCCATTAAAGATGTTCCACCACAATTCTAAGTAACTTGACATTGATGAGCTGGTTGGTTCACTTTGAAGCCATGGTTTATTAACACCAATAAAGTGTAATATTTTGACTTTGTTTTCAAAGCTAAATAAAAAATAAAGTTTGTAGAATTATTTTTCATTTAAAGTTTATATTGAAACTAACAATTTAAATGCTGGGAGGTAAGAATAAGATGCTGTGCAGACCATGTTGTATGTGAAAGGTAAGTGCTTTTGAATATCCTTCGTTGCCCAATCTCCAAAAAATTCATTTAGAAGGCCCTGGTCACCACCTGCAATCCACAAAAAATAAATTCTCAACTAGAAATTCATTCACAACAGATGCCTTACCATCAAAGCTTCCTTTTGTTACTGCAAAATCGACGAGGGCTTTGAAAGTGTCATTATTCGGTTTAAAGACAAACACACCGGAATTGAAGCAGTCAGGCCAACCGGCATCTGGTGCAGCAGATAGCTCATCCCTTTCAAATAACTCATCAGCATTCTGTACTACCTGTAAACAAAATCGCAATGTTAAAAAATAAAATATATAAAGAACAAAATGAATAAATAATTTATTTGGTTAAGTCCATTTATTTTGAAATGATTCTTATCGATTGATTGATTAATTATATACATATGTATATAATTAATGATGCAGATACATACACATATGTGCAGAATCAAACCTATGACATCTGGCTACAAGCCGTGAGAATCCCGTGAGAATCTCCCAATCCAGTGTTTTAGTGATCTGTCGTCTTATCTGTACCACTGGTGAAGTTAGAGGGTTATAGAAGAAAATTCAGAATTTCGTTAGATTTCTAACGTTTAATAGGCATTTGTACTAAACTTTTTAATTCGGAGTATAAAACTAATCAATTTATAATGCAATTTCAGTTTTATTATTACAATATGGATTTTTTGATCGTTATCAATCATCTTGGTCTGCCTATCCTCAATGGGTTGGTCTATCAGACTTGTTTCGACATTTCAGCATCTCCAGGGTATGATTCTGTGAAGTGAAGTTTCCTCTCTGCATCGGACACACCGAAGATGCCAAAACGTGTTCCAGCGAGGATAGGCAGACCAAAATGATCGGTAATGGACAAATTACAGGTTCATCACTCCACAGATGACAGGAGAGAATCTCACGATTATTTTATGTTTTTTATTTTACTTTTCAGTTTTTGTTTTTTGTTTTTTTACTTATAGAGGTTTAGACTTACATTTTCTTAGAGATTTAGACTTAAATCATTGAAGTATTAACTTAAAATAATGATTATAAAAATAAATCTAAAACAATAAGTATATTTATTTCCCATCATAGTTGGTGATTATTTGTTCAGACTATTTCTAATCTGCATCATATATTTCAATAACTTATTAAAAGATTTTATTAAAGATTACCTACGCTGTTTTTAATTATATTCTGTTTTTATTGTAATTGCCAAAATTTAATGCATATCTCATGTATAATAATTATAATTTACAATAATTATAAAATAACAATAATATTTTTAAAAATTAAGAAAATCTCAAAAGATGCTGAATTGTTGTTATAAGTTCATAATAATTCAGTTGAGTTTAAAACAAATAGAATATTAAGGGTTTTAATTAAGTTATATTTTTCAGCGACACTTTAAATAGCAAAAATGTAGCAATAAGAAAGAGAAGAAAGAACATAGCTCAAAAAAAAAAAAAAAAATTCATAATGAAATACTAAAAAAATTCATTACATAATAGTTTTCAAACTTTATCTTTATCAATCCAGTTTTAATTTTTTTTTTTGGTATTTATTTAGACAGTTTATTTAAATTTAAGACATTTGTCATTAAAAATATGTTTTTATATGTATATTATATAGCCTTGACTAATCTCAATCAGGAATTTTCTCATTTATCTTTTTGAAATGGTTAAAAAAAAAATTTTTACATTAAATTATTTTATAATTGTATCTCATTTCATTTTAATTTGCACACTTGTCAAGAGAAAGCGAGAATAACTCCCAATCGTCAAGAAACTTGACCTTTGGTCTACCTGTGCTCGCGATTTGTCTGTCTACACCCATTTAATCTGGTTTGGGATGTTATTGACTAAAATTGATTTTTGTTAAAACGTGTAGAGAGGTGTATTTATTTAAAAAATCGATGAATGACCAAGCCAAAAGCTTGGCGACTGTATAATACAGTGTATGATTCATTGAAGGACCACATACCCAATAAAATCCCAAACCAGATTATAATCAAAGTTGGTGGATAACTGAACAATCTCGTATACCCATTTAGAATCAACGCTATTGTAGTTTTATTTATTTATTTATTTTAACTAAAATAGTGAGTATTCAGCCTTATACAATCAGCTAAATAACAGTAAAAATAAATATTTATAGAAAGAGCAAACTTTGTGGAAAAGTTTTTTTTCTCCCCCTTATGATAATTCAATTTAGATCAGCTTCTTAACTTCGCCTTAATTTGTCCTGTGTGTACGACCTATTTTGTCCGTTATAATATTGTAGTTAGGATAAACTAATTATGATGCATTTGTCCTGGTTTTTTACTTAACACATGTTTTTAAATTTGTTTTACTTTTCTTTTTGTTGCCTAACACATTATTAGTTTTTAAGTAAATTCACACACTTTACAGCAAAATTAAATAAAATAAAGATTGAAAAAGAACAACAACTAAAAGTTAAGAAAGTCCGTGTTGTGCGCGGTGATCATCGGCTAAGCTTAAGATTTTCACCAAATGGTAAGTCTAATTGCATATATCTGGTATTAATTTTAAGATGTTAATCAGAATTAATTTGTAGCATTTTTAATATAATTAGCCAGTACAGGAGGAATTTGGCACAACTAACAGACCTTAGCCAGCCAGTAAGGGAGGTATTCAGTGTTAATAGTTTAAAACTGGACAATAAACTGTGGCGACTATAATGCAAAAACTGTTCGTAAAGAAGTTATTCCAAATAAAAGAGGAGAAAATGTAAATATTTAATTATATTAAATATAAAAAATTTCATGATGATTTCAAATTAAAATTTGCAGAATTTTCAAAATGAAGATGTCAAACGCTAACATTAAAAGCGCCATCGAAAGAAGCAACAGTTTAAGGTCGTTCTTCATAAATAAAACGAGTGTAGGCAACGTTTTTAAAATTAACAAAGAGCCACCAGTAATTTATGACAAGATCGGAGAGATAGATCTAAAATCAATCAGAGACGAGTGCACAGGAGCCAGGCTCATGATCGGAAGTGCATATAGCAAAAATACACGAGAACGGCATATACAGAGGTATCACCACTTTAAAAATCTAGCCAGTGCTATATGCGACGCGGCGTTGAGAATCGGCGGGCCGGCGTTCCTTTGCTTCTTAATCATAACGGCAAATTCGAGGTAATATTTGAGCATCATCGTAGAAACATAATCATCATGTGTTGAATTGATTTTTAGGAACCCCGCACTGAGAGCTTGGCAAAAACAGTTCTGACAAACGTCGGTATCACCTTTTTGCGGTTTATTTACTAAATAGAAAAGAAATTCTTATTAGATTGTTAATTTTAGAGTAGTTAAGATATAATTTTTTCCCTTAGCTAACAGTCAACATTTCTTTGTCATTTGCTGAATAGCGTGCGCCATTTTCTTAAGTTCTGCACCATTCAATGAATAAAATTATCATACGGACTTTTTGAATAAGCTAATGTTAATATAAACATCATGTGTTTACCCATTTTCTTTGATGTCACATGACTTATTTTTTACTTTCGGTGTTTAAAACATGTTCGGAAAATGCTAGTAAACTTGTTTTATAAAGATCGCTTCCTCGAGAGAAAGAAGACACTAGGATCGACATTAACCAACTGGAACTTTGATACAAAAATGACGGACTGGTTTTGTTTGATGTTCTAAGGGCAAAAAAATTAAAAGCGCACATTTTTGTTTGATTTGCTTTTAAAATGCAAATATTTAGTAGAATTTTGAAGACATTGCATTATAATTGCACCTGACAAGTGACCAAAAGATAAACCATCTTGAAGCCAAAATTCTATTAACTTCATATGACTTGACTTCATTGTAGAAATTATTTGTTAGCATTTGAATTTTCTAAACCCTCAATTAGGCCGATAGGCGAAAACGTCCAAATACACCTCACAACGCCAAAAAGTGTAGTTCCATTAAAAGTTAAGGGGCGGTGAAGCCTTGTTGGCTAGTTAGCTAGTTGTTGACATAGAAACACTAAAGATGGCTAAATGCCGAATTGGTCCGACAAACATCGAGAACAAGATCAGGGTGATCGGGGACGATCAAACACAAAAGAAATTTGGGCGTCGGCCATCTCTATACTTGGGCGACACATTCCGAATTTTTTCTTTGACTTCCTTCAACGAGATTTGCCAAGACTGTATTGCCGAGTAAAAATTTTTTTACCCAAATAATATGAAAAGCCAGAAGAACCTGTTTGTAAAAGCGCACTTCATCCTAAATTCCAAGGTGTTTGCTATAATTTCTTCGGTAATAAACTGTAAATATAAATGAAGATAAGCGTATGACGATTAAACGACGTCTTTCAGTCATTGTCATTTTAAAACATTAAATAATGTGTAACAAGTCGTGGCGAGGCAAACAAAAAGAAAACTGTTTGACTACATTCCACATCATCAAATACTTAAAAATATTTCTGTGGTCAGGATAGTCGGAAGATGCTTTTCATCGGGATATCTGGGCTTACTATTTCTCCTGTTTGCCTTTATCCGAATTCATTACAAAACTAAGAAGTACAAAAATAAAGCAATACTTACTGGATTCCGGTTTAAAAGATCTCAATGAAATCAAACAATTGAATAACGATATATTTATAAATTGATTTTTTCAAAAAAAAATATTTTCAAATCAAATTATTTCCTACCCACTCCTTACTACCTAATCATAAATTCTTATCTAATAGATCGTTCTTTTAAAAAGAACAGTGCGGCAATGAGAGACAAGACCGAACCAAGCCGACGTCCCACAAGGGAGCTTTCTTGGTCCCATTATATTTGCTATTTACACTCTAATACAGCCCTACACCAATTAACTTACAAACTACGCGGATATTACCAAAATTCTTTTTCCTGGATACACATAAATATTTATTTAAAAAATAACGAAGTCCTTTAGCAATGAAATCAAACAATTGAATAACGATATATTTATAAATTGATTTTTACAAAAAAAATATTTTCAAATCAAATTATTTCCTACCTACTCCTTCCTACCTAATCATAAATTCTTATCTAATAGATCGTTTTTTTAAAAAGAACGGTGCGGCAATGAGAGACAAGACCGAACCAAGCCGACGTCCCACAAGGGAGCTTTCTTGGTCCCATCATATTTGCTATTTACACTCGAATACAGCCCTACACCAATTAACTTACAAACTACGCGGATATTACCAAAATTCTTTTTCTTGGATACACATAAATATTTATTTAAAAAATAACGAAGTCCTTTAGCAATATTGATTTTTACAAAAAAATATTTTCAAATCAAATTATTTCCTACCCACTCCTTACTACCTAATCATAAATTCTTATCTAATAGATCGTTTTTTTTAAAAGAACGATGCGGCAATGAGAGACAAGACCGAACCAAGCCGACGTCCCACAAGGGAGCTTTCTTGGTTCCATCATATTTGCTATTTACACTCTAATACAGCCCTACACTAATTAACTTACAAACTACGCGGATATTACCAAATTTCTTTTTCCTGGATACACATAAATATTTATTTAAAAAATAACGAAGTTCTTTAGCAATGAAATCAAACAATTGAATAACGATATATTTATAAATTGATTTTTACAAAAAAAAATATTTTCAAATCAAATTATTTCCTACCCACTCCTTGATAAAGAAAATGTTTTTCTAAAACCTACGTCACACCAGACCGCACCTCACGATCTCCAAATAATCATTGGCTAACGGTCACTAAACACCACTACACTAAAAAAAACATTCGCTAATAATACATATTTAAAACGCTACATAACACAAGAAGAAACTGACAAACACAATAAATGACCTACATAAATATTGAAGACAATACTGACATGCCCAATTAACTTTTTACAAACGTACAAAAGATATCACAACAGGCTGATAAAATAGCACAGGCCAATCACTGAAGATGACGAAAATAAACGAGGAAATGAACATGACGAATGATGGAATATTTTGGAATATTATCATGAGTACAGGAGAGTTATGATATTCGAACTAATAGTCCCAATTAATACCCTGTTCAGATTGGCTTAAATTCTGGTAAATAATCAGAAAGACTGCAAAGATAGGGCCATCCAACTATAGGTCCATCCCACACTTTTCCAGCAAAATTAGTTCCTACCCACTCCTTACTACCTAATCCTAAAATCGTTCTAACAGATGGTTGCTTATATACGTATGGTGTGGTAATGAGATTTGAGCCAGATCCTATCCAAGCGGTCATCCTACAAGTACCGATATTTCAAACTAATGGTCCCAATTTGTCCCCTGTTCGGATTACCGTAACTTTGGGTTTAGCAACCTGATTCAGTGCAGAAATACGCAGTAAAACTAGTCTCGTTCATTGACGAATTGATGTACAGACATATCGGAACAGAGGATATGTGTACTTTGGAAAAGAGTCTGGAAGGTTAGGAAAAGTTGTGCAAAGTTGTGTAGCTAAGTCGGAAGCTTTTCGGCGGGCTCCATGTTTAGTTTTTATTAATAATTCTATTTACAACTCAACATTGAAGAAGAAGAAGAACGCGTTTAAGAGCAAAACGTTCGGAAAGAACCTAACTACAGATTCATAACCTCCCAGACCTCATAATTTAAGGATTAAAGTGCAGCGAAATCGGCAGGAGAGTTTGAAATGGGCTAGGCCATAATGATCGACCATTAATACCCTTTCAATTTAACTGAAAAACGCTGAAAACTATATTTTGCAAACGGACACATTTCCTCTCCGCAGACCGATACTTCGGATTAGCAGGAAGGACTTCTCTGTAACTGCTGGACCTGTGGATACTGTTATCGCCTTCCACGCCGCAGCCTATGACCTTCCAGCAGTTCTGTACATAAGCGGGGGATCAACTCGTTGACGAGGCCTTAACTCTCACTATTGAAGCTAGCCGTCAGCAACAAGGGAATTGGCAGCATCGTCTCTCATACTCTCAACAGAGGACGGGCTGCCTATTGCACGAATACTGCTCGCTACCGAGTCGACCCCCGCTGCATCGATAGTCCCCCATAACACCAGTTTTATCAGAGTCACCAAAAATCGCCCGCTCAATAAACATGTATTTTGCCTTAAAAAATTGACAACATTGAACATTTTGTAATTGGCAATACTACCAATATTAAATGAACAATACTCTTAGTTATTTTGTGATATTTTTGCCCATGGTACATTTGGCATGGGCGCTGACTGTTTACTACGCCCAAGGCAAAAATGAAACAGAATGAATAAATTGCGCCTTGACCATTTATTTTTGACCGTTTTCCCTTGAGTAGGCTCCGGCTCGTTGGAAATCTTCCAAGAGACATTCGCACGGAAAAAGCACAAGAAACATTTCTTGACGGGAATTCAGCTTTTTTCCGTCAGTCATACAGTCGATTGTTAGAAGCAGGATGCGATTTGTTTGTATTTTGAATACGTATGGGTTAAACTGTGACGGGCGTAAAAGTACATTCTTGAGTTTTTCAATAGTGTGATCCAATTTGGATGCAAGCCATTACACAGTAAGACTGGAAATTGTCCATTACATGTAAAAAATTTAAACTAACACTATAATTCCAATTTCTATCTCTTCTTGACAGACAGCCAACGCTGATACGCAATCTGCTATCGGATTAAGGGCTAGGAGGTTGAGATGATGTAGAGGGTTCTTGAAAGATTGGAGTGAAACTTGAATAATTCTTCTGAGGACTTTGAAGCTTGGATTAATTGGATTAGTGGTACCAAAAACCTCTGTACTTCTAAATAGACTCGAATAAATGTTTTGTACGGTGTCCTTTTTTTTCAAGTCTGATTTTCGATCTAGAAGTCTTCGAAGTTACCCCAGTCTTTTGTTTAGGTCTTGTCTCTTAAGTCTTGTGTGTATATGTTTGTCTTTACCTTTTCGGTAGTTTCTTGCTGTTAATGTACAGACCTGGCCAATCCAGTTTATTTAGCATGAACCTAATTTGAATATATCTTCGTTCAGTTTAATTTTCCATATTTTGCAACCATTCTTCCATGGTCGTTCCTGGATATTAGAGGCGGCTTGAGGGGGATTGCATATAGGAGTTAAATTGCGGAATCGTCCAGGTTGTAAGAATGTTGTTGGGACGTATCGGCAGAACACGGTAGATAGTATGGTACCAAGAATGCTCCCTTGTGGGACGCCGGCTTGGATAGGGCTTGTCTCAAACTCATCGCCGCGCCTTTCTTTTTAAAGCAACACTTTGTTCATTACTATATCAGGTAAAAGAATGGGTAAGAAATGATTTAGTTCGAAAAATAATTGTTTTGTTAAAATTAATTCTCAAAAATATTGTTTCTTATTAAATTGCTTTGTTTCATTATTATGTGATGTTTTGAGCCAAAATCCAGTATGCATTTCTAATTTCTGGAATTACTCCTGGAATTTTCCCATAGAGGTAAATTTAGAAAATATTCCATTAAAGATTGGGAGAAACATCGTTAAATATAAAATGAAATAAATAAACTACGTATGTGCCAAACGTAGCGTCGGATGCTTAAATCTTTTATAGAATTCATTAAGTAATTATTTAGAAAGTTTTGTTTAAAGAAAAATTAAAAATTTGGAGATACCTGATTTACGAACCAAAGCCCTGTTTCAAAAACGAAACGCAAGTTTTGTTAGAGCGACGGTTTTCTTTGGTCGTTAGAAAATGTTAACATCTTGCAACTTATGGAAAACCTTTTTATGAGGAAATAAAAAACAAATAAAAAGATCTGAAATAACGTGAGACCATTAGAAGCAGCACATATGCTGTATCTATCATTACCAGAGTGTCTGCATCAAGAAAGACGCACTTGGAGTACTGGGTGAGGTTCCAGCAGTGAAGTTTGGTGAACGTCACCCCGAGCTCGGGTCGTGCCAAGAGGGCCAAGTTGGCCACATCCTTAGAATCCAGGACATCCACATCCTTCACGGTGTTGAACACCTTTCCCAGTTCTTCCCTGGAAAAAAAATTAATAACTTATTTTATTTTTTTCGCAATTGTACCCAAGAGGCTGCAGAATCTTTATCAGACTTTCTGTAACGGGATCTTCTCCGATAATTCTGTTCTGTTATTAACTAGGTCTCGGTTTAAAGAATAGATCAAGCAGTAGGTTCATCACCAACAGACTTCACAATGTAACACTTTCGGTATATTTTTTTATGTGTGTGATACATTATACTATAAAATCAACCATTAAACTTTGCTAGTAGATTACGTCCATGTTGCAGATACAGAGAAAATACTTTTTGTTTATCATTTCAACTAATGTTTCAACATAAAATAATGTCTTGTAAACAGTTTCAATAAATTTATCTGAACCCTTTATTTTTTGAAGGTTTCCTCCGATTTGGCACTCTTGTCCGAAATCGTTTTTAGAAAAGTGACTAGGCGGAAGGACATTGGCTCCTGTCCTAATATAACTACGACGTTCTGCTTACAATTTGATACTTTGTCTAATTTCCCCCCGGGTCCGTTCGATTAACTTTGACAAGACGGTTTTGAATATTTGATTCTGGTTTTGACTCGTTCGCGATTCACCGAAGAACATCATGAAAATGAAACGTTAAAAAGCTATTCTTAGGACGTGTTTTTGGCCGCATCTCTCTCGTTTAAATCTTTCAAAAGAGGGGAAAACAAAAAAAAAACTGAAGGGTGTAAACATTAGCATTATTTTGTAAATTCTACTAATAATAAACTGTTTATCAGCTATAAATAACAAACAGGATATTATGCTGTCACCGCGGGAAAATGGCTGGCTACTTCGTGAAATCTCTAGGTAACAGGTGACCAAAAGCATGTTAGACTGATGAGTGATGACCAATGGGATTGAAATCCTAAAGGTCTAAGATTGATTTGAGCCGGAAAGAAAATGTAGTGATCCTTGTGAAACGAAGGAATTACATTCTACCTCGGTGCTGCTTCTCAAGACCTTACAGTACTAAAATAAACAATATATAAATTTTCTTTTGTTCTTTAGAAGATTTCAATTGAAAGAATTAACATTTACCTTGTCGTGAAATTTCCCCCCTATAGTCCGCTGAGTGATGACCTTTGGTCATTGCCGATCGTTTTGGTCTGCCTAATGCCTATCCTCGTTTGGTCGATCTGTCAGACACGTTGTGCATTTCGCCATCATCAGTGTGTCTGTGATTCTCTGAAGTCAAGTTTCTTTTATAGACCTCACGACATTACGTGAGCGATTGGTTCTGGGTTCCCAATCTTGCTCGTCACTGTCCCCAAGCGATCTTATATGTTCTTTGTATCTGTTTTTTATTTTTCGTTCTGTCTGTCCAATACATATGGCTTCGTATGTCATTTTTATCAAGGTGCAGGCTTTGTCCTATTATGTGTAACTAGCTGCAGGGTTATAAGAAGGGCGAGGCTAGATTTCGACGAAAATTCGTATGTGTGGCATTAACTATGTGCTGGAGTTGAAACCAAGTCAAATTCAATTGTAATTCTACCTGGAAATTAATTAGTTCGTAGGTTTCAGTTCAAAGTATTTGCCATTGACAGGAGGAAAAAATAAATAAACGGCATGGCGTTACGGTATAAGCAGGGCGAGGCAAGACGCTTTATTTCGACAGAATTTCGGCTGTGTTGAACAATGTGATGAAGTTCAAACCAAGTTTAAATTCAATTATTCTTCTATCTTAAAATTAATTCAGTGCCGTGTTTTCAAAATATATACCAATGAGTGAAAAAAAGGCAAATGACGTAACGTTAGGGTATTAAGCAGGGCGAGGCAAGGAGCTCGATTTGGGCACGCTGTCCCTGTGTCCAATTGGAACAAATCACTCGAGATGAAAATATAAACTTTAGTTACCCTGCCATCAAAACAATTGTGCGTAATTTTCAGTGTTGGTCTTCCAAAATTAAAAACAACGTGACGGCGATATAAGCAGGTCGAGGCGAACTATGTGCTGGAGTTGAAACTAAGTAAAATTCAGTTATAATTCTATTTGGAAATTAATTGTGCGTAATTTTCAGAGTGCCGACTATCCGCAATTGAATTGAAAAAACCCATAGCCAGATGGAGCGATGTTAGGTATTAAGCAGGGCGAGGCAAGACTACATTTTTGTTTTCAAAAATTGCCTATCCCAATGAAAACAAACCGATCCCGGTGAACACAAAGCTCAGTATTAGTTGGTATATAGTGAAGTTTAAAAAAAAATTGTGCTGTTAAACAACGTGGGGCAGGGTTATAAGGAGGAGTAAGCAAAACGCTGACTCCCTTGCTACATACCTTTGTCCAATGCGAACGATGTTCCAAAAGTTGACCAGTTAGAAAAAAGTTTCAGTTATTATAATTTACATATATTTTTTACATTATAATCATAAAAATCACTTCAATTATTACGAAGTTTGTTCGTTACAGATCACTTTCATCTGCGTATTTTCAATGGGTCTGTCAGACGCGTTTCGGCATTTCGTCATCTTCAGTGTGTCTGTGTGATTTCTCGAGTAAGGTCGAATCTCTTTTACACGATCATAAAGGATCTAGTGCGTTTGTCTGCATTACCTTTGTTTATCCTGGTCGGTTTTCGTGAACGTCGGTCCTCTTTATTTTTAATTGGTATTGTGTTTCGAATATTTTTAAGGATGCTGTATGTTTTGGTGGTGATAGTTTAAATTGATTTATAATTGTTATGTAAGGTGTGGTTGAGTTGGTGTAGGTTTTAAAAAATTGTACTGAGATGAAAAATGAGTGTCACGAGTGGGACTCGAACCACCACTTAGCTCATTACTTTGTTTAACTAGGACCAACTGAAAAACATTATTACGGTTAAAGTTAAAAAGTGTCTGCCTATTTACGACCTTACGCATTACCAATATTTTTCAATTAATTAGGGTTTTCAGTTGAGATAAAAAGTCAATGTCACGAGCGGGATTCGAACCCACGACCTTCGGCTAGATACGCCGCTACTCTCCGATAGCTCAAGTGGTAGAGTAGCGGCGCATCTAGCCGAAGGTCGTGGGTACCTTACATAACAATTATAAATCAATTTAAACTTAATCTACAACCACCAAAACATACAGCATCCCTAAAAATATTCGAAACACAATACCAATTAAAAATAAAGAGGACCGAAGTTCACGAAAACCGACCAGGACATTGACTTTTTTATCTCAACTAAAAACCCTAATTAATTGAAAGATATTAATTGGTCAAGCGGACCACGAAAACTAGTAAATTACCAATATTGTTCTTTTGTGCAATCTCCATTATCTAAAGCTCTTCATTAATCTTAAGGCTTTTTATCAGATCCCAAAACCTTGTTAAAGACGCCTGTGTATATCCTTCAGGACTTGGCTTTTCTGATCATTTTTCCTTGTGATACCAGATTAAATTCAACTTCATCCCTAAACGATCCCCTTACGTTTCCAAGGATCCTCTCGAAATTCCACGATGTTTTTTCTGTTTATAACAATTTGAGAAACTCCGCCTTGCCCGGTCTATTTTAAATGCATCTTGGAACAATCAAATGGATATACGGACCAATAAGTTTATTTTTAAATGGCAACCAATAAACAGAATCCGTCCGCATTTCGTACGCTAGCAGCTTTGCAAATTCTGCCTTGAAACGGCCGAAAATAGAAATGTTATAATTAACCCCTGTTAAAATAGTTTATCACAGGCGTTTATTAACTATAAAAAAAGAACAGCTAAACAAGGTTATCTTATGACAACTGTCGCCTATCAGATTTTTTGTTTCATTGAAAACGAATCTTTGCCTTATTTGGTACAGTAAAAGATCTTTAAAATAGAAAATTTACAACGGAAATTGGCTTTTTCCACATAGAAAAAAATGTGCTTGTACCGGCCTTTACCTTTAAACAGTTTTCACCCTACAACTTCATATTCGAAATGTTCCAGTATATAGCTGAATACTATACAAAGTTTTAAAAAAAATTGCAAGAAAGTCTTTTATGCTGTGAGTCTTGAATTAATATGAAATTGAAAAGTATTATTTATAGTTTCACAAATAGCAAACTAATTAAGAAAGTTACAAAAATATGTAATATCAAAAGAGGAACTACATTAGTTGTTTCAAAACGTTCAAACGCTCTTGGTAAAGTGAAACAAGGGAAAAGCAAACCTTCGGCATAAATTATTGTTTATTGTTCATTTGGTTGATTTAAATCTTAAGCAGTTCTATTTATAGTTGGAGAGGTTCATTATCCCTGTTAAGACAGCAAACATTTGCCATTTCAGAACCCGAAGAATCAATAATCGTGTACATGATCAAAGCCATATAGGCCTAAATGCAGAGTCTTCATTAAACTAAGACATCCTAAATGTAATTGTTAAATGCAAACATTGTTTGTAAATTCCAGGCCCTGAAGATGATCTCAATAAAAGATCGAAACGTTGGCAAGATAAAGAAAATGTTTTTCTGAAACCTACATCACACCCGACCGCATCTCACGATATCTGAATAACTATTGATTAACGGTCACTAATCTGTACACATTAAACTAAGATTTAACAAGTATAGTTTTCATCTTTAAAAAAAGAACATTTAAAGCACATAGTGCTTAGAACCAAAATGCAATGAGCAAAAGGCACATGGTTTGATTATAACTTAAGCAGTTCCTAACTATGGATTGTCTGATTTCTAACAACATGCAGTTGTGTAAAACTATGTTTTTAATTAAAAACTAATAAAAATTACCTTTCTTGGAATGTGAACAATAAGAAGGGTCAAATCAGTAATTAATATGGCCTACATATTCTTCCCAGATAAAAATCCATAGACTTTGCCAATCGCGACAACCACATATCACTTTCTGTTTCCTTACATCTGAAGAAAATTTCACTCTCACTCATGACTGATGCCATTTAGCAGACATTTGTACAGGGTTTTGATTTAATTTATACACTGATATAAGGAGATGTTACTTACTTCATAGCAGGGGAAACTCCAGGTGTGACTAGAACAGCCAGTTCGTGTGTGGTATTCACCAGCTTGAGGGAGTTTGCCAGTACTAATGCTCCGATTGCGTACGAATCGTTCGTTGCCAGCGTCACCCATGCTCGTTCTGCAGCAATAAATTGTTATAAAATAAAAATTACTTACAAATTTGATTTAACAAACTAAATTAAACTTAACGATGAACTAGATTATCGACCTGCTGGAAACATGAAGTCTTTTCAGAGGATCTTCGGAAGAGGTCAAACAGAGAAAACTTCCTTACGGTTTTCGCCGAGCTTTCGACAGTTTTATATTGTCATCTTCAGGGCCTGTTTTATTATCAAAAACATAATGTACTTCTGTGCCCAAAACACCATGTTGTTTAATTCCCTATTAAGGTTTAAAGTAAGATATTCAATTTTTGTTGTAATTATTGTTTTTTCATGTTTTAATTGTTTGTTTATATGATAAAACTGTCGAAAGCTCGGCGAAAACGGTAAGGAAGTTTTCTCTGTTTGACCTCTTCCGAAGATCCTCTGAAAAGACTTCATAAATTAAACTTAATCAAACAAAAAAAGAACGTCCTGTCTGTTTAGACCTACTGATGTAGACCTAAAAACGGTCTGGGAAAAAATACTTAGTTGCTCTGACGAGGATTTAAGAAACGCATCGATATTATGAGGACTTTCAAACTTATAAGTGACAAGGTAAGTGCAATGAAATGCATCCACCATTCATAATTCTAGTATTATGTACATAGACATTATCTAGAACATGTTGAGGTGAGAGACAAACTCCCAAAAAATCACAGTCATATAAGTATTAAGCCACCCACGCCTACAATTTACACATGAAATCGAAAACAACAAAAAAATACCATTTTTAGATACACTCGTAATAAAACAACCAGATGGCACATTACTCACAGATTGGTATCAATAACCAAGAAACACAGATAAACAGAACAATAAACAGAAACACAACAGACCTCAACTTTACATCTCACCATCCCCTTCATACAAAATAATAAACACGGCCAAAGGGTTACTTCACAGAAAACATAAAGATATACAAACAGATCCTCCATAACAATCTCTACCCTAAACACATAATTAACAGAATAATCAACAATTACAACTCAACACTAACACTCACATTAAGTCTATCGAAACAAACCAGCATACATTTCCATACCATTTATCCAAGGCCTATCACATAAATTAAACTCATTTCTCTTGTCCGATAACTTCAAAATAGCTTTCAAAAATTATAAAACAATTCAAACACTTTTTTCCAAAATTAAAGATCCCACACCAATAACAAATAAATATGACGTAATCTACAAGATCAACTGTTTAAACTGTCCGGCAACTTACATCGGTCTTACATCCCAATATCTGGACAAGAGAGTAAAGCAACATATATATGATTGCAAAAAACCTAAGCAAAATCCTACAGCACTCGCTACCCACCATCTTGAACACCAACACAATTTCGACTTCAAAAATCCAAAAGTATTACACACAGAACAAAACAAACATAAACGTAATTTCTTAGAAATGGTTTATATCAACAGAGATATATCAAAATATTTTTCACATAGTCTAATTTCCCACAATTTAGCTTTCCTTTTCCTATTTATCCCTTTCTATATAATCCTGAAAGGATAATCTGGCGGAACCATTACCAACACATTTTTTCCCTTCGTCGGCTCTTTTCACCTCAAAGAAGCCAACGCCTTATACAAAAATGTCTTTTCTATACCGACATCCTTCCCCACCCCTTCAAAATCCAATGTATATAAACACAAAATAGCAAAATCTCAACTGGCACTCTCGACACGACACGCAAGAATGGTACAATTACACAGAAGACAAACACTTTGAGTGAGTAGAAATACTTTGATTGAATATATAAAAAAATATATTTTGCATTGTATAAATTCACTTTTACACATCCAAAATGTAATTGTTATATGTAAACAATGTTTGTAAATCCAGGCCCTGAAGATGATCTCAATAAAGATCGAAACGTTGGCACGATAAAGAAAATGTTTTTCTGAAACCTACATCACACCAGACCGCATCTCACGATTCCTAAATAAATATCGATTAAGGGTCACTAATCACCACACACACACGTTAAGGATTATTATGTGCATAAACCTTGAGAGAATTGAGAGAAAAATCTCAAACTAAAACGATCCAAGTTTGCATGAATATCAAAAGTAAATAGAGTGGAATACACCCGCCGTTCAAAAATCTAGTATCTTCTATCAAACTTGATGCAGCGTGTTTTAGAAGAAAAGGGCCTAATGTAATATACATAAATAAAATAAAAAAAGGAGGAGGAGCAAAGGGACCAAATTGCTCTCCCGGAGTCTTGCACATATCCAATTATTTCCAATCTGAGTACATACTGAAAGTGAAAGTGGTACGTCCATATTCACAGATAGCTAAGGGTGAAGGGTTATTATGTGCGAGACTTTAGCTCAACCGAGGTGGTTTTGGAGGCCTGACCTACTTCCATACATGGGGGTACTATGACGTGATGGGATGAGAGGCTTCCAAAGGGCCACACATCAGACCCCAACAGAAAAGTATGTTTAATTGAGAAAAGATAGAAAAATCTCACACGGGACTAACAGAATTGAAGGGTTTTTTTTTCAAACGGAAAGAACGAATCGTTCAGCAGGCAAGAAGTGAGGAATGTCAGAATTATCCATCAAAATACCTAACTTAAACAAATGGGGTAATGCTGAGCGGATTCTTGCCACTCTGCCAAGAAGATGCGAAGACTTCAGACCCTACATGGCTGTGAAACGTTTGCACTGTCATTTTGGAAAGAAGACAAAATTCGTTTTAAGTTTAAGAAAAACTCATTTCAATCTAATTTTTATTTTACTTTAGAAAAAGGTCAACGATTTGCGTTCATTTTTCATTCTAAAAATGAATCTTTTTGAATCAGAAGTTTGGGGTTTAAGACTAATTTAAGTTGCTAAAATGTATGTAAATAGACACAACTGCATCAACGAGCCCGTGACCTTATGTACAACACCCATTGGGTGCTATCCAAAGATTTTCTGGTTTCAAATCGTGTGATGAGAACTGACTTGATAAAATTAGAATCGAACGTAAATGCGGTCAACTCGCTTCGTTTCCTCGAATCAAAGTATCCAAAGCCGGGATTTAAGTTTTTTTTTATCAAGAACTCGAGAATATCAAATGAAATTTATAGTCATGTCACAAGATATTCTAGCAATCTAGCTCATTAGTTGCAATATCGGCCTTCTGAGTAGAGATACCAACTTGCCACCATATTAATGCAGGGAGGGTTTGTATTTTTTTGTCGGGTTCAGTGACATTACTTTGAATGGCCCGATATGAAAAGTCGTTTTATATCTCCACAGGATATTATAATTCTAATTTCCATGTGTCTTATGAAGAATCGTGATTTTGAGCTTAAATTAGCTTAACTTCCTGGTGTGTTCTTAGTTTACCAGCCGACAAACAAGAAAACGCCTTATGTCAAATTATTTATGTCGGCTTAGATCTATAGATAGACTCGTTTGACAGTCTACAAGACCTAGACCTAAAAAGGGAAGAGTGATGCCCGTCACAGGTGTTATCTTGGCTCATGGAATTGTTTTCAATTTGACCCCCCATAACAGCGCTTTATTTGATGATCTATACATCTATACTTACATATGAAATATACAAATTCTCTACCTTCAAGATGATAAAAACAGATACATTGTTCATAATAAATTTATCGGATTGATTACTTTTTCTTCATTTCTCTTTCTTGTCATTCCATGGCCAATTAACACCCGAGTGACAGCTTAACAACTGTGTCCAGAAAAGGGTAGTTGTCTAAATACGACCTGGCAGCCTCTCAGCGGATCTTTTTACACCTTTTCCACAAGCGGTATTTAAAAATCCACGTCTCATGAAAACAGCCCAAGGCTATTTTACACCACCCGAAACACGTTTCTTTTCCCTTATTATAAAAGTTTATGATGTTCCTTTTGTGTTGAAATAGAATCGTTTAACTTTGTCACCGAACCCAACATACACATATGAATTCGGAATATGTCTTCAGCAGAAAGCCTCCAAGAAATTATTCTTTGGTTCTTCAGATTTTTCTCCAAATACATTATATCCTAAGTTGAAGACAGACGCTGAAGACCTTGATCTTGCCCATTAGTTTATAACGTGATTATTATACATAGTTTTCTAAGGATATTGCCAGCCTGTTTTACTACTCATATCATTAATTAAATTATATTTTAACGACATACATTATGCTGCTCTCTCTCTCTCTCTCTCTCTCTCTCTCTCTCTCTCTCTCTCTCTCTCTCTCAAGTAAGATTAAAAAAGTTCACTTGAAAACTCACTAACGAACTGTAAAATCAAAGAAAAGATTATATTATTCTAAAACATACATTAAGGATATACAAATGCATATTATGTACAAACTGATNCGCTCTCTCTCTTTTCTTTTTTCTCAACATCTTTCCCTTATCCTCCCTCTCTCTCTCTCCCTCCTCCCCTCTCTCTCTCTCTCTCTCTCTCTCTCTCTCTCTCTCTCACATACACACACCCTCCTTTGCTGCAGCCTATGGTGACTCAAGGTTACGATGGTCTTCTGGCGAGTTTCTGAGTCAAGAGATCCCATCATGTTTTGTGAAGTTAATTAATTTCATTTTTATTTTATTAAACAATGTAAGAAAATTCATTCACCTATTGAAAATATTTTGTGTTTTGTAATTGAGTTCAATTACTTTGGATTTATTATTCACCTTCATATTGTATTTTTTTTCTTCGAACTATTGTACAGTAAACTATTAATTGGCTTCATGCATGTAATATAATTATTGGAGCATGTATTCAAATAAACTCCCTGGGGTTAGGGTGTCCAAAGGCAATCATGCCACTGTATTTTGTAATGTTAGTAACAAAAAAAAAGAGAAAAAAAAGAGTGCATCTGTTTTATAGCTTTAGTACTTTTAGTGCGACACTTGATAAAAATAGATCAAACATTAAAACAAATTGGGAAAAAATAATTAAAAATAATCCTGTCCTGGCAAGTAAACTTTAAATTAGAACCATTTATCTTGAAACATGTAAGCTTTAGCATTATCCAAAAATAGGTTGGTTGTTTTCTGTATTCTAAAAATAGTCAAGTGTATAATTCCCTAATCACAAAACACTTTAAAAGATTTCAAGTCTATACTTAGACAATAATCACTAAAAATGTTGGTACATGTTCAACAATTTTACAGGATGATTTATGATTATCATCAGGAAAATTCTTATGCTATCATTGTACCAAAAATATTTTAAATATTGTAATATTAATATTTGTTTTAACAATTGACTGGAAAATCTACTTATTGCATCAGAATAAAAATCCAATTTTCTCTGAGTTTTATCAATAATCACTAGTTAGCTTGAAATATTTTCAAAAAATTCTATAACCTTGGGTTCCAGTGATTTTAAAACTCTCAGTGTCAACTGTGATATATCCAGATCTATTTTGGGTCCCCCTAAAAAAAATTTTATTTTATCTGTGGCCTCTCGTGTTACGATATAGCACAATTCCTTCATAGTACTAACAAAAGAAAACCAAAAGATTAAAAATTCTCAGCTAGTCACTCAGTTGGCAACCCTAGCTATGAATCTATTTCTGTAACTGCGATCATCCTGAATACACTTGTGTTGAAATGATTTAAAATTATTTGTGCTAAGTGTGTAAGTGGGATCTTGTATATAGTGCATTGTTTAGTCTGTGCGGTTTCGGTCGGCTGTTATAGAACACAATAAAAAGAAAAAGAAGTGGGGTCATTTTATAAAACTGGTTTAAAGGCATCAAGGTTCTCTCTCCACCAAGACTTACACATCCTTCAATTAAAACAACATTTCATGGATGTTAGAACAGATTTTTAATTGATTGCCATGTCTGGACAATTGTCTATGTTCTAAAAGATATTTATTTAAAAAAAAAAATCATTTAAAAAAATCTCATCTTTTAAAAAGTAGTAAATAAACCTAGTTAGAACAGATTTTTAATTCATGCCATGTCTGGACAAATAATTTGTCTATGTTCTAAAAGATATTTATTTAAATAAAAAAATAATTTAAAAAATCTCAGCTTTTAAAAAGTAGTGAATAAACCTAGTTAGAAGATTTAACACTTTAACACTACGTATGCTGGCAATTAAATTGTAAATTTGCTTTAAAATAGCACAGCCGTACATCTTGAAGACAGGGTGAACAAACATTTAATCAAAAGTAATATACATAAATAAAATTGAATTAGTAATAGAATCGTTTAACTAGATTTGGCGTTCTTCAGAAAAATTAACATCGCCAAAAAATTAATTAATTGTTTGATGTTTAATTGGTAACATTGGAATTTTAATTATCACAATTCACAATTTTATGGAGTTTTTTCCAATCATATATGTTAAAATAAGATCGAGATGACTTTTATTGTTATTAATACATGCTGCAACAAATTTAAGTCACCCCATTATTATTTTTACGACTTTGTGAAAAATACTTAAAATAGTGAACCTCTGAGATAAAAAAATAAGTAAAAACAATTTTTTTTAAATTTTTTCAACTTCAATAATATCCAAAATGTATTGAAACTTACATCAGTGGCTTTTTTATTTTTTAAATAGTGTTTTTTTAACATTTCCTTCCTCAAGGTTTTATAAATAAACAACAAAACCAAAAAATGCTATTAAACAGATAAGATAAAGAGATTCTCATGTATATACATACAAAAAAACATATTAATGATATTATCTGTAACAAGTAGAATGATATAAAAATAAATTGAAAAAACTGAATATAGATAAAATTCAATGTAATTGAATAGAGACTTACTATCAGTCATGTTGTATCTTGTGACTAGAACGTACAGAACCAAAGAGGGCCAGAACAGGACTGAACGGACCTGGTAGTACTATAAATAATAAACAGTTACTACCACACTCTCAACCCCCACTCTCATACCCTTTACAAATTCCAATTGAAACTAATTTGGTTTTTTACTAGAAGTCTATAGTGGATATTAGCTTAATCTAATAGTCAATATTGATTTAAATTGTGAATTGAATTGAATATCTTATATTAAGAAATTGAAAATAATTAGTAATGGATTTTTATTTTTATTTTATTTTATTTATTTATTTTTTAAGATCATTGCGGAGATCACTGGGCAATTTGAAATGGTTGTTATGAATATTTCAGTGTGATTTTATGGCGTTCGTCTACTGAGGATAGGTACAGGTAGAAATCCCCTCATAGGGAAAAAAAAGTGATCTTGTGGGATTCCTTTCTTAAACTAAGTCCTCTTGACAACTTATGGGCATAAATCTCAGAAAGGGCACCAGGAAATGCCTGAATTTAATTTTCTTATACACACTGTTGCTTAATTATAAATTTGTTTATTATATACTCAGAGACAAAAAGAACCGGACACTCATATTTTGTTGTTTATTTCAAATTATACGTATTTTTATCGTTATATTAAATATTATGTTTTTATTTTTATGTAAACCAAATGAAACAAGATCAAAAATTCCTGAGTTTTACTAAAAATTATTTAACTAAGATGGTTTGAAATAAAATTCACTAAAACACAAAAAATAATTAAATAGAAGAAATTTAACTAACAATTTATTACCCACTTTTGCTCATAATAATGTGTTAAGAGCAAATCTAGGCAACAAAATTTTGACTTAAATTTTAATCTATCACTAAATGATTTTCGGGTGTTTTGGTGACTTTTGTTTCAAACCAACATAATAAAGTATTTTTATTAAAACTCGTGCATTTCTGATCTCATTTAATTTGATTTAAATAAGTTGTAATTAATATAACAATAAATATACAGTCCAGTGTCAAGTTTTTTGTCTATGAGTGTAGTTTTGGGCTCAATTTTTTTTCTCTATTGCATTAAGGAAATGCTAAATTTAGAATAAAAATCAACAATTAAAAGTATAATATAAGTTTCTATGATAGTTTTATTGATATCGCTTTTTTTAATATTATTATTATAAATCTTTTTATGTAAGGTTTGGTTGAAATGAAAAAGCCAGTGTCACGAGCGGGATTCGAACCAACAAAGGTAGCCGAGCCTATGTGGGTTTGAGAGAGAGAGAGGGGGGGAGAGAGAGTGAGAGAGAGAGAGAGAGAGAGAGAGAGAGAGAGAGTGAGAAAGAGAGTGGTAGAAATAAATGAAGTAGTGTCTATAGAAAAATGTAGTTGACAATTAATCTGATTATTTTTAATGTCAACAACAAATAATTATAAACTCTAAAAAAAGACCAGACAGAGCCTTGAAATGCATTGCAGTCCTTTGGAATTAAAAAATTTACATAAAATATGTTGCATAAAATACAAAATAAGTAAAACCACTGTACATCTTTAATAGTATAATTTTTACTCAAAAAATATAATTTGCTTCAAGCGAAATTCCTGAAATTAGGCAAATTAACATCAATGATTTGAATTTTGAAAGACATATTACATTTACATTTGTATTGTTCAACAAAATAGTACAATTTACAAAATATTTATTCATTTAAAAACTTTTTGAAACATATAGGCTTTAAAAACAGACTGAAAAAGAATTTTCCTTTCCCTATCTCTAGAATATGTTCATTTATAAGTGCTAGAAATGATTTTTGTTTTTGTTGCTTAATTATTTGTTATAGAAGTATCTGAAAATGAATCATAGAATGATGTTCTAGTGTAAAGCTCCAGGTTTGCTGCAGGCACTAAGCCTTCTTTCTTGCAATTGGTGTCAACGCCTGCAAACAAGACACAACAACAATAAAATAACTGGAAATCAAATGGTTTAATAAACGGGGATCTCCATGTCATAGTTCACTAGGAGCAGTTTTCCACTGTGATTAAACTCTCCGATGAAAAACATGGTTTTCTTTTTTATTCATTACTTTATGGTGAGTATATAGAGTACAAAAAAATATAATTATAACCTAATCTGGTTTAGTAGAAAATAATATTTGAAAATTGCAATATCCACTATTTTTAACTGAAGACAGGATTTATCTGTTACTGTAACCATTAACAAAACATTTCCAAATTGAAATAAATTTATTTATTTACAATAGGAATTGCAATTAAAATGTTGTAAATGACATTATTCCTTTTTTTAATTAAAATATTTTTAAAAAAAGCAAAGAAAAGAATAGTGATACGCGACCAAGAAGGAGTATGAGGTTCACTGGTTCACTTAAGAAAATGGAGGACTCAGTCTGACTTGAATGTTCTGATTGGTTGAAATTGGAGATGTCTGAATTTGTAAATAATCACCCGTGAGGATACGTCTGCTTTTCAAAATATCTCATATTTTCATACCAGGTCTTTATGGACAGTTTTGTTACAAATAAGTTCTACCATTCAATTCACCTCGTCATAGATTATTAAAAAAACAGCCTACTAAATAAAAGAAAAAAAATCTGCAAATAATGGAGATGACCACCATTGTAACTAGGGTTTTCAAAGACTGCATTAAAAACTATTAATTTTGTATACAGTGCATACCGTAAAGTCTGACAAACCACCAGCAAGGATTTTCATCTGAAATCAAATACACTATGTCACCTTTTTTTATTGTAAGTTCACACGCTTTGGAAGCTTCATAGCTGTTTCCTACGATATAAACCTTAAACACAAATGTAAAGATATAATAGCAATGATAATAATTAAAAAATAAAATTAAAAAATTACTTGGCAAGAAGGTGTTTTTTCAGTATCTAAGTTAAAGTTTTCATCGCTTGAATCTGAAAAGTCATCCTCTATGGGACTTATGTTTGACTTAACCTTATCAAGTAGCAATTTGATTTGGTTAACCCAACAACTTCTTTGTTCTTCATCTACAGCTTCTATTATGTACACTCCACTCTTTCCGACCAGTTCAAAATCAAATGTTCTGCTGTCTTCTTTGACAAGATTAACACAACTGATATCATTCATCTAATAAAATTTAAACATAAATTTAGATTGTTGGTTACTTTCTTGAACTAAAAGCACCAATTATTTATTTTAAACCATACAATTTCTATGCATTTTGGGCCACATCCATGGTCCATCCCTCTTCAAGATGTTAAATTAAAATTTATGTAAATGCACAGCTAAATATATTGCTTAAGATAAATAATTAGTGTTTTTAGTTTAATAAAACCTAGATTTCAAATATTTTACCACCAAATAAAAATAAAATAAAGAATTTGAATTAAACATAAATTTAACATGCACAGATTTTTTAAAAATAATATTTCTGCAATGTTTATTATGAAATACATATTACCATTAAAAGTTCTTTAAAACAATATGTATCTTTGAAGCTTTTCTCCTTACGCTTACACAACATCAAAGCATTTTGGTATAGCAAAATGTGTCTCTTTTGTTTTTTCTGAAGCAGGTCCTTAGGTTTTTTCGATTTGACCAAAAAGTCGTTATGCAATAAACGGTCTCCAAGTTCACTGAGGTCATACTTAAAAATCATCAGTCAGAAGGCTATTGAAATGTTTAAAGCGTTTATTCAATTTTGTCTTACTGGATAATCAGCCACTGAAAATGTAGGCATACTCTCGTTAACACAATTCAAAACAGACAATATGCACTCAAGTGCTTCTTGAAGTTCACTCCTCCATTGTGTATCATCATTGCAATTGAGTAATTCCTTTAAAAACAAATCCTCCTTAACAAATATAAAAAATATATACTACATGTAAAGGTTAAATTACCTTGATCAAAAGTTGATACTTAGTTATTCTTTGAACAGGCTTGATAAGATATGTTTCTAATGAAAGTTGATGACCCAAGCGATCTTGGCAAATTTTCAAGAAATAATGATTTTTAATGCTTTGTCTAAATAGCATTTTTTTCTCCAAATTTTGGCAGTAAGTGCTATATAATCTATTAAGGTCATCTATCTATAGGTGTACAATTTTGTAAATAAATTATTATACATTTATATAAACATTTTATATATTTACCCTTTTTAAAAAGCATTGAGCTATAGGTTTGGATTCATGACAAATACTTTGTTTTAGCTCATTGATAAAAACTTGTTTGTGGAAAGCATATATCTCTTCAAAATTGCCAAATATATCATCAACTTTGCATTTCAATTCTGGGCAGTACATGTTACCATCTCCAGGCTCTGATTTCAAAGGTATTATGTAACCCTTGAATAGTTAAGAAAGAGTTTATGTTTTATAATTAAATTCATATCATTATGATCATAAAATGTCAATTGTTAACCTGTTTAATTGTTTCAAGTTGGTCGATATAATCACTCTCAGAAACAAGCAGCTCTTTCAGAATACAAGACATCTTGTCCTTTTCTTTTTCTTGGTTATCTATTGTTTTACCGATGCTGCTTTGCTGTTTTTATTAATCAAATTAATTATTAACTAAATGGAGAATATTGTTTTTAAATATAATTTATAATAACAATCTATAAGAGAAAATAAGAGACCTTAGTTTGAAATTGTTGGAAAATATGATCTACCCTTGAGAAAAGTAATGAAGTAATAAAAATATTAATAAAATATATAGATATACTAGTATTATTACTATACCTATTATAATAAATACTATACTATAAAATATATTAGTATTGCTATACCCTAGCAAAGCCCCTTAGACTAAACCCAACAATTTTCCATGCTGAGGTCCATGCATTACAACTCTCACAAGTTAATAAAGAAAAATACAAAAGGTGAACAAATTTACAAACTCACAGATAAAGTCAATAAATGTTATGCTTTCAAAACCAAAGTTGCCTGAGAGTGCCTAACAAAATCAGAATAGCTTAAAGTTGGTTCCCGGACATGAAATATAGAAAGAAATCTACAGGCTGACCAACTAGCCTACTAGGTGCACCAGAATGTGTACTGTGTGTAAGTTGAAACTGGAAAAATGGCTTGAGATAGAAAAACTCAATCTATGGACAAAAGCACCAGGCATGAGGCGAGCAAAGAGCTTTATAAAAAGGATAGAAAATACAAAACGTAAAGCAAAGGAAGGAAGAAGCAGGCCAGATTTGAGAAAAACTATAAGTCTTTATACCGGCCACTGCCCTCTTAACTATGACCTAAAGAAGAAGGGCAGAAACATAAACATGTCGACAGTAAGGCAATTCTTATGCCAAAAGAGGTGTGCGAAGAGGCACCAAGAAAATTGCTTAATTTTATAAGAAAAAGTGCTCTTTCTAAGGTATGGCTATAATTTATTAATTTATAGGGTTCTGCAATAGATCTATATAGGTTGCTGTGGATAAAAAGATTTTTAAAATCCTTATCAATCAAACTTAAAAAAATATATAATGTATATATATATATATATTGTTTTTAAACACACATACGGCCCCAGAGAGGAAGAAGCCCAGAGGGCCAGCCGCAATGCATAGGGACAAGCACTTATATCTGGTTTATTTCAAACTATATGTATGTATTTTTATCATTATTATTCAGAAATCGTGAGATGCGGTCTGGTGTGTCTGAAACCTACATCATACCAGACTGCATCTCATGATTTCTGAATAATTATCGATTAACGGTCACTAATCACCACACATTTTATCATTATATTAATTACACGATACTTATTTTAATATAAACCAAATTAAAGAGATTAGAAATTTATGAGATTTAATAAAAATATTTAATTGAGATCGTTTGAAAGAAAATTACCAAAATGCTGGAAAATTATTTAACGATTTAACTAACAATTTATTCTATCACTAAACCATTTAATTTGGTTGACATTAAAAATAAGTATGTTATAATTTAAAAATACTTTTTTTTTTGCTATATCTGAGTATATTTATCAAATTTATCATGGATGGATGAAATTTATAACTTACATGTTCTTTTGGTTGCAAATTGTCCAAATCCAAACAAGGATTTGCTCGGTTACCACCTGCTGAATTATAAATTTTTTCACTCCTGTTGTTATTTGTGGTGTTGTTTAGTTTCGCCGTTGAAATATTTGAGGGATTAGCTTGCTTGCAATTATTATCTGCATGATGAGGTCTTGATTTACCTTTGGTCGATCGTTTAAGATGTAAGTTTGTAGGCTTTGGAGGTATTTGAGGTGGTGGTTTTCTTATTTTTTGTTCTACATTTCTCATCTTTTCTTCTAATATTTCAATTTTATGTCTCAAATTTAAATGACTTACTTCTATATCCCCTATCCTTGCAATCAATATCTTAATACAATCTTCTAAATTATCTGCAAAGTTGAATAAGCTAGTGTCTTTCGTCTCTTGAGTCTTCGCTCCGGCATTTTCAAACATTAAATTTTCAAATCGCTTTTCCTGCTGTTCAATTCTTGCAATCATATCTCTATTATCGATGTCTAGGCAGCTGATTTTGCCAATCAAAAAGTTGACACTATCCAACAATTCACTCGGCTCAGAATCAACCATCGTAAAACTAAAAAATTATGAGTTGAGCTAATGATAGAATATAAGTTACTGTGAAAGAAACGAACTTCCGTTTATCAAGCAGATAAGGCCTTGCCAGCAAGTTTCTTATCATACATACATTTCCTTTAATCTTTCCAGAAAGATCAATTGTTGGAATTATGATTTATAATGTTCATTTAAAGATTTGAGCTATCAAAATAATAATTTAATAAAAATAATTGTCTAAGAGAAACTATTCAATTTTTTCATTATTGTGAGATGTTTTGTTTAGAGGCATTCAAACTACATATTATGTTATTGTTAATAATTGAATTAAATCACATACAAAAAGATAATTAAACTAATAAAGGTAAACAGGAACATAGAGCAAGAAATACATGAAAAAACTAGTCTTGTTAAATGCCCATAATGATGTGAAACATGAATTCAGGGATAATAATTTTTTTTATTTATTGGTACAAGAAGTATGTAAATAATAAAATAATATTTACATACTTCATATAGCAGGAAATTAAAAAAACAAAAAAAATTAAAACTGACAGGCTATCTACGCCACTTTCGTACACTTACAATGTCACTACCGTTACTACCACTTAAAGTCACTTTGATGCAGTTATGCTTGAAAATTTTTAAACAAATGGTCTATAAAAGATTTATAGGCCAAGTATTCCAATTAAATTCACTAACAATTACTTACAAGTTTCTAGATGTCAAACTCAGAGAACACAGGAAACGTTGAGAACCTTGGCTCCAATTTACTCAAGTCCAACTAGTTTGGTATTCAATAAAATAGTATACTCATACGATTTCCAAGTGTTAGGCATAATGCAATTTTGACCAATGTTAAAGAAAAAAATGTTACAGCAATAAATACAATTGTTCAACTCATCTTTCCATGTCTATACTCGGTAGATTGGTCTGTCAGGCACTTTTCTGCATTCACAATCTACAGTGCAATAGACATGCTTGGGCAGTGAATGACAGTTCAATCTTGGAATTTACAAGCAATCTCTAAACGATGAAGAGTTTGCATGCACTCAAGTATAATTCAAGCAGCCAAGTTCTCTAGGTTTCCTGTTTTGAGTGTCACATCTAGAAACTGTAATCACTAAGAAATTTAATTGGAAAACTCTTAGCAAATAAACTTTTTATAAGTCTTTTGTTTAAATTTTCAAATTGTAAATAATTCAAACTTAATATTTTTAATAAAATCATTTAAAAAAATACCTTGTTTACAAAATTGAAGACAAAAAGTAGAAAAAGCTGAAAAAATTGACTAAAGTTTGAACCATACTATCAATATGACTTTTTATCAAAGAATCTGATTTGTTGTGGAAAAATTTGCTGATTTCATTCAAAGGTAGCAAATGAATACAAACAATGTTGTTAAAAATTGTTTAATAAGCAAAATATATTTTTTTTTTCCTGGGAAACTGGCTAGAAGTAAACAAATATATAATTTAGGCAATAACATTTATTCAAAGATACAATCTTTTTTTAAAAAATACAAATATTGTAATATAAAAATATATTACTGTATTTTTACAATATTACAAACAACCTATTTCAAATATCACAATATTTCTAGTTTTAGTGTGTTATTATGAATGCAAATTCATTTTATTTAACAGAAATTTTTTAATTTGAGTTAGGACTTAATTCTTGCTAGGACAAAAATGTCACTGTGATTATTTAAACAGTAGTGTTTAGAAATGTTCAAAATTGTGAGTCTCGTGTGATCTGGGGTTGATAAATTTGTTCTTTGGTTGTTATTTATCGTTTTGATCTACCTGAGGCATTTCCGTATTTCACCATATTCAGTGTCTTACTCATGGCTGAAATACACCTGCAGAGCAGGATGATCGGTAATGACCAAACTACAATATTCAAAATTAATTATACTTAACTAAAGTCTTGATTGAGCTGAAAAAGTTATTGTCATGAGTCGGATTCGAACCCACAGCCTTCAGCTTTGCCGCGCTTCAACCACTTACGCTATCATGACTTTTAAGTTACTGAAGTGATAATAATCCCGCTTTTTCATCTCAACCAAGACTTTAGATAAAAATGTAATTAATTAAAATAATTAAAATAGGTCAATTATGACTGCTAAATATATTATTAATATTCAAATATAACATTTGGATTAATATAATATTCAAAATATTAATCACTAATCTCAAAACAAATTGTCAGTCTTCTTGAACACTTTTACTAACATTCCTATATATAATCACATTGACCAGAAAATATAATCTAAAAATTGAAAACAATATAACAATCATGGTGAAACTCGTTTTTCAAAACACATAGGTAACATCCTTACAAGCATGTAAGAATTAAAAACATTGAGCGTCTTTATCAAACTCACTACTTAACTACAACTCTCCAGCAGCATACTTCTTCTTTTTAGGTGTTGGACAGTAGCAAGCTGCACTCTGAGCATCCTTAAAAAATTTACAACCAATGGACTGTGTGGCTGTGAATAGCACTTTCGCTGCACCTTTACAAGCTACAAAAAAAAAAAAAAAAAAAAAAAAGTATGATATTTAGTGACTGTTAGTCAATGATTATTCAGAGATCGTGAGATGCGGTCTGGTGTGACGTAGGTTTTAGAAAAACATTTTCTTTGTCGTGCCAACGTTTCGATCTTTATTGAGATCATCTTCAGAGGCCTGGGATTTATAAACATTGTTAAAATTTTACAAATATATGTAGGATGTGAAAAAATGAATTTATATAATGCTAGAAATTTTAGATTAAAAAAAGAAATTTAAATAAATAAAATGAATTTATACAATGCTAGAAAATTTTAGATTAGAAAAAATGAATTTATACAATGCTAGAAAATTTTAGATTAAAAAAAAAACGAATTTATACAATGCTAGAAAATTTTAGATTAAAAAAATGAATGTATACATTGCTAGAAAATTTTAGATTCAATCAAAGTATTTGCACTTACTCAAAGTGTCAAGTCAAAATAAACACTTTGAGTGAGTACAAATACTTTGAATCCAAAATTTTCTAGCATTGTATAAATTCATTTTTTTTCTAATCTAAAATTTTCTAGCATTGTATAAATTCGTGTTTTTTTAAATCTAAAATTGTCTAGCATTGTATAAATTCATTTTATTTATTTAAATTTCTTTTTTTAATCTAAAATTTCTAGCATTGTATAAATTCATTTTTTTTCTAATCTAAAATTGTCTAGCATTGTATAAATTCATTTTTTTTCTAATCTAAAATTGTCTAGCATTGTATAAATTCATTTTATTTATTTAAATTTCTTTTTTTAATCTAAAATTTCTAGCATTGTATAAATTCATTTTTTCACATCCTACATGTATTTGTAAAATTTAAACAATGTTTATAAATTCCAGGCCCTGAAGATGATCTCAATAAAGATCGAAGCGTTGGCATGATAAAGAAAATATTTTTCTAAAACCTACGTCACACCAGACCGCATCTCACGATCTCCGAATAACTACAAAAAAAATTAAATATCAAATTGAAATTAAAATATAAAGTGCTAGATATTATTCTAACCTTTTAGCACTAAACTATCTAGATTTTTATTTTCACAGGTGCTGTACAGACACCTTTTGAAAGTTAAATCACATTTTTCTTTGAGTGTATTACAAGTCCCATAACATACATCATGAGTGTTACAGCACTTCACCATATCATTATAAAATGGTGCATCAACATTTACCTGAAAAATACAAAACTAAAACAGTTAACAACAAAAGAATAATTAATTAAATAATCACATACATTTAACCCTTCTGGTCCACACCCATTTGTGACTGGCTTTGAATATTTGTTACTGACAGCAGTGACACCTGAAATTTAACAATAAAATACATAATACTAAGCATTTGACAAAAATACAGAATGAAGTATTAAAGTTTTGTTGTGGGTTTGCCAAGCAATAATCCTTCTCTGAAATAATGTTAATGCTAAACGTTATAAGCTTTTGTTACAAGAATAAAAATATTATAATCAGTGCTTAGATCACTAATGACAGATGACAAAAAATTTACGACATAAAGCTAGGTTTCCATTGTGCAAAAAAATCACTTCTGTATCTAAATGCCATCTCGGGTTAACCATTTCCACGAAGTGAAACATTTTGCAACCTAGAGGTGAAACAAGGTGAACCATTAGTTGCATGAGAAAGCATGCCGTTTATAACTACACAAACTGCTGCATCAGTGTTTGCTATCATGGTTATAATTTATGTAAAATAAAAAACAAATGAAGTTGAGTTGAATTTTATTTATTACTTTTTAATATGAGTTTTATCTTTAGTATCCCACAAAAATTGGTAGCTGTGATACATTTAGATAGTCAAATGCATTCCTCCTGGTTCATTCTCATACTCGAGACATGTGCGTTTAAACGGAGAGAAACAAATAATGTAAAACACTTTGATGCACAATAAAAAACCGACAGCTGATTGGCTCATCTCAAAACTTCCTTGCACCAAGTTTCCCAGTCCCAGCTAGGCCTCCACAACACAAGTTTCGCAAAGTAGTTGCACGAGTGGTGAGTTTCGTGCAGTGAAAACCCAGCTTTAGAGCTTTGGCAATTAAAAACCTCACTGCGATTGAACTAGATTTTGGCGTGAGGTCACCATCATTTAGATCCCAGATTATGCTTCTAAGGAAAAGAAAGGGTTGAAAAAGCAGTCAAGAGGTCTGCAACCCTGTCACATGACCCGGAAACTCCAATTAGCCCAGCAGATACAAAATAAGATATGAAAAGAATTAGTTGGCATAATTGACAAACTTGCTTGATGGCCAAGATCAGAAAGCTAAGTGAAGAGTCACCACCAGTCTATCTGACTGTGTACAGCAAGAATACAAAAAAAAGTACCATTTATCCACTGACGAAAGAAAATATTAAAATTTAATTATACCATAATAGCGATTGCAGAGGTAAAAGTAAAGAATATCTGAAGTTATACGTACAATTTTATGGTTGCATATAGGGAACCTCTTCATATGTGACTTTTATTAAGGTGTGACTGTATTAATTGGTGACAATGGTTGAGGGGTGTAGGAAAATCTGTGACAGAATATCAAGTATCTCTCAGACCCACTAGAGTAGTCCACTAGATTGTAAAATTTTCAATCAGCATGCATAGAAATTACTTGAAAACCACAAACAAGGTTCTGTATGAAGCTTCCAAGAGAATATCATTAAGGTGAGACAATCTTCATCTATGAAAAAATTGATGGTGTTGTGAACATTTTTGAACTTGCCAACAACCTACTAATTTAAATGCGCTTTTGATGCTTTTAACCCCCCCCCCATGGCTATACACATAACATTTTTTTATGTTTCAATCTATCACCATAAATATTCAGATTTTCTGCAATCTGTTATTTCAGAGAGCTTTTATAATATTCAGTTAGTAAATATTTGAAATCATTCAAGCTGCATGAATACAAATTTACTTGACAACAAACAAGCCTCCCCATGAAACTTTTGAGAGAATATTATTAAGTCCTTGAACTTGCCATAGCACTTCAACTATGTAAATTGCAATTTGAGTTATTGATTTAAGTATGCTTTTGGTACTTTCCCCCCAAATTTCTATTCACATAAAAAATTTTAATGTGTCAATCAATCGCGACAAAAGCTCAACTTTTCCGCAATCTGTTTTTAATGAGTCTTTATTAAGTTCATTTGGCAAATTTTTGAAATTATTCAAGCAGTATGCATGGCAGTTACTTGAAAATAATAAACAAGTCTCTTCATAAAGCTGTTGAGAGAATTTCATTAAATAGGGGACCAGTCCTCATCGTGAACATTCTTGAACTTCTCAGCCAATTCTACAATATAAATTGGCTAATTTGGTAATAACAAAAGCAAAAAAAAACAAATAAATAAAATAAATAAATTTGTTGGAATTAAAGATATTGATTTAACTATGCTTTTGATAATTTTCCCATAATGTCTGAACAAATAAAATTTTATGTGATCATCAATTGCGATAAAGCTCGGCTTTTCTGCAATCTGTTTTTTAAAGTCTTTATGAAGTTAATTTGGTAAATTTTTGAAATTATTCAAGCAGTTTGTATAGAAATTACTTGAAGATAATAAACAAGTCTCTTTATGAAGCTTTAGAGAGAATATCATAAGTAGAACCATTCTTTATCTATCAAAGAATTGACGAAATGTCGTAAATATTTTTGAACTTGTCAACCAACTCAACAATATAAATTGGTAATAACAAAGGCAAAAACAAATTAATTAATTAAAATAAAAAATAATACATTTGTTGGAATTAAAGATAATGATTTAATTATGCTTTTGATACTTTTCCCCAATGTGTACACATAAGATTTTATGTGTTCATCAATTGCAATAAAGCTCGGCTTTTCTGCAATTTGTTTTTTAAGGAGTCTTTATAAAGTTTTTGAAATAATTCAAGCAGTATGCATGGAAATTACTTGAAAATAATATACAGGTCTCTTCATGAAGCTTTTGAGAGAATTTTATAAAGTAGAACCATCCTTCATCTATCAAAGAATTGACAGTGTCGTGAACATTCTTGAACTTGCCAACCAGCTCAACATTTTAAATTTGTTAGAATGTGAATTGTTGATTTAAGTATGCTTTTTATATAATATAATCTCCCCCCCCACAATGTTTGTATACATAAGATTTTTTAATGTGTCAATCAGGGGACCGCGGTAGCCGAGTGGTTAGCATGAGAGACTCTCACGCCGCGGTCGTGGGTTCGATTCCCACCGTTGCCCCTGGCCCTTTTTTCCCAATAACCCCCCAAATTTGAACACACATATACGAATTTGTCACATGGCTAATATGCATAGTTCATAACGCCAAAAAAAANAAAAAAAAAAAAAAAAAAAAAAAAAAAAAAAAAAAAAAAAAAAAAAAAAAAAAAAAAAAAAAAATGTGTCAATCAATCACAATAAAAGCTCAGCTTTTCTGCAATTTTTTTTTAAGGAGTCTGTATACAGTTATTGTGGCAAGTTTTTGAAATAATTCAAGCAGCAGGCATGGGAATTACTTGAAAATAATATACAGATCTCTTCATGAAGCTTTTGAGAGAATTTTATAAAGTAGAACCATCCTTCACCTATCAAAGAATTGACAATATCGGGAACATTCTTGAACTTGCAAACCAGCTCAACATATTAAATTTATTAGAATGTGAATTGCTGATTTAAGTATGCTTTTGAAGGGAATATAATCTCTCCCCACAATGTTTGTACACATAAGATTTTTTAATGTGTCAAACAATCACGATAAAAGTTCAGCTTTTCTGCAATAGGTTCTTTAGGGAGCTTTTATCAAGTTCAGTTGATAAATATTTGAAATCATTAAGGCAGCATGCATGGAAATTGCTTGACAAGAACAAACAAGTCTCTTCGTAAAGCTTTTGAGAGAATACCATTAGGACAATTCCAGAGACAATCTTCGTCCAGAGACGAGTCTATGGTGTCATGAACATTCTTGAGCTTGCTGACCACCTCGTCGAACTTTAAAAGGAAGTTGCCGAAAACGTTTTCAGCGGCCAAGACCGCCTCTCTCAAACTTGATAGCACGTTGTTCCCGTAGCCGCTCCAGATGTAGCCGACAAAAGTCAAGGCGTAAATAAAAACTTTCGCTTTTGGTATCTCCATGAGTAAGAAAAACTACAAATATACGGTGAAGGTCCGTAGTTCAAAATTTAATTTTAGCATCGGAACCTGAGAAGGTTAATGACGGGCTACAAAGAATGATACAATTTGATGAGTTGATAGTTCAGGAATGACACCTCATTCATGACACAACATTTGACAAATCTGCTATAATTCATCTTTGTTCTTTTTTATTTTTGTTTATCTTTCCACGATTCATTTTATTATTAATTAATTATTAATCGTGGCAAGACATACCAAAACTCTCTTCCTTGCAAGCAATCTATTGATAAACTTAGTTTATAGGATCAAATTAACTATTTAAAATTAAATGTAGCTAAATACTCTGTAATTTTCCTTAATCGTTCTTCCAACACCATTGTATATAATTTTTCTCTTAATAATGTCGAAAATAATAATAATACGTATCAAAGATTGGGTATCTTGTTTGATAGCAAGTTGGAATTAAGTAGCATCAGTATATATATAAAAAAAGGCACTTAAAATTCAGGGTTTTGTTATAAGAAACACTTGTACTTTTCATAATCCCAATTTTTTTTGCCTAACCTTTTGGCATTAGCGAGACACACGGAGTGCCATTGCCGCCCAGGGAGATATAGTGAGTCACCTCTTTTTTTTAAACAATAAATAAATAATTTTTTAAATAATCCCAATTCATCATTGATGTACTCAAGTTGGGAGTACAACATTCACTTATACGTGTGTGTATGGTGATTAGTGACCGTTAGTCGATGATTATTCAGAGATCGTGAAATGCAGTCTGGTGTGATGTAGGTTTTAGAAAAACATTTTCTTTGTCGTGCCAACGTTTCAATCTTTATTGAGATCATCTTCAAGGGCCTGGGATTTATAAACATTGTTCAAATTTACAACCATACAAATACATGTAGGATGTGAAAAAATAAATTTATGCAATGCAAAAAAAGAAAAAAGTATTTCACTTATACATTGATGTAAATTCATTCCTCCAATCCTTGAATTCTACTGTTGTAAGAAGTCTACAGTTTTCTTCTCATTCTGAATTTTTAGATAAAGTTCAAAATAAATTTATTAGAATACTTAATTTTCTTCACCTGTCATCCTCAGAACTGCCTGTTCCTCTAACTCCTTCACACAGATTTGGATGAGAAGAGATTATTGTTTGAGGAATTGATATACTTTGTTTTTAAGTCAGATGTTGAGGTCTTGAGTTTTGGTTCCTTATACGTACTTGATCTTCAGGATGCATCTAGGATAATTGTCATATAACATACTATGCTACTAGGTTCAATTTTTTGATTTGTCTTTGAAAATGTCTACAATTTGAATGTAGCAATTTTTTCTACTGTTTAGTTTTGTTTGATAAACGATACCTAATTATTTAATAGAAGTAATATAAAAAGGAAAATGCAATTATTGAGGTTGTCCAAACTTATCGTGAAATCAATTGGCGTGCCAACAAAGGCATTTTATCAATTTAATAAATGTACAAGTAGAACAAACAATATTGTAATTACTGATTGTAAAACACAGTATTGTCACCAAAAATTAACTTATCAAACATAAACAATTAAGATATGGATAAGTACATTATTATATAGGCCATTTGGGTTTTATTAATATTTTGATAATAAATTACACATCTATACTTATCTTAAAAAATTTAAAAAAATAAAAATCATTGTCAACAATAACCAATAGTTCATTAAATCATAACTCATTTTGGCAACAATACAATCATTCATTTATTAAATAACGTCAGTTGCTTTTGTCTCCAATGAATAAAAACGTCATAAGATTATTGAAGCATTTTCTCTAATTTTCCGTTTTCATATAGATTTTTGACATCGCTTCCTCCTCCAACAAATTCCCCTTTGATAAATACCCTAGGGACCTGTAAAACATTTAATTTTTTTTAAAATTAATTCTATTCACAAGAATAAAATGTCTTACCGTTCTCGCGCCGGTGATTTCACCAAGGACACTCTGAATCTGGTCCCCGTCATCTCTTCCATCTAGTTCGATTGTTGTAAACTTTCTTTGGAGCTTTTGAAAAACCTGGGAACAAGTAGGAATTATAATAACCTTTATGAATAAACATTCTAGGAGAAGCGGCCACATTTTTTAAATCAAAATAAAATTAATTGAGGCGAATAAATCAAGGTTATCAAGACCTTCTTAAATAAAAGCACCATGAAGTAAAAGGAAAGTTGATAATTGTAACAATTACATAAAAAATAGCGTCAAATGGATAGTCTAAGAAGAGACATAATGTGTTTTGCCTAGTATTCAATTTTACCTTCATTGAGGCAAATCAATACAATTAAATTTACAAATACAATTAAATACAAAGTAAGTAAAAAGTAAAATAAATCTTGTTGTATATTAGGGCTTTATATCCAACTACCCATTGAGTCTCACAAGGGATCAAGCCACCTTACAATATTTCATGGGCTGTGCCCCCCAAAACTGCTAGCAGGCAAATACTATTCAAAATTCGGCCACCAAGGTCCCCCCTTAAATATATCATTTAGTTCTAATTTGGAAAAATTTGTAAGAAGGTGGTCTTTTCCAAAGCAAGAACTGATATATTCATTCTTAATTTACTTATTTTTTATAAATTAGTCTATCATTCACCTATGGGACTGTAGTAGCCTAGTGGATAGACTCTCGGCTCATTAGACCCCATGGTGGTGGGTTCAATTCTCGCTATCACCCCTTGTCTTTTTGTTGTTACCTTTTCCCCAAGAATACAATTACATAATTCACAGTTTCTATCTGGCTATTTATTCTTTATTCTATTTTAATGTTGAAAAAATAAAGCCATTAAAAATATTTTAAAAAACATTCACCTATGAATTAATTTTTATAATCTTACAGAAAACCGTTTCATGATTGTCATCAGTCGAAGATGAACATTTCTAGAAATGATTATTCAGAAATTGTGAGATGCGGTCTGGTGTGATGTAGGTTTCGGAAAAACATTTTCTTTATCGTGCCAATATTTCAATCTTTATTGAGATATTAGGGCCTGGGATTTACAAATATTGTTTAAATTTAACAAATACATGTAGGATGTGGAAAAAAGTGAATTTATACAATGCAAAAAAATTTTTTTTTATTCAATCAAAATATTTCTACTCACTTAAAGGGTTTGTCTTCTGTGTAATTGTGCCATTCACCTATTGTATATTGTGCCTACATCACACCAGACCGCATCTCACGATTTCTGAATAATCATCGACTAACGGTCTCACCGACTCATTGAATCTCACACACTCGACTAACTAACCACACATTTCTAGAAATTATGAGTATGATGAGGAAAATGAAATGAACTAAATATTACAATGCTTTACAGATGGTCAAATCAAATATTAATTAAATATCTACTTGATCTTTACCTCTTAGCAGTATTGGGCAAAAATTAGTCATGTCTAATGATTAATGATTGATCACTCAGACCGTTAGTCATGATTGGTAGTAAGTTACTAATTTAGTCATTAGTCGCCATATGTGATTGATGGCTAAATTAGTCATGACTAGTAATTAAATGCGAGGCATAACTAATTTAATCACAATATAGTTAGTCATGACTAAATTTTGATAAATCATGTTCAAATGGGTGCTCAAAAAATGAAAAATACACTTCATCACTTTTAAAAAATTTTCTAACAAATTTATTTCATCAAAACGAAAATCGTTCAACACCTTATTTAACAAAATTCAATCTTCCAATTATAAGTAAAACTCCGTCGTTATAAAAAGCCAAAAAACAATGATAATAATAAAATAAAATAAAAAATCCTAGAACAAGCTACACTTTGAAAAATAAATATGTTTACATTACCGATCAATGGAAAAAAATATTTCTTTGAATTAAAATTTATTCCACTTAAAAGGAGAGATTTATACATTATTTGGAAAATACAACATCTAGGGGTCTTGATTGTAATAAAATAGACATGTAGAATAATTATGTAACTTTGGTTTTTGTTTATGATAACACTTTTTGAAGGTTGGCCTTGAGCACGACTCTCATCTCAAAATTTTTATCCACAGTCGGTTGGATTTTGGTAAGTTAGTCATTGTAGCCAGAGTTGGGCAAAATCAAACTAATTCAGTCATGATTAAGAATTTTGATTGAAGTTTAATCATGATTGAATTAGTCAAGAGTAAATTAATCATTATATGATTTAATCATAATTAATTCAATCATGAGGTATGACTAAATCATAAAATGATTAATTTACTCATAAACTTCAATCAAAATTATTAATCATGATTGAATTAGTTTGATTTTGCCCAACTCTGCCTCTTAGTAACAGTACTATGGATTTGAGGCAGAACTAATAGAATACAATTAAATTGTTAAATTGTGTAATATTTATAATATATTTAAATAAATTTACTCTAGTCTACGAGTTTTACCACCAGCCTGTAATTTTTCAGGAGAAAACTTAAAAAGATTTTTACCACATATAATCAAGGCTGACATTTTTAATATTTATATTCATTGTAATAATTGTTCATAACTAATGTAACTTTTTATTCTGACTTAAATTAAATGGAAATATACTTACTTCTTTAGCCATTGTGCAGTATGGGCAATAAGACTTTGAGAATATGACGATAGTGTCTTGTAGGATGGCATCTTTGACGAACTGTGCAACTGGACCACTCATGTCTGCGGGTTGAGACCTACCTAAACCCATGGTTAGAGCTGATATTAAAGAGCTGAAAGAATAAAAGTAAAATGTAATCTATGTATTATTTTGCTTTGTTCTGAGACCCGTCATACAAAAGTGTCAGGTGACGTTGGTGTTAGAAACAATGCAAACATAATAACAAAAAACAAAAAGCTTAATTGTACCAAAAGTTGGCTTGACAATGTTGACCACTCTTGTGCTTACATTTCCCCCCATTGTCCTGAAAAATTGTAGTGCTGTAAGAACATAATATTCGTGTATGTTTGTGTCTATGTGAACGTGTTTGATCCGGTCTTTTCACCGGGTGGCTGTTGAATCTCCTTGTTGTAAACACTTTAACATAATTACCAGTGATACATATATCTTGAGATTAGGCACATCATTATTACTCAATGTTTGCCAAAATTGTTTGGTTTTCCTATGAAGAATTTTTTAACTACACCTACAAGAAATCGTAAACAATTTTTTAAAACTATTTAATGCAGATCACCATAAATAATAAAAGAATCTAATTGTAGCTACAAAATACTAGTGAGAAACCAAAACAAATGAACATATGATTATTCTCTAATACCTCCATATTTGATTAAAGTGATTTATCCCAATACATATTTATTTTACTCACCCTTAATACATTTTAAACCACAAATTAATGAGGGTAGTATTGGTAAAAATCAGTTCCCTATCATAAATGCCCCAAGTTGGCAAAAGCATCTTATAGTTTTCTTTCATTTTTGAATTTATTCAGACTTAATTCTAAGTAAAAACTATGCAGATAGCTTATAGGTAAATATCAGTGGCTATTTTATATTTTAATGGAAGAATCTTTTGTTCGCTTTTGGGATAAAGTTTGTAAATAGTTCTTGTTTAATAAGAAAAACTACCATACTCGTACACAAAACTACAAATCTTGTTTAAAAAAATATAATTATGTTTAAAAACACTCTATGAAGCAGTTTATTTTTATTTAATTAAAACTCGATAGAAGCGATCAACAAGGAGAACGAATCAACAGAACTCTCGATGCCCCTTTACACTTTACAGTTATACCCAGAAATAGTACCTGTAGATGTAAAATGTCGTATTTGTGTCGTTCTGATGATTGCCTTACTGTAGAACAATATAGAATCATCAATGTCCAAAATACCACGCCGAAGGTGAATAACCTCGGCCAATAAGCAGCTTTCAGAAAGCGCCATTTTTTAAATTGAATCGTTTTGCAGTTAAGCAAAGTCAACAAATTAATTCAAATTGATACTTATTTTTTTAAAGTTTGTGAGATTTCCTCCAGTAGTCTGTGGGGTGATGGACTTATAATTTGATGGTTACCGGTCATCTTGGCTGATTTTGTCTGTCTGACGCATTTTGGCATTTAACCATCTTAAGTTAATGTTAACTTTTAAGCCAACACAATAATGAAATTTCAAAATTTTTTGTTTATTGTGAGATTTCCTTCTGTCGTCTATGGGGTGATGAACGTATACTTCAATGTGTGGTATTAACTACAATTTAATTGTTAACCTTGGTCGGCTTATCTTCACTGACTTTGTCTGTCAGACATGTTTCGGCATTTCACCATCTTCAGTTAAAATTAAATCTTAAGCCGACAAATTTAAATTTCAACATTTTGTTTAATATTTTGCTGATTTCAATCCTGTCGTCTATGGGGTGATTAACGTATGATTTGATTGTTACCTATCACCTTGGTGGGCCTATCCTCACCGATTTTGTCTGTCAGAAATGTTTCAGCATTTCACAATCTTCCTTTAACCATAAAGTTAACTTTTAAGCCAACACAATGATGAAATTTCATATTTTTTTGTTTAAATAGATTTCTTCCTGTGTTCCATGGGATGAACATACAATTTGCTAGTTACGTATCACCTTGGTCTGCCTATCCTCACTGATTTTGTCTGTCAGATGTGTTTCAACATTTTGCCTTCTTTAGTTAATGCTAACTTTTAAGCCAACACAATAATGAAATTTCTTTTTTATGTTGATAGATTGATAGAAAAACATAACATCTCTGTGCTTATGAATGCCATCATCAATTGCACCACAGTGACATGCCACTACATTCTTAGTCCTCCTGATCACAACAGAAGGCCAATAATTGTATAATCATTGAAATATTATTAAGTATTATATTATAACTATTATTGTCAAGGGCATCTATCAGATATCATCTTCCAACATTTGACATGTTAAATTTATTCAGTTGAATTTGTACTTCTGAAATAACAAAATAAATTACGATTATTTAATGATGAACATTAACAAGTTTTAATCACAGCAAATTCATTAGAAATACCAGTTTTTTTCTTATTGTTTAGCATATGTTTAATTCCTTTTATTATACTTTTCAGTTTGAGTGATGTTTGTAATTTAAAAAAAATACTCCAGCTGATTGTTTTTAAATTTGAAATAAAAATTATGTAGTGATAATAGAATATGAAATGACTCATGGTAAAATATTTATCAATATTGTTGATAAATTCAAAATGTTAATAATTTGTTTTTGTATATAACCAAGTTAGTGCCATTCATTAATATGAAAATTAAAGGGGGTTGCCTGCTGCAAGAGTGATCGAAGGTCTCCAGAGAGAAAACTGTTAGATAAATTGCTAAGTAAACATCGAGTCCTTATATTTGGTAAATCTGATTGTCCTTTTACTTTGCAGATGAGGCAGGTAAGTTATTTTCTTCTGTAAATAAACCATTTTATTATTTCACATAGCAAACTTGAATCAAATGAATTTTAGTTATTTTCAAAATTGGGTGTTATGTTTACAACTATTGAAGTTGATAAATGTTGTGATGATAAGTTTAAACAATATCTTGTTACACATACAAGACTCTCAACGGTAAAGTAAAAACTTTAACTAAAAGTATGAACATGTAATTAAGAAGTATTTGTATTTTTTTTCAGGTGCCGCAAGTATTCATTGATGGCAAATTTATTGGTGGAGCTTCACATGTGTTGAAGAAACATGAAAATGGGGATTTAAAAGTTATACTTTGTCATTTAGACCCTCAATGTTTGGCAGCAGCACATATAGCAGCATTGAAGAAAAAATGTAATCCTGTGTTCATAAGACCAAAACCCAAAATTGTGGAAGTGTCATCATCATCATCATCATCTTCTTCTTCTACTTGTCCTATTCCTCCAAACTATGATCCTTGTGCTCCTAAGGTGTACAACCCAGACTGCGATAAGATAACCAAAGTACCTCGTCTTCACAAATCTAAACATAGATCTAGAAACATTAACATGGCATGTAGGCCAACACCTTGTACATCTTGTGCTAGATAGTGTTGATTGTTAAAGTTTAAATAAATTTTACTTGTCTCTCTTTTTTTGTTTAATTTAGAATTTAAAAAAACATGTGTTAACTTAATAATTAATAACATCAATCATAATTTTTATGTACAGATCATATAGTTATTATTTAAAGGGAACAACAACATCTGTTGTCAAATACTAGAAGAATTGCCAAAAATTGTGACAAGATCAAGTATTTGAATAAAACGTGTTGAAGCGGCATTCATCTACATCGTTTTCATAAAATGTGGTTCAGCTTTGTACCATCTTCAGTGAGAAACTGTCACTGACTTAAGATTTGAGAATTTCCAATTATTTTAAATTAATTTATAAATTAAGGAAATATTTGACTGGTGAGTTGGTAGTAATTGCAGTGTATTAGTAAGATTTTTATTAAAACTAATTAAGCTATTATAAAGGAAAGAAATCCTTTCTCTTAATTGACCAAAGTTGTTATAGACACAAGATTCTGAGCAATATGTGCTACATTAATGCTGCAGTAAATGTACAGAATTATTGTGATCGACAAAGAATCTAGCCTAATTCATTTATATCTTTAAAATAGAATGACAGTAACAGCACAATCTAACTATTTAAATAATTTGTCTATAGTTAGATGAACCCTGATCGCTGTGATGGAGTGTGTATTGCACTCAGATAACTAAATAAGGAAGTGCTTAAGCTTCACTGCAGCATTAAGATATATCCTTATATATAACTCCCAGCTATCACTAATTATAATTAAATACAATAATGATGGATGGAGATTTTTAGTGCAGGGCCTGCTTGATGCCCTGTTGGATATTGAGAACCCATTTTGCCAATAGCTCGATAAGGATCTTGACATCTGTCATTTTTCTATCGGTTTCTGCGTGCCGCTACAGAAGTTCTAGCTTGACAACTATTTCTGCATGGACCTTTGTCAGATTTTGGGTAAGTTGAAACGCATCCTGTGTTGCTCCTCAAAGACTTTGTAGTCATGCAGTAAGGGTTGACCTGGCAAAGATATTTTTGTAGTTTACCAGAGCTTTTTAATGCTTTTAATTCACATAAACCACCGACAAATCGACCATCAATGAATATCTGTGGAACCTGAAAGTAATTATGGTACTCTGCTTATGATTTCATTGTGCAAAACAAAAAACAACCATCTGTATTACTAACAATTAAAAATATGATAATTATTAATAATACTTTAGGATAATTTGTGAAATGAATGTGAGACTTCATATAATAAAAAATAAATACTATATTTCAAGTCAATAATGCATACGTAAAAATGAAAAGAGAAGTTAAATCTTACAGTGGTACGTCCAGTTTTAGCCTTAAGGGCTTTGAGAAGTCCATGGCTTGGTGAAAGTTCGTCTAACTCAATTGATGCATAATCTGAATTCATCAAGCGAAAAATCTTGGAGAAAAAGAAAAAGTGATAGCCATGAATACTATAAAATAGTGCAAAAATACATCACTCACTTTTTTTGCATCATCACTAAATGGGCAGATGGTCTTCGAGAAAATAACCACTCTATTATAATTTATGAGTCCTCTGAGTTGTGCTTCTCTATTCTTGCAGCAGGCACAACCCTTTATTTATATAATATTTTTGTTTGATTTGTAACAAAAAAACAATTGTAGTCATTTCTATATTTTAAACTGACAGGTAAATGTTTTTTAAAACAAACCCAGTCACACAAATTATTTACCATAATAATTATGGGTCTCATCCATCTCTAAAAGTGTATAAAATAAATTTAAACTAACTTGCAAAACATAACTGCATCACATGGAAAAATAAATAAGGGAACTTCAGCTGAAAAGGCCAATTTGAAATATAGTTTTACAGGACTTCAAAACACAAAATGTCTAGTAAAAACTTAATACCGACCAATAAATCCAAAGATCAAATGAACTTTACATTTAAAGAGTTGGAAATAAATGTCGAACAAGTTCCGCCTGTCGTTCTCGAACCACTTCCACCCCCTATTGAAATACATTTGACTCAAAAGACGGAAAAAACTGTTACCAGCAAGCAAGGGCCTCAGACACAAACTGAAAAGTCAAATACCTAAATCCAATGAGACTGCATTTATCAGAAGATACAACATTAATAACAATATTTACCCTCAAGCAAGCACAATACATGATTTTAAATTAATGTAAAACCTCAAAATATAAACTCCTAGGAACTAAACCTGAATAGTTTTGACTTGTCATATAGTTAATTTTTGTTTATTGGAAATAAATGTTTGACTTCAAACTAATCTCCATTCAAACATTTTAAGTCTTAAACTTTTACTTTAATAGTTTAGAAAAAAACAACAAAGCAAATTAAATAATGTACTTTTATTTACATCACTGATATTTCCATTAATATCTATGTGTACAATAAGTACATTATATTAATAAAACTATATATTTCCAGTATTGTTATTTGTTTTTAAGTTAATCCATCCTAGTTCTTAGCAAATTTAGGATTCAAGCTCTGATTAGGTTGACACTGTTTTTCTAATATTTCAGAAAATAAACGCTTTTTCTTGTTGACACCCAACTGCTTTTTTCTTTTGGTGGTGGATGTTAGTCTGGAAGTAGGTGAACACACACCAGGTCCTTTCTTCCTTCTAAATTCACTTATTTTGATGTTAATCAAACACGTTTTCACGTTTACAACATCATCACTGAGTAACTATATTCACTGACTTGCAGACCAACAACCACCACTAATTTTCTTAAAAGTTTTTAAACCTTGCCTCTATTTTTGATGTTTCATGGTGCTTTTGAGATGAGGTTTTCAGTCATGCCCTTAAATTATGTTATTTTGTACACATATGTCTTATATTGTGCAGCAAGTCACATTTTACATGAAGACTGTTTAATTTGTTTTCTTGATGTTCTATCTCTGATAGAATTTCTCACTTAAGATGGCACAAAGCCAAAATGCGCTTGATTAACATGGAGACTTTTGTCTATAGAAGGACCCAGTGCTGGTTCAATATGCCCTCACCAATTCGCAACACCCATGATCAGAAGAAGAAAGGATAGCAGTTGGATGTCAAGTTCACAAGAATAAACTAATTTATTTTCAGAAATATAAAAGCAGAACCATCCAAATCATATTTTGAGATGAAATTCTACATTGTCATTAGTTTGTTGGATTCATGAGGAGCGGTCAAGAATGAGGCAGTTTAGAAAAAAACCCTCGTATTTTTTTTGTGTCGATTTTTCAACCTTTATTTTGTTCTTCTTCAGGGCATAAAGTGTGGTGCTATTTTTTTGGTATCATATTGGTTTTGTGTGAACTTGTGTCATTCTTGACCGCTCCTCATAAATCCAACAAATTATTAACCAACCGGTCACAAAAAACACACATTGTTATTAGTGTTCTGATAAACGCACTGTCTCATTTGATTTAGGTATTTGACATTTCCTTGGGTTCGTGCTCACTGGTATAAATTTTTTCAGTCTGTTGTATCAAATATACTTCAAGGAAGTGGGAGAGGTTTGAGAACGTCAGATGGGATTTGTTTTACACTTATTTCCAACTCTTTAAATGTAAAGTTCATTTGACCTTTGGATTTATTGATTGATATTGTTTTTTACAGACATTTTGTGTTTTGAAATCCTGTAAAACTATGATTCCAATTGGCCTTTTCAGCTGAAGTTCACTTATTTATATTTTCATGTGATACAGTCATGTTTTGCAAGTTAGTTTAAAATTGTTGTCGGTGTTTTTATACACTAGAGATGGGCGAGACCCAAAACTATTATGGTAAATAATTTGTGTGTCTGGGTTTGTGTTGAAAAACATTTCCATATCAGCTTTTCACATAGTAATACAATTATTTTTTATTACAAATATCTTCTAATTTATCTGTTACATTTAATAAAAAATAAAAATAAACAAAAATACAAAAAGGGTTGTTCCTGCTGCAAGAATTGCAACAAAAATGGTTGTTCCTGCTGCTGCTGCAAGAATAGCAAGGGAGAAACTAAGCATGAAGCTGAACTCAGAGAACTCATACATTATGGAAGAGTGGTGATTTTTTCAAAGACCGTCTGCCCATTTTGTGATGATGCAAAAAAAGTGAGTGAAGTTTTTGTACACTATTATAAAGAATTCACAGCTATCGCTTTTTCCTTTTCCCCAAGATGTTTCGCTTGATGAATTCAGATTATGCAGCAATGGAGTTAGACGATCTTTCACCAAACCATGGTCTCATTAAAGCCCTTAAGGCTAAAACTGGATATACCACTGTAAGATGTTTCTTTTTTCCGTTTAACGTTATATTTATATATATTATTAACTTGAAATATAATATGTATTGTTTATTTTATGAAGTCTTACATTCATTTCACAAATTATCCTAAAGTATTATTAATAATTAAGAATAATAATTGTATTTTACATTTTTAGTAATAAAGTTGTTGATAGTTGTTTTTTGTCTTGCACAATGGAATCATAAGCAGTGTTCCATAATTACTTGCAGGTTCCACAGGTATTCATTGATGGTCGATTTGTCGGTGGTTTATGCGACTTAAAAGCCTTAAAAAACTCTGGTGAATTGCAAAAACTTCTTTGCCAGGTCAACCCTGCCTGCATAACTACAAAGTCTATGAGGACCAATACAGGATGCTCTCCGATTTACCCAAAAACTGACGAAGGTCCATGCAGAAATAATTGTAGCGCTGTAACTTCTACAAAACGAATCCGAAAGAAAGCCGACAGATGCCAAGACCCCTATGAAGTTCTTGGAAAAATGGGTAATCGATATCCACCAGGGTGTAAAGTATGCTCTTCAATATAAAATCTCTACCATCATTATTGTATTTCATTATTAGTGATAATTGGGGGTAAGGATATCTCATTGCTGCAGTGAAGTTCATGTACAGAAATTACCAGTTACTATTAGTGATCAGTATTGAAACAAAACATCTGAATACAATACACTGACACAGAGTAATCAGGGTCCGTCTAACTGGAGAAAAAATATTTTAATAGTTTGACTGTGCAACAACTCATGACCAGTATTATGTGATTTTCTCCAAGAACTAAATTCAGTTTAAAATTCAAGAATAATGCTGAGAATCTAACCCAGGCTTTGGCAAATAGGCTAGGGCAAACCATACTAGCTCCACCCTATTGATCTCTTTCAACGGCATAAATGAATAATATCAAATTCTCAATCACCGTAATTCTGTAAATTTACTGCATAATTGTAGCACATTTCTTGCTTCTTGAATCTTGTGGGTGATAAGCACTTTGTAAGATTTCTCCATGAGGTCTGAGGGGTGATGAACTTGTAGTTTGGTCATTTTGGTTGGTTTGCCTATCCTCACTGGTTTAATCGGTCAGATGCATTTTAGTACTTCACCATAAGAGGAAATCAATCAAAATTTTGTATCCAAGTAGAAATTACTCTATTACTAAGCTGGTATTTTGGAAAAAAAATCCATATTCCAAAAAGTAAATAAATAAAAGTAATTAAGATTTTTCAACCTTAAGAGTAGATTTTTAATAACTAAAACTCCAACTTTTTAAAAATACATTAAACAAATGATTGTAACAAAATAACACTCCATCTGTTTTTATCTGGAAAAAGTGTACTTACTTAATGGATAAATCTGTTCATGCCCCAGAAACCTGTTGGAAATGGAATATTCGCAGAAAAAGCAATGGTAACTAATTATTCTCCACACGTAGTAAGCCAATTTCAATAATGGCTAATATAAGACTGTACAGAATGAAGTTTGCAGACTAAACAAAGTATGCTTAAATTAAGGGCTGTTGTTGTTGCAAATGTAAGGATAAATACCAATCCAGGTTCAAGAGGGAGTTAGATGGACACATACAATCACAAAGGGTTGTGATGTTTGGAAAACCAGGTTGCAATTACTGTGCTGAAGTTAGGAGAGTAAGAAACAGTTTTTATTTAGTAATGTGTTCCTTGTAATTACTTGTCCAAAAAAAAAATGTTGTTCACAATTTTCAGATATTTGCATCAATAGGAATTGCAGTTAAGACGATAGAACTTGATGTTTATGCTCCTACAGATGGATTGGTTTTAGAGCTTATGAAAAGAACAGGCTACACAACTGTAAGATAATACACATTTCTTTATGCTGGTGGGGGGCTCTTTAGAAATTTGTGTCAATTAAAACCCATTTTTCCTGATGACTATTAGTATTGAATTAAACTAACAATTAGAACAATTTTTTTTCCATCTCTCCTAGGTTCCTCAGATATTCGTAGATAATGAATTTATAGGTGGTTTAGTAGAGTTAAAAGAGTTGTATGCTTGCGGCGCAATACAAGACCGTTTGTGTCGAGCGGATGTTGTTTACACTAAACCAGAAAGATGGAAAATGAAGGATTTTGGATATATCCGTGCAAATCAGACACAGGGAAGAGAAGCCAAGGTAGACGATGAATTTTCTTCATCAGATGATACTGAGCAATCTAGTGATTCAGATAAGCAAAAGAAATGATTCAAGTAACATTTATGAATAAAACAACTAATAATGTATTAAACAATATTTTACATAGATTTTTACTGCTTATTATTTCATATTCAGTGTCTCTTTTTTTAAATAAGTTTAGTTTTATAATGAACCACATCACCTCCAGGAAACAGTTCTTATTACAAAAGAAAAGTCTGAAAATTTTTTAATGGCCTTTTGAACATAGCACATAGTTAAGGGATTTGACATTGTATTAATGGGGTAAGGGTATCATTTAAAAAAGTGCCAGAAACGATGGTGGGAATTGAACCCATAACTGAGGAGTCTAAACACCCTTTTTTAAATTTTATTTAATTGAGAGAGTATTTCAACTATGAAATTATGAACCCTCGGGATGGTTTTTTAAAAATTTTATTTAAATTAATTTTTTGTAAAGCCATTTGCAGGGCCCCTGGATTCAAACAAGAGACCTTTATCTTACAGAGACAAGTGCAGTGTCCAAGCCTAAACCGTTGTAACAACTGATCCCCCCAGTTCTTATTATTTACCATGATAAACGTGTTCTCAAAATAAACATGTGATAATGGCATTTATTGGACTTCACGGCCTATTTTTACTTTTTATTGCCTATTTATGCAATTTGGTCCACTGCCCTACCCTTTTCAAGGCTTGTTGGTGCTCGAAACAAACTATCCAATAATTCTTGAAAAGGCATTGTACCTGAAACACATACAGGCAATAAAAAGTAAAAAGAAAGAGGTTGTGAATTTCAATAAATGCCGCTACCACATGTTGAATTAATATAAAACAGCAACCAAGATAAAAGGAAAAGGAAGTTTCATATTAAAATGCAAACACATTAAAACCAAAGTACCTATATTTTTAAATGCAATACAAAATACACATTATTTACAAACAAATAATTGAGCAAATTTACTGGTTTTGTTCATCTTCTTCGACTATCTCTAAAATAGTCTTTTGAATTACTCGCTTTAACTTTTTTCTCAGCAAAACTGAATTAATGCATCGTAATTCATGAGCTACAAACTCACCAAAACTGGTGTACTCATCTTTCGCCCTTTCCAAGCTGGCGATCGTCTTTTTGATCAATTCACTGTTGGACTCGCCTTCTCCAATTGGATCCATACCCTGGTTTTCTTCAAATTCAGTCTCATTTATTGAATGAACCTCATATAAATTGGATTGGTCGTCATCGTCCTCCTCATTCAAAGGCATTTGGTCACTTGCTTTCCTTTTCACGGATTTCTGCTTTCCTAACTGTAATTCAAAATTTTTGACTTTTTAAACCCTCTAACCAAACAATAATAATAATCTTATATTATTACACAATATCTATATACCATATTATACTTGTTATTTCAAAAATATTTTTAAGAAAATTGCTGGTAAAAATAGTTGTGTTTGTAAAACTATTCAAAAGTTACCTGCAATAGACATTTATATTTTGAATACCATGGTTAAGTAAGAAAACATACTTTTAACATAAATACGACTTTTATTTACAAATGAGCACAATCAAGTTACAATAGAGTTTATAAGTGTTTACAAATAATTAAAAAAAGGAATCATGAGACTAGATGTTACATTATATGAATTGCCAAAATAAATTTAAAAAAGTAATATTTACAAAAATTGACTTATGATTTATACTAGCAAATGTTTTAAAAAAATCCATCCAGTCCATTTTGTTTTATAGCGACCACCTCAAGATAATATATAAAACAGTTCTGTAACTGACTGACACAATGCACAGACCAAACCGCTGGATCTAAAGGGGTGAAATTTTGACAGTGCATTCCTATAATGACATGGATAGCCGATAAGAAAGAACGCTTCCGAAATTCCATCCCTAAGATGTTCATATGGACAATTTTTCTCCATGTATAGACTGAAGTGAACTGAAGAAGAGAAGAATTTGAGAAACAAGACATTATATTAGAATGCCTTCTGTATCACATTACAGAGGTACAAACAGAGTCCCGTGTGGACGAAGTTGTGGGTAAAAACTAGTTTAAAATAAAATGTAATAATTCTGAAAATTTTATGTTATAATTAACTGTATCAATTATGTGTAAAGAGTTCCAGCTTAAATCATGATGATTTGGTTAAATTTAGTTAAATCCATCATAACAAAGAGAAAAGCATTTAATACTATTTTGGCAACGGGTGAGCTTCGATCAAAATTAGTAAGTTCTTAGTTTAATTGTTACAACTATTAAATAGCCAAGAAAAAATTAAACCACTTAGTAAAATATATTATCAAGCAATTTAATTATGATCATCTAGCAAAAATTGCAACAGCAGAATTTTTAATTTTTAAAAACCTGGAAAGAAGCATAAACAAACAATCCTAAAAGTTAGTTTTAGCACAAATATACTCAATGTTGTAAAATGATGGGTATACTGGAATACGAAGTCAAGGGTGGATTGAAATGGAGCTCAAAGAGGTGAACAGCAATCTAATATTGGTCTTACAGTGGTAGTGAATAAAATTTTGTGTATAAAATTTTAAGTGCATCTGAATCATGGAAATGTTTAGTATGATGCATAATAAATCCTAAAGTTTTATTTACTTTAGCAATAGGTTTATTAATGTGTGTGAATGTTTATCTGACTGCCAATAATGATGCCAAGATGTTCAACAATTTCACGTCTAATTAGGAGAAAGCCTGATATAGTGTAGTTAAATTTTAGGATATTTTATTTTATGATGTCATAACTGAACATTTGTCAGAATTGAATATTATTAGTTGAACACCGATTATTAAGTTTTACCGAGGCATGCTGAAGTTGTAAGCAGTCAGAAATAGAATTAATTTAAAAAAATATTTTTAAATCATCTGTGAAAAGTAGGGCCATAATGGATGGACAAGAATCAGAGATATTGTTTATATAGATTTTAAAAAGAAAAGGCCCTAAGTGTGACCCTTGAGAACTCCACAAGGTGCTACAAAACTATGCGACAATACTGATTTAATTTTACTTTAACCATCTGACCTAAATAAGATACAAACCAACCTAATAAGTTACCATGTATGCCTAATTTTTGTAATTGCTGTAGTAGAATCGTATGATCAACATTATCTAATGCTTTTGATAAGTAAGTGTAAATACAATCAACGTGTAGTCTTCAGAAAAAGATTGTAATATATAATCTTGAAATATTAGTAAATTGGTTAATGTAGATCTTTGCGAATAAAAATTATATCAATTTGGAATAAGTTAATCAACCTACCATCAGGGAATAAAATCTCCAGACAAATAAACTCAAAAATGAATAGGGATATTTGTAATTTATTCTTATTCTATTAATTTTAATTAAATTAACCGGTATATTCTTTTTAGTTGAATAAAACAAAATAGTTGAACAAACCAAAAAACTAACAAATGTTAATCCTCATTTTTAATATCAGATTTCCTTAAGAATAGCATGAAAATTATTCATTTTGTAAACACACCTTTTCTCATCTGTTCTACATTTTAATTCATTTATTACATTTAATTCTCTTTAACCATGGAAAGACATCATCTTGAACCAGAAGTTCACAATATTATTGTGAAATGAGCAATCGAGGTCACTGGCAAGTGGATATCGCAGAGTAGTTGGCATTTCTCAGAGCGCTGTCTCCCGGGCTTTAGCCCGATTCTGGAAGATGGGAAGTGTCAATATAGGAGGCCTGGTAGTGGATCTCAATGCATTACGGCGCTAAGGGAGGAGAGAAATGTTGTCATTGCTGCAAGACAGAACCCTTCACATAGTGCCCGCCAGATCCTAAATTAAGTAAAAGATGTTTTGGCAAGGACTTTATTAACACAAACAATTTGTAATCGTTTGTGGGAAGACGGCCTCACATCATATGCCCTTTGAGACAACCTGTAGCAACAGCCCGCCACCACCAACTCTGGAGAATATGGTGCAGCAAGCGCCTAGAAGAGAACTCCAATTGGAATGCAGTATTGTTTACTCATGAGTTGTGTTTTTGTCTGTATAGTGATAGCAGACGCCGAAGAGACTACTGAGAACAAGGATGCGTCCAGTGCACTTTGGAGTAGGTGGTATAATGGTCTGGGCTGGGATTTGTTCACTGAAGGACGAACTTTACTCCATATTGTTGAAGACAGTCCGTTATGTCCCAGACATTATCGAGGAATGCATCCCTCAAACCAGGGAAATCTTTGACAGGGATTTTCAATTTCTGGATAACAATTGTTCATCAATGTTTAGAAAACCTGGTAATTTCCCATCTGCCCCGTCCCCCATTGTCTCCAGACCTCAATCCCATTGAGCACATGTGGTATGCGTTGTAGAGAAGGCTTTTCGATCACCATCCACAACCAGTTCATCTGCAACAACTAACTGCAGCGTTGCAGCATCTATGGAGTGAAATTCCTTATGAAATTAGTGACAGCCTTATTAACAGTATGCCTAACAGGTGCACAGAGGTTTTAGCTAACAGAGGACATTATACATGGTACTGTCTAAAAAAATTATTGTTGCAACAAACAAAATTATGGAATTAAAACCTTTTATTTTTCAAAATCCCTTAATTATATTTTTCTTCAGTAAAAAAACAATAATTTCTAATAAATTTAATGCAATTTATAATAAAAATAAAATAAAAATGGTAGGGAAAGTAAATACTACTTAGCAAAATCCTTATTCATTTTTGAGCAGTTTAGAATAATTACCTGCGAGCTTCTATCGAAAATTGTAGGAACTGAGTCTTTTCTTAGACTCTTATTGACAAGCGGTTTCCCTGTAATAAAAAATCCAAAAAATACGCGTGAAACTTATCGTTTTCAAGTTGAAAATTCCGTCTGTTCGATACCTGTTGTGTGGCATTCGGTGGAATAGTCTTCTTTTCGAAAATGTGCCGAACATAAGACCGAACTTTTCGACGGAAACCAATCTTTTCTTTTGATGGCAGCAATCCACTTTTTACGACGTTCGGGGTCCTTTGGAAACTTGTGACCACCGTTGTTGTTACAGCCAACGGCACAGCATAGAGTCATAACTCATCACATTTCAAATATTCGCTATGTTTTTTTTCTTTTAACCCAAGCCCGTTACCAATTCGGAAGTTCCTGAGCACCAAAGATGTACTTGTAGATGTAGCTGTACTTGTACCTTATGTGTAACCTCATGTTGATAAGTTGTACCTTATCTATTGCTTTGCTAGCTGGTTTGCACCTCGTCAACTAATTGGCCAGATGACATGCAACTTTATTGCAAATTACCGTAAATTTATCTATTTCAAAACGTTGCCTCAAATTTAATGACACGTTTTTTAGCAGTTCTCCCAAAACCAGATCGAATTTTACTGATTTTGTTTTTAAATGTTAGAAAAAAAACCTTATGAAATAAAGCTTAATAGAAAAATTATAACAAGACATCCATCAATAGCAAATAAAATAAAATAATTAAAAAATAAATAGATAGATAATCAATAGCAATTTGAGAATAAGCCCTTGTTAAGACTGATTAATAATCTGCTGTGCAAAATTTATTTCAAAACACTATTTTCTTGCAAATTTTTTTTACCATACATAAATATATTTTATCTTGTTTTATAGCTACAAAACTAAGATTACTAACTTCCATAGATAAAAGACATTTTAAGGGTTAGAAAGAAGTCTTCTGAACTTTTATCTTCTGCTTTAAGAAATTGATATGATAATTTTGATAGGATTGCTGACAAAAATTCACTACTCACTGGCACCGCAATGAATTTTCACAAAGAAATATTATGACCATAAAAAGTTGAATTATCCAAACATTTTTGGCGAATAAGGGTAATATTTATATACAATAAATTATTGGCGGGCCTCAAGAATCACCCTGGATGTTGGCAGTCCAGCCAGACCGAGGTCTTATCCATTGATCCACTGAGGGCTCCAGAGGCTATCATTCCAACACCCAGTCAGTCTCTCAATCCAAATTCACACTCTCACTCACTCTTTAATACATTTATTCCTATTTATATATTCACTCAATTAGGGTGGTGGAGTTATATTTGTCCATTGCCCTCTACAAATATTACCTTCTTGATCTTCAAGGTGTGATACTCAATATTCCGCCATCAACCCTCTCACACTATGAAATCACTCTAATAAATAGATTCATTTATTACTAAGAAACACAAGATGAGATCTATTGTTGGAATGAGTGTCATCAGAACAGCTCAGACAACATCGGCAGTGAGGAAAACAAGTGAACTACGAGAATTCATAATTGGGGCATTCATATTTGAGTCTTCTTGTTGACTATACCTCATACCTCCTTGTGATTTTTCGTTGCATCAATATATTTTTTCTTTTCAAATTGTATCTTTTTTCCATTATTTTACTCTATAAAGTACTATTCACAGCAAAACAGTCCTGTTTCCTCTAAAAATCGGTACAGTATTTTTTTAAATTAAACCGGTTTTATTATTTTATTTTATTATTAATGATTTTTTTTCAATACACTACAGCATGTCTTACCTTCAAGTTTTGTTCTGACTGGTCTTGCATCCCATGGAATATTGATGGCACAGCATTCGGCACGAGGTAGTGATACTTTCCATCTGGATAAATTTAAAAGTTAATAAATCAATTTTAATTGAGAATTCAATTCGTCAGCTTTACCGTAGTGATATTTGAAATCTTCGGGCTTAAAGTGTACAGAACAGATCCTTCCGATCGGGCCAGGATCACTGATGCCTACTGTCTTCAACCACTGATAACGGAGGGTAGAGTTGGCAGGAAATCTAGAGAAAAAATTGCCTTTATTTATTGCAAACAGAAAACGTAAAAAAGCACTGGAGACCATATTGTGTTACAATTATTGGAAACTGATTTTATATTGTGTAAATTTTCTAGTTTGATAGATTTGAATTTAATTATAATTATGATTATATCAACAAATCACTATTCACCAATTAAAGGAAGGATGCACTTCTGAGCAATATTTATTATATAAATATTTGCATTAAATGTACGTTTCATTGACTCACCTGTGGAAAGTGACGTTCAGTGATCTTAAGGAGCGTTTTCCCCTGTAATTTTTGCATCCTGGAGCACTACAATATGACATATTTCACATAAAATTTCAAGTTCAATTGGTCTAAATCCCTCTCCCACTCTAGGCCACGCCCATGAACTAATTATTTAAGTGTTCACTAACTGAAGTCTGAACGCCGTAAGTGATAAAGTAGAAACTTGCTTAAGTTAGCACTGCTTAAATCGGTGCTCTTCTGATAAAAGTGAAACCCAAACGGTAGCAAACGCTAAACATGTTAAAACCAGTATTGTGCCTTCTCATCACTTGGAGCCTCAATGTACAGTAATAATCTACTTAGCAACCGTTGTTAGGGACGCTTAAAGCAAGTGCCACGTGGTTGTTTAATAAAAAAAACCACGATTATGTGTTTTATCGACGAGTGGTATAATGTAAGATGTGGATTAGGTCAGGATTAAAAACAACAACAACTGCAGTCACCTGCCAAGCTTTTGGCCTTTATAAGACCATCCTCAGGGAACTATTGCTCCTTAGAAATTAATTACATTAGTTGATTAAGTGTGGTTGTTAGCAGGTTTTTGGAATTAACAACTGTTCCAACACATGGGTTTTGCACTAAAGTTACCTAAATCTAACACAAAACCTCAGATAAAAATGCCATGTTTTCTTTTTAATCCTGACCATACACCCGATCCACATCTTACGCTTTAATAACAACGACTGGAAAAGAATTTCTCAGCTATGATGATCTAAGATTGTCGAGTCCATCTTTATTTCATATTTTTTGTTCATACTCTAGGGTAATTAATTAACCTAAAGCCAGCCAAAACATCATTGACTTGCTATAAATTCTTCAGGCTATTTCTAAAATTATGATTTTGATTAAAACAGTGGGACATTTTTAAAGTTATACAATGAACTTTTTCATTTAAAATACGTGTATTTTGATTAGGCATGTATAAAGGTAATAAGATTATGTACGTGTAAAGGTAATAAGTTTGTTTATGATAGTGGGTGAAACGTTACGCTCATGAATCAAAAAATTGAAAGCAAAAATAAAAAATAGTAACATTTTCAGCACAATTAGTGGTGTTGATTTCACTCACCACCGAGCAAGAATTTCTATCAAAATAAAATCTAAGAAATTTCGGGCATACATGTTATAAAAATGTAATAACTTTTCTTATGACTTAATTCTTGGATTGGATGCGATAAAAAAGTTCAAATTGATTCAAGATGAAAATTTAAGAATCTTTCAACAGATAGAAGGCAAAAATGAATGTCACTGGATAGCCAAGCAGATATGAAAGCATTATCATGTAAAAAAAAAAAAAAAAATCAAACAAAAACAAATCAGTGAATGCATCCAACATATAAAATTTGGGAAAATCAACAACCTAATAACATATTGTATATACTATTACAGTCCTTGGCAATGTTGGGACTGAGTCAGTCTTCAAGGAAATTTGAGATAGCCTGTAAAAACTAAATATGTCTGTCTGTATACTTATTTAAGGTTGTTTTGTCCTGGTGATGACCTTAAAATAGGTCAAAAGCTTGGCAGTAGCAAATAAATTTTCTTTCTTCTTCATGGCCATACCTTGATGCAGTGTTCATAAATATATTGGATACCAGGACACAAGGGAATTTTGGCTAACGAAAAAGCAGACACACTGGTCAGAGAGGATTTGCAAGATTACATACAGGCAATGAAGGTTCTCTGGAATAAAAATGTTGCAGGGATATATTGCTTTCCTGTCCTCCAAACCCTCTCTCGGCCAACAGAAGACCTCAAACAAAACCTTGACTCTTGCTCAGAACAATTGATGTGATTTATTGCAAAACTTAACCGAGCTGTTCTGTGCCAGTGGCAGGCCTTCTCACATAAAATCCAGCTTCTGAAAGTCTTCGCCTTACAGTTCGTAAACTGACAACATTTCTAAATTGTTGAAGTCATTGCTTTCTTTCAACAACTGTAGAAGTCGATTACAGAGTGGATTTGAAACGATAAAACAATTATCTCTCTGAGACCTGGTCCATACCTTCTTGGTAACCTCCAGTATCTTGGTAGCGATGGAAGACCCTTCGGACAGTTGTTCTTGGAATGTTAAGCACCCTGGCCACATATGCTTCACTTCTTCCGTCTTCCAATAATGCTATGATTCTAACCAATTCTACATTACTTAAAACCATCACTCAAAAAAATTCTAAACTTAAAAATAGTACAATAAAGAAAAAAAAATCACTGTACCAGAAAGGTAGAAAGAAGCTTTACAGATAAAACAACAAGAAAGATACTGACTATTCAAAGATTATTTACAAAATCGAACTGTCAACACAAGTGGGAGTTTTGTCTGTGTTTACTTTCCTATAATTCTTTCAAACGAATGAAATATTGTTGTAAGAGAAAATGAATGGAGGATTGTCTAAGAGGTAATTAAAAATATTAATGGTGCCTACTTTTTTGCCCCTCAGAGCAGATCAATGTTCAGATATGTATAATTTCATTGACACATATAAGTTACATTTACATGTACATGAGTCATATTCTTCTTCACATAGTCAGCAGATTTGTAGGTCCCTACTGCACTCACTTTTGTTATTCATTTCGAATCCACGACTTCTATTTTATGAATCCATGTATGTTTTCGATATACTCAGTTTGTTGTAATTTGTTGCAACAAAAATTAGATTTCCAATGCATTTAATTCAGGTTTTGGCCCTTGTTTCCACTTTTTCATTATCATGTATTTCTCTAATTCTGTAATAACTCAAATTAAAGAGGCCTTAGTTCATCTTAGCAAGTATCGAATGTTCTTGCATTCTTCCTCTATTTTAGCACTGGATGGTATTCAGTTTGAGCTTCAAGTGCAGTCCGTCTTGCTGATTTGACAGTATAAACCCAGTTGTTTTGTGTTGAGTTTTTCTAGAATGTAATTTTGCTTGTAGGTCTGTACTGTATCCAGTGAGAACTTTACAAAGCAAGCTGGGTTTCCACTGTGCGAAACTCACAGTCGTCTTGAGTAAGAGAATGAACCAGGAGGAATGTATGAAAAATGAAAACTCAATGGGGTCTTACAGGAATGAAAAATTAACAGTAAAGTTTCAAATAGTATCATCGATGGGTTCTACTGCAATATCCCTCAGAAGGAGGTTCCCATGTTGCATTCGCCGACAAAATAATTATTTGATCACCAATGGGTTCTACTGCTATATCCTTCAGAAGCCGGTTCCATTGCATTCACCAATGAAATAATTCTCTTTGATAACCAATGGTGTTTTCTTCATTTGCTTTTCTTTTTATCATAAAGTAGCGCCATGATAACAAATGCTGATGCAGCAGTTTGTGTAGTTAAACGGTGTGCTTGTCTCGCACAACTGATGGCTCACTTTGTTTCGCCTTGAGGAAATGGTTAACCAGAGACGGCATTTCATGAGTAATTCTTGCGTTTGGTTGCCCAAGTTATTTTTTTAGTGCAATGGAAACCCAACTTAAGAATTACTACAGAATAAATGAATCTAAATATTTTCCTATTTTCAAACCATAAAAATATAGCCCAGCATTGTTTTCTTGCATTTAGTAATTTAAAACAAAATCACTGCTACATTTGATCATGATTTGTTTGATAATGGTAGTGTCTAACAACATAAGACTAAGCAGCTTGTATTTTCTAATTTTTTTAGTGATGACGCAAACATTGAAAATCACACAATGTGCAAAACACTAAACCAACAGAGAGTACTGTGGTGGCTGAGACATTAGGGTTTCTGGCTCGTTAGCGATTCTGGTTCGAATCCACAAGAAGTATTGTAAAGAGGTTCTGTCCCCCATTATCATTTAACTAGAGCAACAAGATTGGGTAGATCAAGATGAATAGATATAATGATCAAATTCAAACAATGGAAAAAAAGGTGTGATGTTTGATAGTGATGATGAATGAGTTGTTTAAAATTACCTTTTTAAAAATTGATATTAGTTTAAAATTTAAATTGGCAAGAGAAAAGAGTAGATTAACAAACTATCTTTTGATGCACATACCGACTTTTACTCAAGAAAAAACAGTTTAATCAAAATAATATTTCAATTGTAGTTTTACCGTATCTTGCTGATAGGAAGGATGTTGAGGAAATATTGTAGGTATTGCGTTCTCCCTCAGACGGACTACAGCCAGAGATGTCCTGTCGATAAACTCTTCTTCAAAGTGAACAGAACATAGATTACTTCTCGGCGTGGGATACCAATTTTTTCGTTTGACAGCTTTCGCCCAAGCAGCACGCCTTTTCTCATTCTTTGGAAATCTGTTAAATTTAGAATTGAAAGGAAAAATTAAAATATGTATGTCTTAAAATATTTAGATATGCATTTTTTTATTCTTTCACTATAATAAACAATAGTTATAATATGTATTATTATTGATATGCATAAATAGCATAATGATTGGCATAACATTTGCTTTCACATTCATCAGTGTGAGTTAAATTTATATGATCAATGGGTACCTAAAAAGTAATTCTGCTTTTTTAAACAATTTTTCAAGTTGTTGAACAACAGCAACAATTGAATTACTGATTATTGAATTATATAAGCTCAAATCTGCAAATGCATGTACATACATACATGCATGTTCAGAGTTGTTCCTAACACTTCTCACAGTCCACTGGCAATTCCAGCTCGAGAATCACCCACCCTAGGTGTTGACAGTCCTAGGTCAGACCTCAGTTTTATCTGTCCAGCAACCGAGGTTTGGCTCCAGGTGCTATCATTTCAGGACCCGAAGCAATCAGTTCCTAAAACCAAACCCATTCACACTCTCACTCACTCTTAAATACATTCTTTCCTATTTATATACCATTCAGTCAGTTCAGGTGGTGGAGTACTCAATATTCCTCCATCATCCTATACAGACATATTATATAACTAACATAACTAGGGGGTCGAAGAGGTACTCAATATTCCATCATTGACCCCCTCACACTACACTTTCACGCTAATAAATATATTCACTCCCAATACATACTAGGGGCCCAAAACTATCATTACTATATACAATAAAACAACCTTTCTTCTAAATCTATTCCATAATCACTTCTCCTTCTGATTGCTTACAATTACAAAATTCTATCAATAACGTGCTAACCTGGTGCTCCAATAACAAACTTGCTCTTAATGTTTCCAAATGCTACACAATTACATTCTCTCATAAGAAACAACCTTTTATTTATCTCTATACTCTCCATGATGCTCTTTTAACGCGAGTTGAGGTTGTAAAGGATCTTGGTGTACTTTTTGATCAAAAGCTCAAGTTTAAATAACATATTTCTTCAATAAAAATAGATCTATGAAGAGTTTACATGGTTTCATCATCCAGAACACCTATGAATTTAAAAATCCTCTATGTTTTGTCCGTCTTTATAAAGCTTTTGTACAACCCATACTAGATTATGTTAGATTACTACACCTGTTTGGAACCCATTCTATCTAAATTATCAAAAAATTCTTCAATCTGTACAAAACAAATTTTTAAAAAAACTTTCCTACAAACTCAATCTTCCTCCGAATTCTGCCTACCCTGGAATCCGCTCTGAATTTAAACTTTTCGAACTGGCACTAAGAAGGGATTACTTTGATATTGTTTTTGTATTTAAATTATTAAACAATCTCATTGATAGTCCTTATCTCCTCTCTCAACTACAGCTACATGTCCCTTCGTACTCTCTTAAAACCTATAAATTATTTTATATTGAATTCCAAAGCTCTAACTACATGCTCTCTTCTCCTCTACACAGAATGATGATCAAGAGTAACAACATCTGCAATAGCATTGACTTCTTCAATAGTTCTGTGCAATCTGTGAAAAACCTTATCCTACAACCTTAGTTGAATGCTTTTATATTTCATACTGTACAAAATTATTACAATTTATTTCATTTACTGGTTCAACTAATTCTCGCACTCTAGTCTTATTATATATTTACAAAGAGCATTATTTTCATTAAATATGTACCTAATTATTGTAGTTTCAATTGTCTTTCAGCTTTATTTTGTTTCCTCTGCCTTATTTGGTTAGTAATTATGTCTTTCATTTTTGTTGTTCAGTTTTTACTCTTTAATTGTATTTTTATATTTATCATTTATATTTACCATTTATATTATTACCATGTACACATGTCCTTATTCTTTTTATATATATTATTTGTATTTTTACATATATTATTTATATTTTTTATAGTGGATTTCGATCCGTAAATAAATAAATAAAAAACCCTGTTTCCTGTAAGAATTGGAACAAGTGACCCAGATACTTGCTGCAGTACTCAAGTCCAATTCTCATATCGGGTGGCATGCCTACACGCTCTCTATATGGAGCCAAAAGCAACCTTTCCCTCACGCCGGGCACATAGTAGAAGCATAGCAAAAGTAAGTGTCAGTGTGTCAACCTCACCTATGGCCTATTGATCATGTTAGGGTGAACCTTCTGCGAGTCAGGTCTTCCAAATGGCCACCTATCAACAGTGCTCTTGATATGTGAGAGCTTCTCTGCCGATCTGGCCCACCGACACTGATACTTTCTTTGATTGTGCTTTGTACTGTACATTTTTAGCATCAGAGGGCCAGATCGCTGGCTAATCCTTGCGTCCCGGCATTAACTGCCTCAGTTGAGAACCAGTTGGTTTCTTTTGAGTAGTAAATATTAATTAAATATGAGACAGAGGTACAAACTTAAAAAAATATATTAAAATCATTTTTAAAAAATACAAGCCAATTACTTGTGAAATGTAACGCCAGGCAGTTTATCAGTATCTCTGTTTTTACAACCGTATGCAACGCAGTAAACCATTGTCACTCCAATATAAAAAATAAATAATATATAAAAATATTATATTTACAGTTTTACAGAACAAGCAACACAACCTGACGGCTTTGTAACCGAAAAAACCAGTTGCTAGGTGCTCACATCGTTAATCTGCTTCATTTGAACTTGCTACTTCAGCATTTTTTTAAAAAGCAATTGTATGAATAGACATAAAATATTTTTGTTCCTTAGACTCAGTTGTTATTAAACATTATAATTTTTATATACACTAAATATATTATAATTTACATATTTATGTGATTAAATATTTATTTACTTCGTATATTAGAGACATAATTTGTACAAAAGGCATTCTACCAAATGGTATTTGCATTATTTTCATAAAACACAGTGTTCTTGTATTTTTTCTGCAATTGTTAAAAAATGTGGTTAATAACATAATTAAACATTTTATTTTTATAATATTTTATAAGTTCACAAAGTAATTTATGAATTATTATTGGCAGTTGTCTATTCGCTCTTCCTAGCTGCTAAGTCAAACAGCAAAATTTTATCTCAAGATGTAAATATGATGCATTCTTGAAATTAGAAAGTCATAACTGAAAATTAACTGTATTTATGTATTATAGCACTTTTGTATTATTATATAAAACACTATGCCGTACATTGAACATTCTACGTTTCTGATATCTGTTAGATATGTGGGCAGGGTTTAACTTAAGTGGAAATCGTAAAAACTGTACCTTCAGCAAAGTGTACCTAATGTGAAAAATATTTTAATGTTCTCGGGTTTCTTTCAGTTGCCAAAACCCTTTTGGACAATCTAGCTTTGAGTAGCTGCTCGATTCGTGCAATTATCCTATTTATTCGATTGCTTAACGAAATTATACAAAAATTTAATTTTTCAGAATCCAACAGTCTACCTTTAAATCATCAGCACGTTTAAGATGAAAGCGGACGTCATCTTAACGTGCGACGGAGGCGCTCCATGCACGCAGACGTGCTCACATGACACACAGCTGTAGTGAGCCGAGGCCGTCAGCCATGTCACCCACCCCAAGAATCCTCCAGTGACGTTGACGTTACAGTATCCTCGCGGAATGTCATAGTTCGGCCGGCTACGATCAGGAGAGGCGGTCCGTCAGCATGGCGAGCGTAGTTGGCAGGATGAGCTGCCCAGGTAACGGCATTTATGTCGTACAAGGCGAGATGTCCATGCTATTGACGGCTATGAAGAAAGTAAACAGATGGTCATCACATAATCATCAGGTCTGTCATCCCTTCTTCCTTTGATAACGTTCTTGGGGTGCTCACACTAAATCTTGTTTTGTAATCTTAACGTTTTTCGTTCATCTCCTACCTCCTAGGTCCTAGACAGCTAATACTACCCTTCCATTAACAAAAAAACATTAAAAGCCAAAGCAATAAAATCATGTAGAATTAAATAATATTAACAATAAAATAAAAGAAGAAAGGTTTAATAAATTGCTATACTATACGATAGTATATAAGGTACTATAAACTAAAAAAAAGAAAAAAAAGAAATCCATATAACTTTAAGCGCATTTAAAAACCTGGAAGCCTAGATAAGATTAAACATTATCAAAATTAGGTACTTTCACAAGTGTCATAAACTCCTTACTCATGAAAGTAGAAGTAAAGAAATTTTATCCGAAGATAGCATATATTGATTTCTTGTGTTTCTTCTGTTTTATAATCTTCTTCTGCGAAAACAGGCAATATTTGTGCTGTTGTCGCAATGACTTTTTTTTCCTTTTTAACGACCTTCTTTGGTTCCAAGTTGTCCAAATGTAAACAGAAGCAATGTGTACAGTAGAATGTGGCGAATGACACTAAGGCAATGCCGGTTTTGGTTATAAAAAGAGGCTAGTGCTAGCCAAAAATAGCTATGTTGAACCGGTACTTGCGAATGTAGCAAGACACAGTTTGGAACCCAGTGCTTGTTCAACACGTGTTCACTGACTCTAAGACGCAAAACCCACTATCAACTTTAAACATTAGTTGAGTTCTATGATTGAAGTTTTGAAACTTTTTATACTTTCAGCCAGGTTGAAGCATCCTAATGCTAAAAATTGTTCCAATTTTGTAAAATTCTCTGGTCAATTTTCCCATGGCAATAACTTGGGTGGATTTTCTTCAGATTGATCAAAGATCTTGAGCTGTCAAATTGATCCACATTTAAAAACAGGCAATGTGTACAGTATGTTGAGGGATGAATTTTATTCTGCAGAAATTATCCCATGAAAATTGCTCGATTTGGTTAAAAATGGGGTAATGCCTGGAAACTATAGCTAGGTAGTTGTCTTTTTGGTGTTTTGATAATTTCAGTCCGGTTGAAGCAACATAATGCTAAAAAATGTTCTATTTATTGTACAATTGTCAATATGTACTTGGTTGTTTCTCCTCTGCTAAAATAGGCAATATTTATTCAATTGTTTTCTCATTGTGATATATTTTTTTTCTTTGAACTTCACTTTCTTTGGTCTAAATTTTTCCCATTTGTAGGCATAAGGATTTTTATCCTTTAGCATTTAAACTTTAGTCTATTGTACCAATCTCAGCAAATGTATTTTCTGGAAGATTTGTGTCTTTTTATTTTTGTTTATTTTAATTTTATTTTTTTTATTAGGGTTCACAACAGCAAAGGACATATAAACCCTCAGGGTGTTAGTGTTTTTGAAAAAAAAAAAAACACATTTACAAGTATGTTGCAAAAAAAAAAAAATCCAGCAACCCTGCATTTGAACCCGGGACCTTTACCTTTCAGTGATGAGCCCTGTGTCAACGTCTAAACCGTATGACCACCGATGCCCCCTGTGTCTGTTTATTAAGTAGAGAATTCTTCTCAGGAATATGGTAAGATCTGCATAGCTCAAGACCGGTTTTCCTAGATCGCTATTACGGACCAGTTGCATAGCATATGTTCTGTTTGTCTATGTCTCTTCTAGACCTAATCAACATTGGTCATCTGTTGATAGTACCATTTTTTATAGGTAGTACTTTATTGGAGTAGGTACTGTAAATATACCAGTAAGAATTTTTAGTTCCTTTTTTTCTGTGGGATTTCCTCTTTTTCCATTAGGTTGTTTTTGTGAGTATTCTTTTTGCACATCATTCCTGGTTTAATCTCCTAGTATTTCTGTTGTGCTTTTAGTTATCCAAGAAGTTCTTTTTTTTTAATAGTTTATGCCTATGAGTAAATTTGGATGGGTTGGATTGGAAAATAGATTTGATATGAGTTGTTCCGAGGCTCCTTTTTGTAGAAAGCTGACAGAAATTCCCTTATGACCTAGGACTCACTTTAGTGTTATGCTTATTGATTATTTGGAAACACGGGAAATGTGAACTGTGTTACGAGATGAATTGCATTCTAATTAAGGCAATTATCCCATGGCAATTGCTAATTTGGTTAATAAAAAGGGATAATGCCAGCAAACGGTAGCTAGTTAAGTTCGTACTTTCTTCAAATTGGTCCAAATTATAAAATAGACAATATGTGATTTGATAATTGAAGCAAAAAAAAAAAAGTTTGGTCATTTTAAGTGGTGGTGATTCTTCCTACAATAACTGTGTTGCTTGGTTGATCATTATGGTCTATCATAACTAGTCGTTTAGAAACAATTGCTTAATTAAAATTTTTATTTTCACTTAGATGCTGATCTTTAAAATAAAGCACACTCCTGGTACTGAGGTGCTCTTGAAAACTTGGCTGGCAGAATAGGAGGCAGGATTTCCGTTGAAATATGTAGCCTTGTAAATATAAATGTTTTTGACCAAACGACAAGTTTGTCACCTGACCTGTGACCCTGACCTTTTAAAGACAAATAAACCTCACAAAATAACTTTTTGTTTTTTCAGAATGATTAAAAAAATCCAAAACAATAACTAATTTTATGCTTTTATGTGCTTTTGCTTGATAAATGACTAAGGTGAGCTGGTGTTTTGGTGAATAAATGGTGAGGGTGATAAGTGGTTCAAATATGTACCTAAAAACATAGTAGTAGTAACATTCTAATTGAAACTATTTTGACAGTTGCTTGATTTGGTCAAAAATAAAAGAATAATGTCAACTGAAAATTAGTTGTGTACCCTGGTTAATACTCTGGTAATTTCAGTCTGTTTAAAGAATTTTAACGCTTAAACTCAAAAAATCCGTACAGTTTTATAAAAATAGGTGACAATTCCACCATGACAGTGTCTGCTCTGATTTGTTTTGGTTGATCATGATGTAGGACAATTGTTTCCAATTATAAAAATGACAAGTTACTTTCTAATGGGGGCAATTTTTTCCAACTTAGTTCTGGCTGGTAGTGCTTGAATAAAGCATCTTGATGCTGGTGAATCACTCCAAATTATAGAAAGGAAAGCAATTCTAGTTAGTGGTAATATCTATGTTTGGTCAATTAAAATCTGGTACAAATTACTGTATTGTTTACCATTTAAATACCAAAAAGTTATTATGCGCCGAGTTGCATTTTATTGAGGCAATTTTTGTAAAACTTGCAACAATCCATTCCTTACACTTCTTATTTTTTCTTCTTCTTAAGTTTCTTGAAGATGATTGAGTTCCTTGCCCAGTTCTTAAATTTATAAATTATACAAAGTTTTGTCCATTTGTATTGATTTTTTCAGCTTGATTAAAGCTCTCAAACCTGACCTTTTGGTCCAAAATTAATTAGATAGTATTGTTTTCTTGACTGAGGGAATTTTTTCCGCAACATTGATTAGTTTATTCTCTGTTTCATAATTAATTTTGTAAAGTATTTACAATTAAAAAAATTTTTGGGTTTTGAAATAAAACCATTAAAAAAAAGTCTTGAAACTGGTAGAAATTCTGGTTCATCTGGCTTGATGCAGCTTAAGGAGGCAAGTAGATTCAACTTGTTAAACAGCCAGTATTTATTGTGTTGCTTTATTCTACTTATTTAATATTTAATAATAAAATTTTATGCAATTTTAAGATATATAAAAATAAAACTGCATTATTAAGAAAGCTAATTTACATTATTTTTCAGGATGAAGAAAATGATATTCTTGTGAGGGGTTTTGTTGACTTGAAGGAGGTTTTAAATCAAATAGGAGATCTTAGGGAGTTAGAGCCAAACAGTTTTCTCAATCCTTTTCTCGAAGTGATCCGTTCTGAAGAGACAACAAGCCCAGTTACAAGCATCGCTTTATCTTCGGTCAACAAATTTTTGTCTTATGGTTTGATAGGTACGAGTCTGAAGAATATATTTTACAATACATTTATACATTTTTTTAAACAATTTCATTTCCAGATCCACAATGCAAGACAATTGCTGCCACTGTGGAGAACATTGCAGATGCTGTGAACCATGCCAAATTTGTCGGCACTGACCAAACCAGTGATGCAATCGTTTTAATAAAAATCTTACAGGTTTTCAAATATTTCTTTATAGTGTTAAATTTTATATTATTTTCTGTTTTATTTTATTGTTATTAGGTGTTGAGAACGTTGATGTTGTCACCTGAAGGAGCATGGCTAACTAATGAAAGCGTGTGTGAAATTTTACTCAGCTGCTTTCGTATCTCTTTTGAAGTTCGCATCAATGGTATATTTTAGTGATTATGACTCAATTAAAATTGTCGTTATTAAACTCGATTATTTCTAAACTTTAGAACTTCTAAGAAGATGTGCTGAAAACTGTTTGCGTGACATGGTTCAACTTCTTTTTACACGGTTACCTACATTCGCTGAAGATTTTCGTAGGAATAACAATGTCCAGGTAATTTTATGTTATTGACAGTTATTAATACCTTTTTCAAAATTTTTTAGCAAAAGTTACAGATCCAATCGAACGCCATGGAGACTTCTAGGGGCAAAAGGAAAAATAGGAACCATCCAAAACCTAGGCAGAAGAAGATAGAAGAAAGGAATAATATACATTCAGGTTGTTTAATCTAAATCTAGTGAATCTAAAATGATAAAATTTTTCAATGAATTTTGTAATTTTCTTTTTATAGATATAAAACTAAAAGATTTGCATTTGACTTCAACAATTCATAGAGATAATTCAGATATTCCTGATCTGCAAGGGGAAATGCAGAGCACTGTCACATCTCCAGTTTCTCCTCCACCTTCTGTTCTCTCATCTCCCACAACGGAAAACTTACCTGAACTCCCTGTTGATGAAGGTATAAAATTTCAAGGAAGCAAATATCTTCTTTTATCCAAATTTTAATTTATTTGTTGATAGATAAAAATGTCCATGAGGCAGATATTGAGGCTCCAAATATTCTTCCAGAAGTTAAACAGGATCCAATTCCTTGCACTGATGGTGTTGTTATTCGCATAGAAGATTCTAGTTCCAACAGTGGGGAACCACAAGAAATGCCAGTAAGTAGATAATTTAAAAAAATTAGAGAAAAACTTATGGTTTATTGATTAATGTTTTGATTAAGCCTGATCACGACGTCCAGTTGGATTCTGATGTCCCTTTCCCTCTGGAAGAGGTACAAGTGAATGAAAGCATATTAGAAGAAGAGCCATTACAGGTTCCACCCAATGAACCATCACTTCTTTTGAAACAATCGGCTGAAGAAATTGACTCACAAAATATACCAAACTCGTTAACGGATCCCCAAGAGTGGGTTAATCAGCAAGGGGTTCGATTTACTGTAGCAGAACAAGAAGGTAAATTCATCAATTTACGATACAATGCAATTAAATAATACGTACAATTATTTTTTAGATTCACCACTACCAGGTCCGTATGGTTTGGTGAGTGTCCATGAGCTCCTCAGATTTCTGGCATCGCTCTGCAATCCTCAAGATAAACAAAATACTGATTTTATGATTCACATGGGCTTGACCCTCATTATGATAGCTTTGGAAGTCGGAGCTGACAACATAGCAAAATACCCATCTTTAATGGTCATCGTCAAAGATGACATATGTCGGAACTTGTTTTCTGTTAGTATCTCACTACTGTACTGTAACGTTTTTGAATAGAGTTATGAAGAACGACGTTTTGTTTTGTGCTTTTTAGCTGCTCAATTCTGAAAGGCTGGCAGTGTTTGCCTCAGTTTTACAAATCTGCTTTCTCCTATTTGAATCCTTACGAACACATTTGAAATATCAGTTGGAGCATTATCTGCTGAAATTAATTGAAATAATTGTTTCCGATTCTGTGAAAGCTTCATATGAACATCGTGAAATTGCCTTAGGTTAGAATATAAACATTTTAATAATAAATAATTAAATAATAATTTATATATTTAAAAAAAATACAGAATCATTGGTTCAACTGTGGAGGATTCCTGGTCTTGTAACGGAATTATACCTTAACTATGATTGCGCTCTTTATTGTCCAAATCTGTATGAAGAGCTTACTAATCTTCTATCAAAGGTAAGGTTGTTTAAAATTTATGATTGTAATTTTTTTGCTCGATGGGAAATATTTTATTACAACTATATTTACAAGTTCACTAATTTCGTGGTCCGCTTGACCAATTAATATATTATTAATTAAGGTTTTTAGTTGAGATAAAAAAGTCAATGGCAAAAAGGAGGGAAAATTCAAAAGGTGCGGTTCAGATGGGAAGTTGGTGCCCGAGTGGATCGAGGTCGCGATAGCTCAAGTGGTAGAGCAGTGGCGTGTCAAGTCGAAGATCGTGGGTTCAAATCCCGCTCGTGCCATTGACTTTTTATCTCAACTAAAAACCTTAATGAATTATAATATATTTACAAGGTTTTATAACAGATGTTTGTTTACAGAATGCATTTCCAGTATCTGGGATTCACAATACTCATTTACTGTCACTAGATGCTCTGTTAACTGTAATTGATTCTATTGAAAATCATTGCAACAGCAGAATATTAAACGAACATCAACAATCTGAAAAAGGTAGTTTTACTTTAAATTTTCTGATATTTTATTCACTGTCGTTCAATTTTTCTAGGCGTGACAGCCGATGGTTTTAAAGGAATTACGGTTATGCACAATAGCAACTACATTCTTTCTTCAGGCACACGCCAAAAGCTATCTTGCAACATTCCAAGTCATGAACATTTGATGGCTGTAAAAAGAAGAAAGAAGGTCCGTTTTAATATTTGTTCGAGTTTTTAATGACAATATATGAAATAAAGTATTGTTATTTTTGCGATTTTTATTTTTTTTCGACAGTTACTTGCTACTGGTACAGAGCATTTCAATTCAAAACCTAAAAAAGGAATATCATTTTTACAAGAGCACAATCTCATGTCAAACCCATTAGACCCACATGAAGTAGTTGTTTTTCTGAGGGAAAATCCTCATCTCGATAAAAAAATGATAGGAGAGTATATAAGTAATAGAGCCAATTTAGCCGTTTTGGACTGTTTCGTAAAGTAAGCATTGTTTAATTAAAATTAAAAATATATCCAACTTTAGAAATTAATTGAAAAAATTACCTTTTTTAGGTCATTTGATTTCTCCGATTTGAGGATTGATGAAGCTCTAAGATATTATTTAGAAACTTTTAGATTACCAGGAGAATCTCCATTAATATCTCTTGTAATGGAACATTTTGCTGAACACTGGCATGTAAGTATTGTCTATTTCCTTAATTTATCAGTTTGAAATAAAATATTTTATTTTCAGAAATGCAATGGTGAGCCGTTTGCTAATGCTGACGCGGCTTTCACTTTAGCATACGCTGTTATTATGTTAAATGTTGATCAGCATAATCACAACGTGAAAAGGCAAAACAATCCAATGACGGCTGAGGAATTTAAGCGAAATCTTAAAAAATTAAACGGAGATAAAGATTTTGATGAGGAAATGCTAGATGAAATTTATAATTCTATCAAGTAAGCCAGAGAGATAATGTACATTAATGATAATTTATGTAATTAATTTTTTGTTTAAAGGTCTGATGAAATAGTAATGCCAACAGAACAGACTGGTCTTGTAAAAGAAAATTATTTGTGGAAGGTCCTTTTGAGAAGAGGAACTGGGAAGGATGGTGAATATGTTCATGCTCCTAACGGCCTCCTGGACCACGACTTATTCTCTTTAATATGGGGCCCGACTGTGACTGCTTTAAGCTCTCTCTTTGACAAGGCGACTGATCCGGCAATATATCAAAAAGCCATATCTGGTTTTAGGTGGGCCAATTTTCAAATTTGAAAAATTTGTCGATTTGAATTGTTCATTAATTTTTCATTTTAAATGTAGAAAGTGTGCTATGATATCAGCTCATTACGGAATGAGCAATGATTTCGATAATCTCATTGTCTCGTTGTGTAAATTTACAACACTGCATTATAAAGTCGAGGTAATTTCTGACCCATTAAAAAAAAAATCCCCCTCTTATCCTTATATAATTAAATGAATTTGAATTTTAGTCATATGAAATGCTGACAATAATGTTTGGAGAAAACCAAAAGGCAAGGCTTGCAGCGAAAACGGTGTTTAATTTAGCCCACAGGCATGGTGATATCATCAGAGATAGTTGGAGAAATATCTTGGAGTGCATTTTACAATTGTACAAATGTAAACTATTGCCAAAAATACTAGTTGAAGTGAGTAGTTATAATTTGTGATATTAGCCCATTGGATGACCAAAATGATCTAACAGCCAAATTACAGGCTCATCGCGCCACAGATCACTTAAATTGCCCAATTAGCATGTATTGTTGAAAAGATCATTAATCAATTTGTAATATATAAAAAAAGTGATGATCTAGTTAAAAGAAATAAATCAATACCACTGAAATTATTTATCCATAACAAAATCAATGAACATTACTTGTGTTAAAAAATCTAAGGAAACATAAAACTTTGAAATGAGTAAAACCAATGTTAATACATTTTTTTTTCTGTAAAATATTGCCCTAAATATGAACTTTATTTTTTCCTATCCCTTATTTAATTTACAACCATTTTGAATGATATTCAGTCATTTCTGAAGAAGAAGAATTTTTACATAATACAATTGTTTTAGTTCCCCATTTTGTATATACCATATTAAAATGTATATATATTTTTTTTAAACATAGGCAGAAGATTTTATTGAGTTAAGCGGCAAAATTTCGTTGATAAGAGAAGAAATCCAGTTGCACCCAAAGACTGAGACTGGTATCTTTAGCTCCTTATATTCTTACATGTTATTAGGCTCAGGTTTGTAAATAACCAAATTATATAGTGGTGAATTAGTGTTAATAGTAATTTTTTTTTAGAACAAAGTATACAAAAAGGCCCTTCACCTGAAGATCAGGAAGCTATTAGGATGGCGCAGAACTGTATAAGAGAATGCAATCTTGAACAATTGATAACCGAGTCAAAATTCCTTCGCATGGACTCTCTTCAGTATTTTGTAAAGGTAGTTACAATCTTATTATTTATCTAAAGAAAAAATTACATATGAATTTTACAGGCTTTAGTTACTGCGTCTTATGGTCCTGAAGGGCATGTATCCCTCGGTTCCTCTTACAGTGAAGATACAGCAATTTTCTTTTTAGAATTGCTTCTCAAGGTGGTTCTTCAAAACAAGTGAGTTCTTTTCAAACTTATTTTCCTCACATTGAAATAATTTAAAATTTAATTTGAAATTGCTAATTGAATCTTGACATTTTAGGGATCGAATCGGTCCAATGTGGTCAACGGTGAAAGAACATATATACACTTTATTGATGGGAGCAGCAGCTTGTGATCACCATTTTCTTGTTGAAAGATCTGTGGTTGGTCTTCTACGTTTGGCAATAAGGCTTATGGTTAGAGAAGAAATGAGCCCAATGGTGAGTTTTATCCATGATGCTCGGGTACATCTGAATAACAATGATGTAACTATTTAGGTCCTTCAATCCTTGAGAATGTTGCTGCTTCTGAAAGGTACAACATTATCAAGAGTAGCGAGACAGGTGTCTTATGGTATGTTCGAACTGATTAAATCAAGCGCAGCTAACATACACTCAGCCACAGATTGGGCTATCATATTCACATTATTGGAATGTGTCGGTGCTGGTGCACCACCTCCGAGGGTTGTCAGCAAACCTCTGAACGAGTCAGGTAATTATTTTATTTCTTTATGGGCTATAATAAATACAAAACAAAAAAGATTTAAGATTGCTGGAATAAAAAAAAAAAAATTGTTGTGAATGACTGTACGACGACCAGGTTGGTGTGACAGAGTTGGACCAAACTTTTTTTGGTGATTCTACACTCCAAAATATTGGACACGTATCCACCACTTCTTGTGAATAGGCCCTAGTTTCGCCAATTTTTTGTTTTTGTTTTTTGAAAGTTGAAATTTAATGTTTTTGTAATATTTTTATCTCACCGTTCTACTCGCTCAAATAAACTATGTGAATATATCATTTTACAACATTTTTTATGTAGATTGCAATAAAAATATAGCAAAAGCTATCAAAGTTTATCAATAACTAAAAAATTTCTAAAAAACAAATTTTTTCAAATAAACTAATTCATTTAAAAAATTTACTTAAAACTAATATGAAATTTTGTTTTACCACCTCTAGAGACTCGTAAATATAAATTTTTGTTCAAATTTAAATTTATCGATTTTTTGACCCCTAAAATTATTCCCATTTTTAAGAAATTGTTATCGGAATATCGGATTGAAACAGCTATAATTCAAAAATGGCTAAAAGGATTTTAACATCAACTATACCATTTGAAAGAAGAGGAACGTAGCTTTTTAACAATGTATGGATCATAAAAATATATAAGTATTTCTATAAGAAAATACTCAATATAGGAAAATTATTTGTAAAAAATTAACCTCGTTTTTTTTAAATTTAAAAAATAGTCTAATTTAATGTTTGCTACAATTATGAAATGTACTTGATTGTTTATTTAAAAATAACCATGAAAATTGGTCTCCTAGGTTTTGAGAAAAATGATGTTAGAGCTCACACTCGGAATGTCAGTCAACCTAGGTCATCCCCTTGTTAAAGAATTTTTTTTTTTTACTGGGGCTTCCGACATCTAGGTCATTTCAGCCCCCAACTATGTCTATATTCTATTTACCCTTTCAAACACTACATTCATACAAATAAATATTGGGTTGTCCGGAAAATAATGCAGGATTTTGGTATTAAACAAAAAAAAAGAAACTAGTTACTTTAAAGCAATGTTCTTTAATCAAAATAATTTCCCNCGACCCCGAACACACACTCTTACGCTCTCATCGTTCGAGGGGTGATGATGTCGTTTATTTCACCCTCACCCCTCGCCATTCACGCTAATAAATACATGCACTCAGACAAAACATATAGACACACAACACATAAGACATACTATATACAATAAAAAAAAAAACAATTTCCCCTAAAAAGCGGAATAGGGGACTCTGAAACTCACTACCATGTTCGAGAACTCTTCTTAAGTCCGGTGGCATGCCTACACGCTCTCTGTATGGAGCCAAGGCATGACACGCCTCTATTATGTGGGACACATCGAGCAACCTTTCTCTGCATAAGGAACACCTGCACGGGCTTTGGCCCAAAAGCAGGTGCCCATGTGTCAACCGCATATGGCCAACCCTCAGTCTGGTGAGGACGATCCCTCATCTCCTACTCAGATTCTCTGAGGGCCATCTACCGGTCGTGCTCTTGACTCGCAAGAGCCTCTCCGACGACCCTGCCCACTGACGCTGCTATCTTTCTTTTATCATATAGTCAGGGGGTCTGATCGCGATGGTCCGATCTGGAGGGTGGGACGTACGTAAAGAATTATTACAGTCAATTACTGTGTTTATTTAATGTATTTTTAATTTTTTGCCAATGCCAGTTTTGATTATTTATTTAAACAATTTTAAATTTTCAAGGGTATTAAAACTTAATTGATGCCCTTAAGTTGAATAAAAAGAAAATAATTATAACGGGCAGGGGTAACATGGTGGCCAAATCAAATTTGTCATGCTAGCGGTTCTGTGCATGATTCCTGACAAAGCCCTTGGAATTTTATTTGAGATTAATTTGTAAACAGTATTTTAAAGTTGGGAGTCTGGGCTTTGCTCCCATTGTAATTCCCTCTCATTATAAACCGTTTTTCATTTTCTAGCGGAATGCTCAATACTGGGGGAGTTATGTCAGTTTTATTTGGGGAATTTTGTTTTAAGTAAGGATCTCCTAATTAAATATCTGGCTGGTGAATTTGATCTGTACATATTAATTGAATGTGCACACCATGCATAGAGATTGGTCTATCAATTTAATTATCAATACAAACACGACACATTACATTTCTGGTTTGCTCTCCAAAGTCAGTCTCACCATTGAATATTTGTTTTATTTTATTTACTTTTTATATTATTTTGTTTTTTCAATCTACCTACCAGGGTTTTTAAATTAATTTTTATTTATTTTATATTGTTTTTTATGATACCTGCAAAAATCTCCCGCAGACATGTTTTAATTCATACTTTTGTATACTTATAAATTTCTTAAATTCACTAATTTCGTGGTCCGCTTGACCAATTAATACATTACAATTAATTAAGGCTTTTAGTTGAGATGAAAAAAAGTTAATGGCACGAGCGGGATTTTGAAAAATGGCAAAAAGGAGGGAAAACTCATAAGGTGGGGTTGAGGAAGGAAGTTGATGTCCGAGTGGATCGAGGGCACGATAGCTCAAGTGGTAGAGCAGCGGCGTATCTAGCCGAAGATCATGGGTTCGAATCCCGCTCGTGCCATTAACTTTTTTTCATCTCAACTAAAAACCTTAATTACTTATAAATTTCTTTTGTTTAATAGACTTTTTTTGTAAATAAAAGTATTTATCTTTCTATCTATCTATCTATTTATCTATTTTAAAGTTGTTCTGACCTGTTACGTCAGTAAAGAGCATAAACCCACCTATGTCATAAAATTAATTTACTTACTTTTACAATCAAAATAGGCATATTATAAATACAAAACCTGCAACAATAAACAAATTTATTGGTTGAACAACCAAATTATTTTTTGCCTTTTCATAAAAACTTTGAAACAATTTTTATTGTTGTACTTTTTGAAAATTAACTTATCACTGGTAAATTATTATAGGCGCAAGATCTGAAGGAGAAGTTCAAGTTGACAGTGGTTTAGGAAATGAAAGAGGGTATACATCAGACTCAGAACTAAGTAAAGCTGGTAGTTTGCCTCTTTCCCCTACTATCAGTCCTGATGCCCCTTTGAACACATCAACTGGATGGATATTGGTATTTTTCTTATAGTATTTTATGCAAAATATTTTTCACATTAATTTCTGTAATTTTAGGTCGGGCGGGAAGGTGAGATACAACCCATTTCATTAGGTAACCGAGTTCCACCTAATGATTTTTCAATGACGGATAAGGAATTTATGTGCCATGACCCTTATGCTATGGTGAAATGTTGTGAAAGTCTTGTTTTCCTTGTCAGAGATGTTGTACATATCACGCCTTACAATTTCCAAAACTGTGTGCACTGCTTGCGAACATTTGTAGAGGCAGCTGCTGAAGCAAGTAAGCTGAAGTTTTTCACCTGTTAAAGGATCAAAACTCCTAGATTTCATCTTGTTACAGTTGAAAGGAAACACTTCAAGAGGCTGAAAGAGCCCAACTTGTCACACGGTAACAAGCCTACAAGGAAGAAGGTCGGTTTGAAAAGAAAGGAAGAGAGAGCAAAAAGCCCAACAGGAAATGCGTACGACGCTGATGAGAGTGACCCTGAAGACACCCCTGGATATCAACAAGTCTGCATACTGGTAAATAAGAATTCATGTAGATTGAACTATGCTTTTCAAAGAGTCTATTATATTTTTAAGTACAAAATTTGAATTTAGGGTGATTGAAAATGAACATTAACAATAATAGATTGACATTTTAGAAGAGTTATTAATTTATATAATAGTTAATGTTACTCTTGTTTAAAAATGTGAGTTTTTAGACTATCCTGTTTTTGTAGACATATTCTAACCACTGATTATGGTTTATGAGTAAAACTCAAGGAATTCATTAGTTTCTTTATTTAGGTTTTATGAATAATATTCTTTTCATTCTCTTGAGCTGTTACTTGAGCTTGACCTTTACTTCAGTTTAGACGATTATAAATAGAAGTTTACAGAAATCATTTTAGTATGGACGGATTACAAGAATCAGTTGGCTTGCCTACAGCACAGTATATCCATAAATGATCGAGAGGGCCGGCTTAGGTTGAGATTTTCCATGGTGATAACATTATCGACGTCTCGCAGCCTTTCTGTGTTCACATTGCCTTTGCTTTGCTTGTCTTGGCTGTTTAGTACAGGTTGATGACAGATGTTATCACCATCGTCCACTCGATGCAGAACAACTGACCCGACTTCGTTGCTATGCTGATCGACTACGTTTAATGTTTTTGCACCAGACACCTGGCTATTATTGCTGTCTTCCTTCCCTTCGCTTGATTCATATTCCAATGTGGCCATTTTTGAGTTCTCTGCGTCTCCCATTTTACCTTAAAACAAATATAATTCTTTATCAAAATAGTAAATGGACACAATTGTTACTCACTCTATACTGTTGCTCATACAGTTGTGAATTCTTTAGACAGACGCCTACAATTTCATTAGTTATATTACTCACTAAATTAGCAACTAAACTAATAAAATGTTTTTTTTTTTCTTTATAAACACATTTAAGTTTTTATTTTAGTTAACACATGCTCTTTATTCATGTGTTTTTATGTTTAATTAGTTGTAAGAATACTGATTTTTTTTAATTTTCAAAAAATTTATCCAAAAATGAATTGGGTCTAATTATTTATTAATTTAAACAGAAAGGAAAATCTTGTACATCAAATACAATTATTTACACCCGAAATAGAACAAAGGAAAAAACTTCTATGCTAAAAACAAAATAGGGCACAAATTTTTACTAATTTATTACCAAGATGTAGTTACAACATAAATTTTATCCTTAGTACAATTAATTAAGGTTTTTAGTTGAGATAAAAAAGTCAATGGCACGAGCAGGATTCGAACCTACGATCTTCGGCTAGATACGCCGCTGCTCTACCACTTGAGCTACCGTGACCTCGATCCACTCGGACACTAACTTCCCATCTCAGCCGCACCTTTTGAATTTTCCCTTCTTTTTGCCATTTTTCAAATGTCGTGTAATCGGATTGGATTCTCGACGACAAATAAAATGGCCACGGAGAGCTTTAGTGAAGTATACTTCATTTTAAATCATTAAATTCACTAATGTCGTGGTCCGCTTGACCAATTAATGCATTACAATTAATTAAGGTTTTTAGTTGAGATAAAACAGTCAATGGCATGAGCGGGATTCGAACCCACGATCTTCGGCTAGATACGCCGCTGCTCTACCACTTGAGCTATCGTGACCTCAATCCATTCGGACACTAACTTCCCATCTCAACCCCGCCTTTTGAATTTTCCCTCCTTTTTGCCATTTTTCAAATGTTGTGTAATCAATTTGATTCTCGGCGACAAATGAAATTGCCATGGAGAGCATTAGTGAAGTATACTTCATTTTAAATCATTAAATTCACTAATTTTGTGGTCCGCTTGACCAATTAATATATTACAATTAATTAAGGTTTTTAGTTGAGATAAAAAAATACATGCCCCGAGCGGGATTCGAACCCACGATCTTCGGCTAGATACGCCGCTGCTCTACCACTTGAGCTATCGTGACCTCGATCCACTCATCTCAACCCCACCTTTTGAATTTTCCCTCCTTGAAAAGTTTTGAAAAATGGCAAAAAGGAGGGAAAATTCAAACGGTGGGGTTGAGATGGGAAGTTAGTTTCCGAGTGGATCGAGGTCACGATAGCTCAAGTGGTAGAGCAGCGGCGTATCTAGCCGAAGATCGTGGGTTCGAATCCCGCTTGGGCCATTGACTTTTTTATCTCAACTAAAAACCTTAATTAATTGTAATATATTAATTGGTCAAGCGGACCACGAAATTAGTGAATTTATCCTTAGTATCAATTCTTAAAAAAAAAAACAATTTTCTACTTTTTAAATCAATGGCTCAAGGCCTGTAACAGTATGCTACTTTGAGCCTTGCAAGTTGCACTTAAATACAAATTAATTTCCTCTATTGTTCAATCAAGTTACTTCAAATTGCTCTGATTCACTTTTATAATTTATTAATTTAATTAAATTGATGACACTTACCATTATTTCTTGCCGGGTAAAGCTTCTCGATCTGATGCACACTATCCACATTAGAACAGCGCAGATCTTTAAGTGGTGGGCGGAAGAAACCAGCGAAACTGAGCATATTTCTCTTTGGCTGCATGCATGGTGTCCGCTTCTACAAGGCATCGCCAGGCTGTCGTCGCATCCCAACAGACAGGTAATTATTTATTTGCTAAAATATTGTTTATTACTATAAAAGTATTAAAATTTGCTAATAGTATAAAAAAATTGGTGTATGTAATAAAAAGAGGTCACCACTATCACCAAACAATCATTATTTTTTATGGTGCAACATGACTATTTATATAGTCGGTAGAGGTAGTTGTGTCATGCTGAAAGTGCTTATTCGTCCTTATCTCTTCTACCTGATTGTGATAGTAATGTACTTCTGTTAGTTTCTACACTTATTCTTTATTATATACGTTTTTTGTTTAAGTTTTTAGTCATATATTTTAATTAACTTGAATTTGTTTACTTTCTTGAGAGCTTTTTTTTCTTTCATTAATTTATTATTTTTAAAATAGATTTCTGCTATTGAGGTATTGGAGATTTTGTTTTTACATTTTATAAATATGCATCTTCTTGCATATTAATACCATGTCAATTATATTTGTGTGAAAATGCTTGATTTCCCTGGCGGAAAAATTTATCAAAGACATTCCATAAAAGAATTTGCCGGCTCAATTTTTTCACGTTTTAATCTTTAAAGATAAGCTGCAGAATTATGTCTTATAACACTTTTTGAACCTGTTCAATTACCTCTTTAAGTACTTTTGTATGATTGATTATTGCCTGAACCTTTTAGCAGCACTTTTGGAGAATGTTTGACAAGTAAGAATTATTGGATTTGTATAATGGATATCTTTTTTTTTATACCTTGAAATCACATATTCGCTAACAAACTGAACCTTAACTTTTAAGTAGAATGTGTTTTTTTTTTCTTTTTTTTTCTATTACAAACTAATATTAGAAAGATGTAAAAAATATATAAAAGGTCCATTTCCATCATGACGTTTGAACTACCCAATAAAATTTGAAAATTATTTTTGTCGTTTAACATAAAACTAGACCAGAAATCGAATATATTCCAGAGTTAATATTTTCCCCTCAAAAAATAGCTTACTGTTTCTGTGTTCGAAGATTCGAATGAGTGCAATAACTTACCTTCAAAGAGCTCTGCTTGTTCCTGACCTTCAAAACCTCACTGGCGAAGAGTGGGAATCTTGTTTCACCCAAGTACTTTTCCCCCTTCTTTCTAAGCTATTGGAGCCCGTACCAACGTCGGATGGACTCGAGGAGACGCGTATACGTGCGGCGACTGTCCTTTCTAAAGTGAGTCAACATTCATATATCAATTAAGATGGAAAAATCAACATTACAAATTTTTAGGTTTTTCTTCATCATTTACCTCAACTTCAAACACTAGATAGTTTTGCCCAGTTGTGGTTAAAAATACTCGATTACAAGGATAAATACATGCATGCGGACAACAGTGATCTTCTGGTATGTAACAAAATTACTTTGTAAATATTTATAATTAACACCAATGCATTTAAGCTTGAGGCTATACCTGAATCTTTAAAAAACCTGCTGCTTGTAATGGACTCAACTGGTGTATTTACTGGCCAGGATGGAAGAAATGAAATATGGATGATTACATGGGACAAGATAAATTCATTTTTACCGAATCTTCACAATGAACTATTCAAACCAGTTCGTCCAGGTATTTATTTTTGTTCATTGGTATAAAGGGATGGGTAAACAAATGACGACTGTTTTGAACTTTTCTAAATGTTGAATTATTTTCATAGAGACTTCCGATGTTGTTGTTATGAAATCATTTTAGTCTTGGAGTATATTGAATCATTTTGTAAACATTCGTCCTCATTTTACCCTCAGGTTTTTGAAAATAAGGATTGAAATTCTGGTAATATTGTAATATTATTAAATTGAATTGGTGGATTAAACTCAATAAACAATTTTTACAAATTTGGAAGTGGTAATACCCTCCTACAAAGAGGTCAAGGTTCAAATGCCAGGTAAACAATTGGAGGTACAAAACTGTTAGACCATAGTTTTTTTAATTACATTCAACTGTGATCACAAGTTAAGGAATGTGAAAAGTTGTTGGTGTTCCAATGAGCTTGCAAGTTGAATGCCCCCGGGAAACCAACCAGTTCCTATAAAATTTAAGTGATGAATAAATGTTACACATATTAAAAAACATGACAAAAAGTGATTTTACTGGCTAAATGCTAAAATATCGGGATAGCACATAGATATTAATCTAAAAAAAGCCTTAAGTTTTTATGTTTATTATTATTTTTTAATTTTGAACTAGTTATCCTTTATGAGTTTGTTTTGGAAAGGCATTCTGTAATTCTGAGTGGTATTTGGAACAACTAAAACATATGTGCAAGATTTTAGAGAAGTCGCTTTAGTGAGTAGTGAAGTTTCATACCAATGCCCAACTTCACAGTTCTTGGCATAAAAATTTCCATAATGGATGACTTTGTTCCTTCAAACTACCAACTCTTCTGGGCAATTGCCCATTTACTCAAGGAAAAAATCTTAATGCTACCGATTTCAAATCCTTAGCCAAATAGTGAAATGCCGAAACAAGCCTGACAGGCCAACCCAGTGAGGATAGGCAAACCAAAATGATCAGTAACAACCAAATTACAAGTTCATTATCCCGATAAATCTGACATGCAAAAATATTTCATTTGAAGTTGTAAAAACTGAACAAAAAAACTTTTATTAATAAAACCCCTGAGAATTGAGCATCTGGTTCAAGATTTCAATGCACCATTGATATGACTAAAATCAATAGTAAGAAATATAAAATGAATTTAATTTTAACTTTAAAACAGTCTTTGTTTTATTCCCCTTAATAATATATAGATTTTGCCATAGTAATTTTATAAATTTTGTTAATTTTAAAGAAGAGCCAAAATCAAATGATACCCAGTCTCCTGAGGTACCGAAGGAATCTCAACAAAATATTCCATTCAGCCCGCAAGAGCCCGTGCCAATGTCTGTACCACCTATGATGACAACTGTTAACCAACAACCACTTCAAACATTGCCTAGGTGACACAAATTTTATTTATCTTGTAGTTGGTTTGGTTTTTCAAATTATTTATATAAATATTTTGCTGTTTAGACCTGGAGAAATTGTCGAAATTTCAGGACCAACCACTTCTCTACTTTCACCGCAGAACTGGCAGCCACCTGCACCTATATTTCCCCACATGGGTCAAGTATGTTTTATTACAATTTATTTAAAAAATATTCTGTTTTGAATAAATTACGATTAATTTTGTATGCATAAACTCAAAAAGTATACATCATTTGCATAAATTAATTCATATTTTCAGAAAGATATGTTTTTTAAATTTTTAAACTTTGTTCTTTTATTTAAATTTGGCCTACAGCCAATATCCACACCAATCGGACCTTCCATTTCATCACAGGTCGGTACATCAGCCACTAAGTCAGTAGGGCCAGTGCTGCAAGCACCTATTATTCTACCGACGACTTCTCCTATTCCGGTTTATTCAGGTTTCTCCAACATACCACATCAGGCCCCTCCTCCATCGGCTCACTTCTTCTATCAGGATATTGTAAGTATGAAGTGAACCTTGTGCGCTTGTACTGTACAATTATATTTTAAGATAATGCATTTATTTGTATTGTATTATTGTATTTATCAAAGGATCACATATGCTGCAACCTGGTAAAAATTTGTGAAAAATAATTTTTCGAATTTTTATAGCAAACATGATGCCTGCTGATTGTGTTCAATACTTATAAAATGATTACAATTAATTAAGGTTTTTAGTCGAGATAAAAAAGTCAATGGCACGAGCGGGATTCGAACCCACGATCTTCGGCTAGATACGCCACTGCTCTACCACTTGAGCTATCGTGACCTCGATCCACTCGGACACTAACTTCCCATCTCAACCCCACCTTTTGAATTTTCCCTCCTTTTAGCCATTTTTCAAATGTCGTGTAACTGGATTGGATTCTCGGCGACAAATGAAATGGCCACGAAGAGCTCTAGTGAAGTATACTTCATTTAATTTATTAAATTCACTAATTTCGTGGTCCGCTTGACCAATTAATATATTACAATTAATTAAGGTTTTTAGTCAAGATAAAAAAGACTAAAAACCTTAGAAAAAGATTTATCTCTACTAAAAACCTTAATTAATTGTAATGTATTAATTGGTCAAGTCGGCCAGGAAATTAGTGAACTTATAAAATGTTTCAAAAATTATATATCGTAATGGATTGGAAATATACACTACACTGGCTAGATAGAAATCTTTATTCCACTTATCTGCCAAACTACATTTGTCCTTTTATTGTTAGGCTTTTAAGCGTGCTTAAACCATAAATAATAAAAAAATAGGTTTTTGTGGGAATTTTTTGTTTGGCATTAAGATGGCTTTCTTCCTGATGTTCTCAGCCCAATACTTCCATCTGTAGTTAGATACATCATTCTGAAAACCTTTATTTCTATGCTGACATTAATAATAAATTAATTTCACTTTTAACCTTTTTGCATATTTATGTTTTCCAAGATCCTCTAGATTGTTTTTGATTAAAATATTTTTGTACATTTTAGCTTAAAACTATTATTTTTTTATGTTCAACTATTTATTTTAATATGATTATTCGTTTCAGTAGGAAGCAGTGCATCACTACTACAGCCCAATTTAATCGAGAATATTTCAATCCAGATGTCTGCAATTCCTCCATCAACTTCTTCCTAACTTACAAGGGAATTGATTATTTTAAATTGTGGCACATCAGACTGTGTAATAAGTTAATGCATTTGGTGAAACAAAAGTACATAATAAAAAAAAAGAAAAAAAAACCAAAACGTATTATGACAATTTTACTAAATTTCAATTATCCACCTCAGGTATTTAATAGGAATTTGATTATGTATTTAAAAGAAAATTACTATTCCAAGTAATAAACAAATAGGCTTATTTCAATTTTAAATGTAATCATCGTTAATTATATTTGCCCTTTTAAATGTATACATCTGTGAAAATTATTTAATTTAATGTGTATCTTATTTATTAAAATCAAAATATTATGTAACAATCGTACACCATTTAAATTATATTTATTCTCCTAGAAGAGATCATTGTTTTTAATTTAAAAAAATCTCTTTGCTAGTCGATAAGTCACATCATGGACAGCTTAAGAGATATGTTAAAACCGTGTTGTTAATATTTTTTATAAATGTGTTATCGTATATTATACTGTTATGTTATGAGATTTAAGGATGAATTTTAAATAAATAAATAATGATTTAAAAATATAACAAAATTGAATGTATATTTGCTAATTACGAATTTGTACATTATGTAGATAGATTGAAATAAAAATGATCTACAGAATTACTTTCTATGTTACATTAACCTAGCCTTTTCTTTTGTTCTTCTAGCAATACCAATCCAACAAGACCCTGTGATATTACATCTCCCTCTGAACAATTTTATTTTAAAAGCAAGATCAAAATATACGACTCATGACAAACAACAACAAAGTTTTAAGTGTTTAATTAAGTCTTTAATTAAGAACAAGATTTATGTTCACTGTCTCACAGGAAATTGTAGTTTTCCAATGACTGATTTCTATTTCTTAAAGAAAATTAGTGGCATGAAATAAAAAGTTGATTCTACACTGCTCCACGAAAAAAATTGGCACACTGCAATTTTGATTTATTTTTTAATTTGAAAATGTTTTGGCCATATTTTTTGTTTTACTATTTTAAATATTATTTAATTATTATTTATTAAGTTATAATTAGGTGGAAAGTATTTGTTTTTGTTGTCGATTATGAGGCAGAAACGCTCAAATCCTAATTTCATTTAAATCTCCAAATGTAAATCATCAAGGTCATTTAATCCTTTAAAATTGCCTTTATTCACTATTCAGTTGGTGGCACAGAACAAACGATTATGAAATGCCCATAATCAGTGAGCAACTTGCCCGCAACATTGTACTTGTTGAGGATGGAAGAAATCAGCCTTATGCTGCGAGAATTTTAGATTTGCCTAAAACAAAGGTTGTCAGGGATTTAGCGGTTACTGGAGACTGTATGCAAGGTGTAATTGGAGAACCTGGATCGGGATGTCCAATAGCCAGGGGACCAGCTGATCACCGATTTATCAGATTTCACACTTTGAGACATCGCTTTCCACTGCTTCTGAAACGTCTCAAAGACTTTCAGCTATGCTAGACATGTCTGTTTAGTGTGGAAAAAATAAGAAGGAAACTACCAGAAGTGAGTCTATATCCATATAAGGCCAACAATGGGTCCGGCGCTTACCAGTGTTCATCATCGGGGGCAGAACCAATAATTAAGGAATGTTATGTTTTCAGACGATACCCAGTTTTCTCTCCATTTACCAGATGGATGTCTTCCAGTTTATCGAGCAACTGTACATCTCTACAGCCAATGCATTGCCGGAAGAGGATTGTTTGGAGGTGGTTCAATTATGGGGTGTTGAGTGGAATTTCTTTGGAAGTTAATACAAATTATTAATAGAACGTCACTTAATGCATAAATCTACGTGACAGAAATTCTTGAGGAATATGTGGTGTCTTTGCTCCGTTTGTTGACGAGCGATTTTTGTTCACGCAAGATAATGCAAGACCAACTGTTTCCACCAGTGTTATGCAGTACTTTTGAAATTCAACATTTAAATCCTAAGACGCCCAGCCCGTAGTCCTGATTTGAACCCCATAGAGTACTTTTGGGACGAGCTCGGACATGGAGTAAAATTAAGAAATAACCCTCCAACAGCCTTAGCTGAGCTGAAAGTTACTTTAGTTGAGATTTGGGATGAAATTCCTCCAGAAGTTAAATGTTTAATTATGAGCATGCTGAGAGGTTTATTGTGTTTAAGAGGAGGTAAAACACCCTATAAAGATTGTTAAGTTTGTTTTATAATGTTTTATGTTCATATAGAAAAGTGATTTTTTTTTCTTTTTTTAGTTAATTTTTTCATTTTTGAAAGATATATTCGCTTCCCACTAACAAAATCTTTCAATAAATACCCAAATTATAAAATATATCAGTGTTAATATTACTGAAAAGGCAAGTATATAAAAACAATATCAAGATTAAAAGTGCGGCGCATTTTTTGTGGAACAGTTTATTTTAAATTTAGCAGTTTTTGGAAGGATTAGTGTTTGTTTTATTAGCAAAACTTTAAATTGAAGGTTGTAGAATGGGTCTTCTTAAAGGAAATTTAATGCTCTTTTCAATGCTTTTTTTATTTCCCCAAAAATGAATAGTTCAGAAGCTACGACTAGATTTATGACAAAAACCATAGATTGTATATAATTGAAAAAAAAAGACACAAGTGAAATGAAATATCTGTGAAAAGGTTGAGAATCAGAGCATGGTTCATCCTTACTTTTTTTATCTCTCTACAGGTGTTCAATGGTTTCAATAGTTCAGGAACAGGTGGTCAATATATGTTTTATTACATTATGTGCATAAGGGTGGGGCCATTAGGTAGCTGTGTGTTAGTCTTGTATGCCCTATTCATAGTCTGCAAAAAGCTGTTTCATATCTCCCGTTGTTTTGGTATGATGATAGCTATTCCCGGGTGGTGTTTTTTATTTCTCTCAATTTGTTGTCCTTTGTTGCCTCCCATTTGCATTGCCGGAAGTGGTATTTTTTCTTTTTCAGGAGGGAAGTAAATCATTTAGGGGGATTTCTTATATTGCTGTACTGGGGGGGGGTCAATAAATGGTTAATAAAACTGCAGTTTTTTATTTGTATTTATCTTGATATGGTAGAAATAGAAGGATTTTTAAACATAATCACCTTATATTTATTTATTTCTCAGTGACATAAATAAGGTTTCTCAATAAAATAAATATTCATTTTAATTAATAATCTTTCTCATCATAACAATAATAATACTGGAATCATTTAATTGTCTTAAATCATTTCTTAAATAAATAGCAGCTAATTGTAATTAATTCCATTAATTAATTATTTCAAACAGCTGAGGGCAATATGCTCACAATGCTGCTTACAATATTCCATCATTTCAAATTTGTACTTTATTTAATCTGCGATGAAGAACTTTTACAACATACTAACAACAACTTAAAATGATCTTTAATTCCAGTGTCCATTATTCCCTTTATATACAAACATATTGCGTACAAATTTACACAAAATACTTTCAAATTTTATACAAACATAATCTTTTCTGTGAATTATATTTTCGATAAAGATTAAGGTAATTATATCACATTTGTTTGCTGAATATTGTCTGGCTTTTTCATATGATGAGTGTTTGTCTGAAATATTTATTTTCCAGCATGGCAACTTAATTGTGGATAATCTGTAAATGAGGGAAAACGTATTAAAGTCTTGATCATTTTCTTTTATATAAAGTAATAATAAATAGCATATGTATTAATTAAAAAAAGTTTTCAAACTCCTTAAATTAACTTAATAATAAGTTAAAGTGTTTACTTTTGTTCCAATGTTTACCTAAGAACATTAGAAGGTATTGTAATTCCCTATAAAATAGACAGTTTACAAATTTAACAGAAAAACAGCATGGACTGGTTGAGTTTCTACATGGAATAGGGTGCCAAAAGAGGTTTTTCTAAATAGTCTACCTCAGTGGACAATAATAGTCTGTTTGGTTGTGGCATAATAAAGGCGAGCACTATGTTTAGAATTTAGCTTATTGCCATACCCAGATATTTAGAAACTACCCCACATGGCTTGGCCTACATTTTTGATCCTCTATTTAATTAATTCCAAATTGGAACTTACCATTTAGCTAAGGATATGATAGTCTTGGAGGAGGATGATCCCGCCTGCAGTAAAATCCAAGCTGTTGGCACTTTTCGCAGAGATGCTGAGGATGGACTTTCGATTGATCCGAAACATCAAGCCCATCAGGTTTTTCCAGTGGCCTCTTTTAATTAAAAAAATTAATAATTACAACAAATGATTAAAATTTTATTGTTTTACCTGTTTGTGAGGGTAAACATTTATGTGGCATTTGATACACTGTTGGCCCATATTTGCCCAACTGTTGCCAGACATCCATTTTCTTTTGCATTTGGGGCATTTGTATTCACCGAAGCATCTTTTCTTTCCCTGATATGGTGTCAATCCTTCCCCTTTTGGTCTTGCCTGAAAATCAAACTAGTTTATATTATATTAATGAATAAGATGATAATTGCAAATTTGCCATTACTTCTGGATATGGTATCTTAAATGAACATTTGACATTTATTATAAATCTCACTCCTTTCATTTGAATGAGAAGGCAATAATCAAATTAATTTTTGTGAAAGTTATAAAATTAAAAGTTACAAATTTCATTTGCCATTTGCAAAAAGATTTATCACAGTTTGAAATTCAAAAATGAAATTTTCATTTGAATCCTTGAAATTTTGAAAATGAATAGGATTCATAATAAAGGCCAGTGCTATTTCATGGCCTAAAAAAATCCTTCAGAGTAAGTGGAAGGCTTTGGTTCACACAATTGAGAATGGTTGCATTTTGCATAACTTTGCTCAAACTATTTTCTTTAAAATACAGCTTAGCTTCTTAAAAAAACGTCTGTTTGCATTTACTTATAAATACCTAATTTATAAATCAGGGAAATAAAGAATTAGGTCAAAGTTGAATGGACAAATTAAATAAAAAGTAAATAATTTAATACGATTGGATAATTAAATAATTAATATAAAATGGGCATGAAATTTTCTTAAAATTTTACAGAGATTTCTGCATTCAGTGTTAAGCTAAGTAGGCAAAAATTATTGACGATGGTAATTTCCAGATTCTTCTCCTTGCTTGCTCTTAAATTGAAAACTAAAAAGCTAGCTACCATAATCATATTAGGATTATGAAGCTATTATTGTTGGTTGCAATGTACAACTTGTTTTCCCTTTTTAAAATTTGTTTTGCAAGACAATGGATCTTGGCTCTAATAAATAATAATATATAATAGTTGTTTATCTTATTTCATTCAACAATTATTCAATGTTGCTTTTATGTCTCGTCGGTTTACTTCAGATCAAATAAATCCTAACATATACTCAGTTACTGCTATTCCACTTTCTCCCAATCGAGAAAGGAAATGTCCAGTTCCTCTGGTAGCTCAGTTGGTAGAGCGGTGGACTGTAGTGGTCGTTAAAACAGGTATCCATAGTTCGCTGGTTCAAATCCGGCCCGGAGGACTAAATTTTTTTACTCTGAAATTAATTTTTCTATATGATGTTTATTACGGATGAAATTTACGTTTTTTTTTAACGTCTTTAATTTCGAACTCGGTTTATGTTTTCATCCGTTTAATCTAGTGGCTCAACTGTGAGAATTATAATTAGCCTGGAGCTCTCAATTATCGTGGAGGATGGGCAGAACTAATTAAAACAATTGGTCCAAACCGACTCCAGCACCAATTTGAACATTGAAGCATCGAACTGCGATGTTTTTGTTTATGATTACGTCGACAGTGACATTAGCGATTCTTTTTCGAGCAAGATTGGTGAAATAAACTCAGTTTCGATCATAAAACCGTTTTTCTAGAAATACATCCTTTTGAACCGACGCCAATGAGTTGGTAAATTCAGTTTTCCTCGAAACATACAATCCATTGAACGAAACAATAAATATAAAATGCTTGCCGGTGGAAAGCGAATAGTCACAAAAATGTAACAACCCCATCGAGTCTTAATGAAAAATAAGAAAAAGTTCAGATACATACGGTATAGAATATTTTAACTCAAGTAATCTCGTTTCGTGATAGTTTCGTGCTCAAATGTAAATAATAAATGGAATAAATGTGTATAAATAAATGTAAGAAAATAAATTAAAAATTGGAAAATCCTATGAGGAATATCACTGATAGAAACTTCACTGTAGCTATCCACAAGTATCACACAGTACTTTTTTGCACAGTTTGTCAAATTAATTAAAACAAATAAATAAAAATACACTCATTAAAAATAAACTCGTTGTTTTCACATCTTAAGAACGATTACGTGCAGTGCGTAATCTTACGGTTTTCGACACCCGGGTTTTGAGAAGAATAACTTTTCATTTATTTAAACGTATGAAGTTTACTGAAGAAAAGTTTATAGAAGACGAAAGATGAAAAAAGAAACTATAAGGGAAAAATCACAGCCAAATATTTTTGCTTTTACCAGATCATTGACATTTTTAGCACCAATCAGGAAAGGCGAAACTGGGAGACCTCTGAGCGCTGAATCTATTTCAAGATAGCTCGGGAAGTAATTCTTAATCTGGTAAATTGAAACGGTATTCGGAGTGCAGGAGGGCATTCACTCCTGTACGGTTTTAATAAATTGCTCTAAATGTCCAATTACCAATCCCACAAAATGTTTATAATTGATCTCCTAGGGTGTCCAGGAAAAAGATCGTGTATAAAAATGAAAAAGAGTTAGGAAATTGATGAAACCCGTTCAAACTCACCATGGGGCAGTCCTTGATGTAGTGTCCTTTGCTGAAGCATAGATGACAGAGGTATGTCGCAGGGGGTTGCTTGTATCCTTTATCCGATAAGCACAGTTCGTTCAACGCTTCGCTCAGGTCTCCTGCAAGGCGGAGCATTTACCAAATTATGTAGCTATATTATTTTAGTGGGGCAATTTACCTATATTTGCGTCCCCCAACGATGCAAGGGCCGACAGGTGAAATTTGGTGTATCCCGCTCCAGGACTGGCTCCTCCATATCCATTCCATCCAGCGGTCAGTAGTTTACCCTAAAATTTTCAATAAAAAATTTCCTATTAAAAAAGCTTGGATTTTAATATCTATTATGTAAGGAATGTAGGATATTTGGTGAATTGTTAGAACTATGATTCGAACACGGGCGTGTCGTGTGAAAATTGATGCGTTGAACGTAGTTCCACGCGCGTCGACCGTTGCCAAAATTTTTACACCTATAAAGTTTTCCTTATAATTTCTCTTTATAAATGCGACTTTTGATGAAATTACTTTCCCCGTCGATCCGTTCGGAACCACCACGTTTTTCCGAAGAGCGGGATCCTGTCCAAAAAACCACCAAAATCTTTGGCCTTGACCAATATGGGCTTGGAAAATTCATCCGGGGTGGTCTTATAATCACGGGGAAATTGTTTGATCCTATTAAAATCTATTTCCATCGTTTACGGAGAATCTAGGACCTACATTTGAACAATGTTGTACGAATGCCATTTTTTGCACGATGTTCAATTATTACCGATAATCTATGAATCTGTTTCTTCTCACTACTGGTCATGAGATGTGTTCAACTGCTTGATGTTCTTCAAGTTTAAAGTGTAAATTCATAATTTACATTCCCAAAATGTATAATAAATTAATCGTAATTTACTAAATTGTTTACTATCGAACAGAATGCCCGAATCAAAAGCGAAGTACGAGTCATGGAACTAGGGTGTACGACAAGGAAAAGTCTCGAGCTCACTTTTATTCAATCACCCATTCGACTTTTTGAAATACACAGTTACACCAAATGTTACTATGGAAGTGTTGTACTGCTTAAAATCCTTTTATGTTTATGAATTTTTGCGGGTTAATTTTTCTATTAATATGGTAATATTTTAGAATTTAACCTCATCTAAATTTTTAACCTAATGGAAATCGATTATCATTATATTTATTTTTTCTCAGACCAAATAGTTTTTAACTACGTAATAATGTTTGCAGTAATTCACCTTTTTGCAAATTATATTCACGTTTTTACACAAAAAGAATCATTCTTTTACAAATTACATTCACCCTTTTGCAAATCAAATTCTTCTTTTGCAAAACAAATTAATCTTTTTGCAAAGTACATTCACTCTTTTACAAATCAAATTCATCTTTGCATAAAGCAAAGTCCCTCTTTTACAAATAAAATTTATTATTTTGATAATTAAATTCACCCTTTTCTAAATCAAATTCATCCTTTTCAAAATCAAATTCTTCCTGTAGCAAAACAGATTAAACTTTTTACAAATTAAATTCACCCTTTTACAAATAAAATTCAACCTTTTGGAAATCAAATTCACTCTTTTAAAAATAAAATAAATTATTTTGCTAGTTACATTCACTCTTTTCCAAATCAAATTCATACTTTTCCAAATCAAATTCTTCCTTTAGCAAAACAAATTAATCTTTTTACAAATTAAATTCACCCTTTTACAAATAAAATTCATCCTTTTGTAAGTAAAATTCACCCGTTTTCAAACTGAATCAATCTTTTTGTAATTCAAATTCATCCTTTTACAAATAAAATTAACTGTTTTGCAAATCAAAATCACCTTTTTGTAAATTAAATTCACTCTATAGTAAATCAAATTATTCCCTTTTGCAAATTAAATTTACCCTTTTGCAAATTAAATTCTTTCCTTTGCAAAGCAAATTCATCCTTTTGCAAAGTAAATTCTCTCTATTGCAAAAAATTCATCCTTTTTAAAAGTAAATTCACCCTTTTACAAATAAAATTCACCCCTTTGAAAAGAAAAATTAACTCTATTGCAAATAAATTCAACCTTTTCCAAGTTAAATTCTCTCTATTGCAAATGAATTCATCCTTTCAAAAATTCCTTTCACCCTTTTACAAATAAAATTCAACCTTTTCCATGTTAAATTCTCTCTATTGCAAATAAAATTAATCCTTTTGCAAAGAAAATTAACTCTATTTCAAATTTAAAAAAGTAAATTCATCTTTTTACAAATAAAATTAATCCCTTTGCAAAGAAAAATTAATTCTATTGCAAATAAAATTCATCCTTGTAAAATTAAATTCACCCTATTACAAATAAAATTCATCCCTTTGCAATGAAAAATTAACTCTATTGCAAATAAAATTCAATCTTTTCCAAATTAAATTCTTTCTATTGCAAATAAAATTAATCCTTTTGCAAAGAAAATTAACTCTACTTCAAATTTAAAATAGTAAATTCATCTTTTTTACAAATAAAATTAATCCCTTTGCAAAGAAAAATTAACTCTATTGCAAATAAAATTCATCCTTTTAAAATTAAATTCACCCTTTTACAAATAAAATTCATCCTTTTGCAAAACAAATAAGTCATTTTTGCAAATAAAATTCACCCTTTTGCAAATCAAATTAATTTTTTATAGTATAGTTGTTTAGTAAGTACAAAGAGTGGCAATTGACAATAGTCACCCCCGGTTTTCTCAAAACCTACTACCATCTATTATAGATTTCTTACTAACTTATTAATATTATTGGATGTTTTTTTAAAACCTTATATAATATATAGAATTACTTGATTCCCAAAAGAGTAAAATTGACCCAATTTAAAAGGGTGAGTTTAATTGGAAAAACTGATGATGAACGTAAACTTGAAATGTGTGGTGATTAGTGACCGTTAATCGATATTTATTTAGAAATCGTGAGATGCGGTCTGGTGTGATGTAGGTTTCAGAAAAACATTTTCTTTATCGAGCCAACGTTTCGATCTTTATTGAGATCATCATCAGGGCCTGGAATTTACAAACATTGTTTACATATAACAATTACATTTTGGATGTGGAAAAGTGAATGCAGTTTTTATTTTATCCATTCTTTGCTGTTTTCCAAAAACTTAGTCGTCATTCATTGTCGTTGTTCAATTGTTTCCCACTGAAATATCACAAGTTCGATATTTTAATAATTGCGTAAAGCTTAAACTACTCTGATCGTAAAGGGTGGCGACCAAGGTTAGCGTCTTTTCCCGTTTCCCAGTCGGCGTCTTAGATTACCCAGTTAAAAACTTCGGTTATTTTCGCCGTTCTATTTATTCGCCTGCCAGCGGCTGGACAAAACGGAACAGCACTATCCCCTGCTAACTTCTAATTTCGATTCTCGTTAATTCGCCTCGATTGCTCGAGTCGATCGAATTTGTCTTCCTTGGTCCACCGTCTATTCGCACCGGCGAGCCCCCCTTTCCGCTTTGGGCCATTGCCAACGGGGACAGAAATGCTTAAACGTCTCTAATAATGAGTCTTGGTGTTTTACACGGTGATTTCTACTACGGTGAGCACAGTCATAAAACGTACCATTGACCTAGATTTAAATAATTGCCTATTTTTAGCAATTAGTCACACAGCTCTGGGTCAAGACGTCTCATTGAAATAGCTGGTATGACAGAACAACGATTCAAACTATAGTTTACACCTCGATGTACATATTTTCTTAAAATATTATGATTTATAAACTTAATAACGAACACTCAAGCTCATATGCATAAAACGGCATAACTATTAATGTTGAAGACATGAAGAAAAGGATAGCTATAAAACTTACTGAAATATAGTAAGGCCTTAAATCGACTAATGCAATATCCGTAAAAATATCTTATTTATATCCGTAATAAAATCCTATTTAATAGTGCAAAATAACAATTATATTCAATAATTTAACAAATTCGGTTTTGAAAATTACCATGGATGGTTTATCTACTTAAGGATACGAAGGAATTCAAAACCATCTTGTTATTTATATTTCAAAATAAGAAAATAAATTATTAACTCCACTCGTTTACATTCAATTAATTATTTAAAATATAATTTTTAACCGTTTATTTCCGCTTTATTTCTCCATTTTCATAGCTAATTGACGATTCGACGGGTTTAAGTTTCAACCGGAGTCGCTTAATGTTTACCGTAGGTTTCTTTTTTATAAATAAAACGACATTGGTTGTATGCCAATTTCTGGTGAAATCCCAAGGGGGGAGGGGAACAATTAGTCCGGACACGAAATTTTACTTACAGTTTCGCAATAAAATAATTTTCAACGGTTCAACACGACAGTGAATAAACAAAAAGTGTTTGACCGCAAAACCTCACCTGTGCGAGGCGCGTGTATTAATAACAAAAGTTTTTCTTTTCTTCTTTTTTAAATTAGGTCTTTAGATACTGGCAGATAGTCAATAGCAACATCCTGAGCTGGGAAATATCACCTTGAGAATACTAAGTAGACACTGTCACATAAGGTTAAGCGTCTTTTTATCTACTAACCTAGTTTATTTATTAAATTCAAATTGAAAATTGATTAGACAGTTTATTCTGTGATAATTTGATTGTCAGGAACGGTACACAACTCGTCGGGAAATAAATAATCAACCATCGCTTTTGTCAAATTACAAAATGCATCTGCAAAAGCCCACTGAGGATAGTAAAACACACTGTTGGCCCAGACGGGATTACGTTTTTAAAAGTAATTTTTCGCCTTATTTGCATACTACACAAAAATATATGATGTGCTTAAATAATATGGTTATAATTATAAGAAACTCGTGAGGGATCTGGCCGCACAACGCATATCATAACTTCATTTCTCTTCACTTTTAGTAATTACACGTTGAACTGGCCGTGGGTCCGTCTAGACTCGTAGTTCAACATTTATTGCTGTACCCACTCGTAGACCAACTTCTACCATAAACTTTTCCTATTTATGGGCTATTATATATTCACTCATACATATTATTATTCAAATAGGGTTCGGTCTTATTTTATGCCCATTCATGGAAAGTACAAGTTCCTAACTGCCATTTCATAATTCCTTTAGGATTGTAGGACATTCACATTGGACAATAGCTGATGAATTTTCTTTCAATCCTGCCTGCTAAGCAGGAAAACTTTTAGCTCTATATGTAAGGTAGTTATCAGCTTTTGATTTTTAGACGAGCCATATTAATATTAGCCAGTGAAAAATTTCCTTCCCTCCGTCCATTTAGTCAGTTTTCAACGCCGTGATCTCAATTGTAGTTCTATCTTCTTAGGCAAATGGTTTTGACAGCTCATGTTGAAACACCAACATTATGGTTTATTCAATTTTAAGGTAATTTGAGAACGTTTAGGCAGAACTGATTGCTCTTCATCTCTCTTTGTTCTCTATTTCTATTTCTTTAATTTTTTCTATTCAGTCTCTCCCCCTCTCTCTCTACTCTTTCAATATTTTCTGTTTTCTATATTTTACTTCTGTCTACTTTCTTTCTCCACTCCAAATCTAATTTCTATCTTTGTCTTCTATCATGTCTCTCTCTCTCTCCCTGAATGTGTCCCCTTCTCTCTAGCTCTATCTTTTTCTCTTTGTTCTCTATCTTTTCTCTATGGCCTCTTTAGTTTTATTCTTATGTTTTTCTCTTTGTCCTTTATCTTTTTTTCTCATTCTTTCACTTCTCCTCTCTAACTTTACTCTTTCTATTATTTTCTCTTTGGCCTCTGTTTTTCCTTTCTTGATATCTACCCTCCTCTCCTCTTTCTCTCGCTCTATATTTTCTATATTTTTCGCTTTGCCCTCTACCTATTCTTTCTCAATCTCTCCCCTCCTCTTCTCTTTCTCTCTCTCTCACACACACTTATCTTTTCTAATTCTACTCTTTCTGTTTGTTTTTCTCTCTCTGCCATTTATATAGTCTCTCTCTCGTTCTCTCTAGCTTTTCTATTTACATATCTATTTGTGTTTTGATATTTGAGAGTATATCTATGCAGCATTTAGTTTCATCATGAGTATTTTCTCGCAAATAATTGTTGATATCCCTATGAAGAAATTATGTTCTTTTTACCCCTCCTCTCTCTTTTGTCAGAGACTCAAACTTCAAAAAGCGTGTTGGACAAGATTTATGTCAAGCTGATCGAGGATGGTTAGGGATTAAATTTTGAAGAAATTCTGATATATATGTTCATACTACAACCTCCTATATTTATTTTTAACTTGTAACCAATTTACTCTCGAACAAAAATAACAAAATGTATGTTTACAGTTATGCATGACCTCCCGGTCGTGCCGGTTTAGCATACCACAATTAGGTGAAAATCTTTTTTTTAAATTCCGCCATTAAACAAATTACAGTTGACTCTTGTTAATAAGAAACCCAAGGAACAACAAAAGTAATTCGAATTATCAAAAGGAAAGAAAAGATATTTTAAGAGTGGATATGCATATTTATGTTCTTACTTAGTTTAACATATATATATCGTAAAAATTGAACATTGTTATGCATAAAAAAAAAATCATGAATCAGTTTTTGTTTTGATGTGGCCTGGCGTCCTTTGTCTAAACGATTTTCCAAAGTGACCAGTAGTCAGTACTGAGAGCCCATTGACAAAACACCGACCGCCGGAGAGAAACTAGAGAAAATTCTAAGAAACTTTAGGCTGCGCACAATACATGGAATTTTAGAGGAACATTACAAAGAAAAAGTTCGAATTTAAAGAGGGGAAGTGGCTCCATTTGGATTTACAAAATGGTCTCTCACGAAAAATATTTCCTATTATCGAATGTATCAACATATACAGATTTTTTTTCGATTTACCAAAGTGACCTGTTGAGGAGTTCGTATTATCAAGAAATTCGAATTATCACTTTTCGAATTAACAAGAGCCGACTGTATTAGAACGACAATTTACGGATGTAAAGTAAAAAACACAATTTGAAAATTTGGGTTGGATTATTATTTCAACCTCAATATCATGTTATTACTGATTGATGCTTGCTGGTGTTTAGTTGAAGAAAGACGTAACGAATTGGACATAGTTGCGATTGTTATTTTTCTCTTAAATCTTTACCAGATCGGTTGAATATTATATAATAGCGTATTTTTGAAAAATTGCCTTTGAAAATTTTTTGTTGTTATTATCCTGTGGGATTTGTAAGCTTTTATATCTAACTGTATTGTCAATTGAATCTGCCTCATAAATCAGGCCAAATGAAATTAAACAACCAGATTTTTTTTTTAACTTTCACCGAATTTTGGTGAATTCAGCATACTTGTGATTTTGATCTAAACAGCCAGGCTAGGTTCAAAATAGAATTTCTGAAGGGTTTTAATGTTGCTTCGCCTTAAAAGCCCGTGCGATCTTTAGACGAAAATAAAAGGTGAAATCAGATATCTCCCCACGAATCCCTTGATGGTTTTGTCTAAAAGGTGTTTTATATGTAACATGTTTCTCACTGAAGTACAGTTAACGTGTCTTAACTTTACACCCAAGAGGTCTGAGTTGTATTTCGCTGTTTATACAATTTAAAACCAGGGCACCGGGTAAGCTTTCGATTAATAGACGTACCGGGATGGCTTCCGGGTGGTACATGAATAACGCTGGAGGCTGGGAGATGTCCTGATAGCGGGCGGGCATGGCTGTCACTGAACAGCGGCGGCCGGATTCCCTGCGCCCACCTCCACTTTTCATTTGGGGCGCCTCCAAAAACATCGGACGATCAACCCAGGGTTCTTCCCCAGCTGTCAAGAATAGCGTAGACGCCTCGGCCCTAGACACAATAGCTTATTGGTGCGGCCTATTAAAATGTTACCTCTCTACTTTCGAAAAATTGCATGGTGCAACTTCGTCAAAACCACCTATAAATGGCGGGGGCGTTCATCGAGCTAAAATTTATATTATTCTGAATTCAAAAGCCTTGAATGTTGGCCAAATTATTACAATAGCGTCATTTTTCAATATTTTATTTTAATATGGAACACAAGTCATCACGTTCATATTGCTACATATAATTTACACATAAACATTATAGTGTTTTTATAGGATTAGTCTTATCAGAGATTCTTGCCATCTTCAGTGTTGGGTTTGGTTTCTTAGTTCATCACTCTAACGACCCCATTGAGAAATCTCACAATATAATTAAATTATAAACGTTCTTCTATCTAAAATTAATAAATTTTATCGAATACAGAAGATTTGAATAGGTAAATGATTTTGTTAACTCGTTTTTTAATTTTTTTAATATTGGACATAAGCCACCACAATCAAATAAAGCATATGGTATTTTGTTAATTATTTTTAAGGTTTTTAGATTTTTAACATATTTTGTATTGTTTAAACATTTTTTTTTAATTTTGGAAAACAATACCATGAATTTTACACAAACAATTCATCCCAATAAGTTCGGTCTGCCTATCCTTGCAGGTTTGGTGTGTCAGAGACTTCTTGCCATCTTCAGTGATGGGCTTGGGGTCTTGGTTCATAACTTTAACCCATTGAGAAATCTCACAATATAATTAAGTATAAACGTTCTTCTAGCTTGGTTTTTGATGTATTTTGTTTTATTTAAACATTTTTTTTAAATTGTAGAAAACAATACCAAGAATTTTACATAAACAATTCCTTTATAATATCATTTTCCCCAATAAGTTCGGTCTGCATATTCTTGCAGGTTTGGTCTGTCAAAGACTTCTTGCCATCTTCATTATTGGGTTTGGAGTCATGGTTGATAAAGTTAACCCATTGAGAAATCTCACAATATAATTAAGTATAAACGTTCTTCTAGCCTGGTTTTTGATGTATTTTGTTTTATTTAAACTTTTTTTTTAATTGTAGAAAACAATACCATGAATTTTACATAAACAATTCCTTTATAATATCATTTTCCCCAATAAATTCGGTCTGCATATTCTTTCAGGTTTGATCTGTCAGAGACTTCTTGCCATCTTCAGTATTGGGTTTGGAGTCATGGTTCATAATTTTACTGACTTCATTGAGAAATCTCAAAATATAATTAAATTATAAACATTCTTCTAGCTAAAATTAATAAATTTTATTGAATACAGAAGCTTTGAATAGTTAAATGATTTTGTTACCTCCCATTTTTTAGTTTATAGATTTTTTAATATTGAACATAAGCCATCACAATCAAATGAAGCCTATGGTATGTTGTTGATTATCTATGTGTTTTTATTATATTTAAGCAAATTAATTTTTGAATACAATACCATGAATTATATATGAAAAATTATTTTATATATTATTTATATTGTTTTGCCAAGAATCTCATCTACCTATCCTCGCAGATTTGGTCTGTCCTAAAATCTCACAATATAATTTAAATAAAAATGTTCTTTGAGCTAAAAATAATATATTTTTATTGAATATGGAAGGTTTGAATAGTTAAATGATTTTATACCTCTATTTTTAAAAAAAATATTATTTAATATTAAGAAAAGTCGTTACAAACAAATTGAAGCATATGGTATTTTGTTAATTACTCATGGTTTTTAATGTATTTTGTTTTGTAAAATACCATGAATTATTTAATGATAGGTAGGAAATAAATTGTCTTTTCCACAATAGGTGGACCTATTAAGGATTTCCTCAAAATCCAGGTGAACACCATCAAAAATCATGAATTATACACCGAAAATTCTTTTATATAAAATTTATATTGTTTTCCCAATAAATTTGGTCTGCCTATCCTTGCAGGTTTGGTCAGTCAGATTTTTTCAGTTTCTTGCCGATTTTGAGTTTTTCATATTATAATACATATTATAATACATATTATAACTATATTAGCTATATTGTGTTTTATACCTTAATAAACAGTCTTAAATTTATTTAAAAAACACTTGTATATCAAGAGAAATTACTTTTAATCAATACAGGACAGAATCACTAATATGACACAGTTGTGATTATTGTATACTTATAAGCATCTATTTGCTTTAGCTTTTAAGTGGTCATCCAGTCTTCTCTGGTATACGTTTGAGGATTGCCAAGTGAGCCACAGTACAAGTTAGCCTCCTTGCTTCCTATGGCCATTAGGTTGCCAGGTCTCATCCATAAATCGATCACATGTGTAGGATACATCAAAGATTTAGGCATGTCAGCAATTCCTTTGCAATCTTCATCTGTAAACAAAATGTTTTCAAATATTTAGTTAAATCATCATCTGCCTCTAATAAGACCAGGATGATATATTAATTTTTGTTTAAAAATGAAAACGGTTTTAAGGCCTTAAGCAAGCATGGTAAAAAACATTAAAAAAATATAATTAATTAAACAGTTTACTGAGTTCCATGATGCAGAGTTCATTCCACCACTGGCCCTTGTTTCCACCCACCAATGTGCAAGGGACCTCTATTTTATCAGCTAGAACTTTAAAAAGTAGAGCCCTTTCTAATTTCATTCCGACCTTGAGCATGCCAAGTGGTATAACATTAGAATTCAGTTTATTCTGAAATATAAAACTTCAATAAATCATAATATACTTTCCTTTTGTTTAAATATGTATAAGCAACCTTTAGCTCTGCCAAGTACAAGTTGAAAGTGTGGTATGTGCATGGATCATTGTTTTCAGGGCCTGACATTTCATTAAAGACGATTTCAGCTATTATTTGAGCTCTTTTCATTGCCCAGCTTGCGCCGAATGGCTTAGGCAGTATCGGGGGTATTTTTCTATGATATATTACAAATGGATAATACCCTGTATAATTATATTGTTGCATTGCTTACATCTTTTCTTCCTCTGGCGGAGGTGTGAATGGTAGAGGAGGCTCGATAATCAGTTTAGTCCTCTTTCTATTGCTAAAAGTTATTTCTTTTACTACCTTTAGATTTTAAAATGTTTACGCATATATGAAAACAATGTACCCTTGACCCTCAGTTACTTTTACAGGCATTGTGGACAGTAGATCTAATCTTTTTGGTAGTTTTGCCATAGCACGAGCAAGTGCATTTCTGAAATTTAATAATAGAAAAATGTGAGCAGATAACATTTAAATAACTGAGGTTGAAATGTATGGTTAAACTCAAAAGTTCTATGCCATATATAAAATGGTGAAATTAGATGTTTGTTTTGTAGAGTGAGTTTTCATTATTTATTCAGAAATATTTTCAAAAGTATGAATTTTCTGTTGAATTCTTGTCGTATGAGTTGTGTATACAGGTTAGATGTAAGTAATTTGTCAATGTATAGCCCAAGATAGCAGACTACTATAGCTGGTGGGAGAGAGGTACTATTGTTGTAAAAAGCACGGACTTTTCTTTGAAGGGTGAAAAATACATGTTTACTTTTATTGTCATTTTCCACAGCTTGAATTACTGCTCAAGGGGTGTGACATGGATTTGTACTTTTCTGGTTGAAATGATGTGATATTTTTGATAGCAATGGATGGTGGTATCATTTGTATAGGTTATAAAGGATAATTTCAGAAATGAATGGAACATCTGCGTAGAGGATGTGTTCTAAGGTACTTTCTTGGGGTGCTCCTATATCTGTGTGATAGCCATCTGTTAGAGACGAGTCATTGATGACTTGAAATTTCGGTTAAGTAAGATTTTAGGATCAGGTAGTAGGTAAAGGTCTCTCCAGAGCAACCCCGTGTGCCATACTCGATTGAAGCCTTTATTCTGGAATATACTGGAGCAGCACTCACCAAGAGCAGTAACTATGACAATATGATGGCACTGCTGAATAATGGCATGATAATGTATGAACCCAAAAAGGTTTCGGCAATAAAAGATAGGGAGAATATAAATGAAATATAACTATAATTTGAAGATCATTTATCTTGTTGAAAACTGAACTGAAATTTTTTATTTGTAACAATTTATCATTTCATAGGCTAAACGCCAATAAAGCGTTTAGTTCCAGCTGTTTATAAGTTAATTTAGGAAAGCTTTGCAGTTACATTGTAAGCATCTTCAGCCCTTATACTAAATGCCTCCTCCTCTAATGAATTTAATAAAATAATTGCATTCAATGAAAAGAAAAGAAAATAAACCAGATAAAATGAGGATGTACTCTGTTTTTTGTTATTATATACAGGTTTCATCCTTCAGACACAGGAGGATGTCCATGAATGAACTTGAATAATTTTGATTAAACATCCACCTTTGTCTGAAGAATGAAATCTGTATATATTAACAAAAAACAGAGTACATCCTCATATTAACTGATTTATTTTATTTTCATTGAATGTAATTATTTCATTCAAACCATTAGATGTAAAGTTAAAGTTAGAGGTTAGTAAGATTAGGTTAAGGGCTGAAGATGCTTACAATGTAACTGAAAAGCTTTCCCGAATAAACTAATAAACAGTTGGAACTAAAGGCTTTATTGGCATTCAACCTATGATAATGGAGTTCCATCCCGCAAAAGTACTACAAACCTAGAAAAAATCATTAAATTATTGTTTAAAAACCTTACCTTACTGTAGAAAGTGTGTATCTTCTCATTGGTTCGCCTACTTTCAATGTTCTGGAACATAAAAATTTATTTCCACATTAAACTATATATTTAAATAACAATTCCATCACTGTTCCTGTTAAATCACATCTTAAGGTTTGATGGTCTTAAAATAGTTGTCTTTACTTTAGTATGGATATTTTTTATTCAAAATGGCCTAATTATTTGATTTGTAATTATTTAAATTCTATAGCTCATAAAGGTTTTGTTTCAGATTTTGTAAAGCAAACTTACGGAAATGGTTCTAATGTCTTCTGCAGCATTGACAAATTTGGTGCATTTAACACCTCCTTCAACTGTACTCTAAAAATTATAATAAAATATATTTAAATTATTACACAACGCTTTACAATTGCCTAGATATTTTCTCACAATTCTTTTTGATCAAGCTCATAAATTTTAGTGTTAAGGCAGGTAAGATAACTATTAAGATCTTCATCTCTTTCCCAGCAAATCGTCAACTCATTTGTCTTATTAATATAATTCTTGTCTTTCATTAGACTATAACCCAATGGGTGACAGCTGGATTTTTCTAGAGACAAATAACTTTATTTTAATCACATCTCATTTTAATTGTGTGACATTTATTACCTGGAAATTCTTTAAGAAGATTGATACATTCCTCATTTTGTATCTGTTTTTTTCTAATTTCCATTTCTTGTTCATAATGAATTTCTTGCAGTACTCGATTCTTTTCAAAGCCCACTATATACACGCTCAAGTCTTCGATATCTTCCATGGTGAAAGGAAGTGGCAAAGTGTTTGGAGGTCGGTTTTCTTTGAACACGTAGAATCCATCTTTGATTTTGTCTTCAAAACCCAGCCTTGAGGTGAAGGCAATTTTGGCTGGCAGGTAATACTTGTAAAATTCTTCGACTGTCGTTTTCATCGATGGCGACTCGTACCATATTGCCTTGTGTTTTACTAACCTGCAAAACGAACGTTTGAACTAAGGTGTTAAATTTAAAATGCGTTCTTTACCAGTTGAGATGGTCATTTTTCAAAAGTTGTAATTTCAAATATTCATCATGTGATATGGCTTCCATCATACAGTGGCACAATTTTTCCCTTAATGTTTGATTTTTTGTGGTCCACAAGACATGCTTCATGGTCTGCAATCCTTCATTGAGAAACAAATATTGACAAGCATTCGGTTCAGTTTTGATTAAGTACTCTAATGCTTCTCCAGCAACTATTGTAACATCGTACAAATTTTCATTTGGATCCTAAATATTTGAAGGATTAAACAAATAAGTACCTGTTGTAAAAGCAAGCATGTACATAATTTTTAAATTTATTTCTCATCTCATAATTCTTACAGTTATTTTTTTCCCTTTAGACAATTTTTTTAATCTTATTTGTTTCTACTTAGTACTTTTTGTGCAAAAATGTTTATTATTTTTATTATATTGTAAATATGCCCACTAATNATTATTTTTATTATGTTTATTATCTAGTTCTTGGCATATATGGTACATCCAAAGACCAACCATATGATGTAAATGAGAGGTCTGTCTACAATACTTTCTCAGAATATAATTTGTCTATCAAAAAACCTGGACCACTACTTCACAAATCAGAACTCTTTCCAGCAGGATATGGTAAATTCTTTTTAGCACTTTTATACACTCAAAGACAAAAAAAATTTAATTAAATTAAAAACGTATTATTTTAATTAAAACATACAAATTTTAATATAAACCAAATTAAATGAGAAAAAATTCATGAATTTTTTATTCATTTGATTTGGTTTATATTGTGTTATAAGTATGTTGTAATTAATATAATGATAAAAATACATATAGTTTGAAATAAACAATGAAATACAAGTGTCTGGTTGTTTGTCTTTGTGTATATTTTATTGTATAGGATGAAAAGCTATGTGAATTATTTTATATTGTAACGTAGGGTGTAAAGTTAATAGAAGAAAAGTGAATTTTGTAAAAAAAAGTACTGAAAATGTACCATGGGGATGGGATAATTCCCAGAAGTTTCAATTCTTAAACTCATCTGAACAACGTTGTGAGACAAATATCAAATTGCATGTATGCAGAAATTAACGTGCACTCATTTAAATTTAAGAAAGCTTTTTAGAAAAGAAAAAATAAACTTTGATTATGTAAGCATTCTGAAAATAAATTTTCCAATAATATACACAACCATGTATGGAAGCATAAATTGGTTCAGCTCTCATCTGAGAAAACATTATTTTCTGATTATTATAAATGTATATTAAATGGACTGTGGTCGCTGAGTGATTAAGGAATCTGACTGGTATTTGCCTTGTTAGCAGTTCTGGGACCAAAACCCGGCATAACTTTGGAATTTTGAGATTAATTTGGTAAAAGTATTTTAAATCTCCTCGTAATCATCCTCGAGTAGTTGATTGTTAAATCATCTTTTATGACAGATATTACTTCCTTTTTACTTTTTTTATTTGTAATTGTTGGACTTTGATCGATAATTGGATTGAAAGGTAAAATTTTACTTTAAACTGCTACCCAGTAATTCAATAAAATTAACGCTAAATGGGAGTTGGATGCTAAGCCCTTCTTTATTACATTTACTTTTTCATTTTTCCATCAGTGCATATTAATTTCCTATTAAAAATGGATGCAGCCAATTTTGAAACAGAAATGCTCTTCTATCTGATACTGGAATATTACTTTAAAAAAATTAAAAATTCTAAAATTGAAGGTATAAGAGATAACTTTACTTCTTTGTAAGACTTAGTAACATTATACTTAGTTGAATTCAATTAAAAATTAAGATCATTAGCATTAGATCAAAACCAGTATGTTTCATAACAAAAATATTTTTGTACCGGAGATGAATTTTAAGACATTTGAGGTTTGAATTGTAAGACAAATTGACCGATCAAAATTCAAATTTTAAGTTTTAAAATAATTTTATACCATATTATAGGGCAGTCACCTGTAATGCTTTACACAAGAAATCAATTAAAGCGAAATCAATAAAATGAGCTCTGACTACGTTGTTCTGCGCCAAAATACTAATAGTGTTTAATATAAGCCTCTTATTATCAGGCGACATTTTGTGATAATTCTCTTTCATCCATGAAACCAGATCATCCTAAAACATATTTATACATAGTAGAAATTATAAATAGTAATGTACTTTAAAGATCATAGACATTTCACCAAAATTCTGAATATAATTGTTAAAAATTAAACATTTTTAAAAGATAAACCTGTTGGTGATTGCAATAAAAAATAAAGAATTCAAATTAAAAATAAATTATTTTAATTGTGATAGTTTAAATGGAGGATTAAAATTAAATAATTGGTAATTTTTGGAGATGAGAGTGACATACATAGAAATTTATAATTTTTTTTTTTTAAAGATGTTTATTTTATTTATTGCTATCTGTACATAATATACATTGAGCAAACAGTTAGTTATAAACAAATCTGACAGACCAGGAGGCAGTAGGGAGAGAAACCAACTTTTATTTAATTGGGAGGGGGGAAGAAATTTATAATATGATTAAAGTTTGAATCAATCCGTTCTTATTCAACAAGTTTACTCATCACATGACATCAACACATATGTTTTTATAGATGAACATCTTAAAAATTCAAAATTTATTGGCAATGTAATAATATACAGTTAAATTACCTTTAAAGGGGACTTAGTACAATGCACCGCTATTTCAAATCTGCTGAATTTGATCAAGTTGTTAAACAAGGTATGGGCCATTAAAACCAGTTCATTCGGATTGCTCACATCTATGATCAAACCTGCCAAGGCAGGTATGTTGACGTGTTGTACAAGCTTACGAAGTTTCTCACGCTCGAGAGCAACTTCATTGATGAACTGGCATGCCACAAGTTTCATTGGAATTGTTCCATCCAACAAATAACTGCAACATTTTGGCAGCATTCCGAGTCTTAAAAGCATCTGAAAAGAGCAGTTTTGGAATAGTCGAGAGAACTAGTGAACGTAGTGTGTTTTACCCATTTCCCATAAATTCTTGCTGACCATTGGACAATAACATTCATCGCCTTGGCTACTAACTCATCATCCTCGATGAACTCAAGATAACCTACTAGTTTTTTAATCCCATCTTCTTTGAGTGATGCTACTCTTTCTTCATTATTGTACGAAGCCTGAAGAATGTCAATAACAAGTGGATGAATGTCCCTCCAAGCATATTTCTGAAATACTGATGATGTTAATTGAAGTTGGAAGATTTAATAAACCAGCGCATACGTTGAGAAGAATGTTGTAAATTTTATCTATCCCTCCTTCATCTATGAACAATTTTTTCAAATCTTCAGTTTCTGGTTGGTAAACCAACCAATGAACTAATTGCAATGAAAGTTTCTGGATTTCTATGTATTGAGATTCAAACAATGGAAAGAACTTATCAAACATAAACTCTGGACAATTTACAAACTTCTCTGCTAGTGATTTATCTCGGAAGAAATTTTTTACTAACTGAAAATAGATGCAAATTAGATAAGTATAGCAGTAAAAAATATATTGAAGACCTACGACTAAAGAGTTGTAAACAACATCAGGGTCCAGATGCTTAAGCATTTTTATTAACTGACTCATATCACAATACTCATCAACAAAAGTTCTGCAAAACTCAAGATCTTGTGTTATCTCAGTTAAAATCTTCGATGAAGCTTCTTTCCATTTTGCATCACCATTCTAAAAATGAAAGACATGAGTTTTGAACCTACAGGGACTTTAAAAATTTCAACCTCGCCATATGATTTAACAAGAAATCTTAAGAAAATATCATCAGTCTTTATATCTTCGTGACTGTCAGGATTTTGGGATAGTTCAGCGATTAACTTTAATGCCCTCAATGGTATGTACTGCAACTGTCCTTGGGCGTATACTTTTGATATTGCAATAGTGTTTTTGGACAACACGTAAGGAACAACTTCAGGAACTCTTTTTATGTAATCATAAATTGTGTCAATTGCCTATAATATTTTTTTCCAAAAATTAATATGAATTTAAATGCATTTGGATTATTATATTCATTATTATTTAGTAGATTAAGTTAAATTTATTTATTATTAATTTCATTGACTTACTCGGATAATCAATGGTGGTTCTTTGCATTTGAGTAATACAAAAAATGGTCCAAGTTCAGGAATAGTGAGATCTGCTTCTTCAAACTGATGAGGCAGTTTTTTTATTGATGTACTCCGCAACCCAGATTTCTTTGAGCCTCCACCCCCTTGTTTTGTAGAGGACCGCCTCGCCATTGATTGCCTTTTCCCACCAGTAGTGGATTTCCTTGCTACAGATTTCCTCGCTACAGATTTCCTTGTTACTGATTTCCTCGACATCTTGATAGAGTTTTATCTGATTTATTAACAATAAAATCAATGAATCACAAAAAGCAATAAGAAACAATAAAAAAATAACTATTTAAAAATAATAAAACTTTTCATATGATCTATTTGTTATTGAATTTAAATTTTGATTCACTTAGTAAAACGATTATATGTAATTGATACATTTCAATGTTTTAATATAATAAATAGTTTAAGATTTTATTCTTGAACCCTGCAGTTGTGTATATTTCGTTTGACTAGTTTATCTGGAAAATTGTAAATCCAGAGTAAAAATGGATTTGTAGAAACTTCTTCAGTGGTATTTCTTTTCTAGGTTGATGAATGAAAATGGTCATTCATCTATCATCCTGCTTGTCCTTGCTATTTTCGTCTATCCTATGAGTTCTGACATTCCACCATCTTTAGTGAAGGGTGGTATTGCATAACATATTTAATTTATTTAAAAGAATAAAACATTTATTTCAAACAATTTAAATTATGTTTTGAAAATCACATAGAAATATCAAACGTCATGAATTGAGCTCAGGACTGCTATTTAGAATAAAGACGAATCATTGGGTTAAAAAAAAAACATGTTTTGAAAAATTCTTCAGTGAGGATAATCTTTATGAAAAATTTTGCGATCATCCGGAATAATCTCATATGATTTTAAGGCTGACATTATTCCATCTTTTTATTATTGTATGCAAATAATAATTAAATATTGTTTCATACAACTACAGATATAACGGAATTTGTGTTGTTTAAGGACCAATAAAAATAAAAAAACAGGTTTTTTCAAAAAAATTCATAAGGTATAAAATTTTATTTTTTAATAATACATATCCCTTATAATTAATGTTCAATCACAATCAACTATTAAAAAATACTGGGAAAACATTATTTTACATTTTGTATAAAAAGTAGTACAAATTTAAAATATAGTGTATTAACAAAATTATATAACTATCACTATTTATTGTTTTTATGCAATATGGCTTTTTGCATCAGTCTTTTGACCACATAGATCCTCTATCACTTAATTAAAATTAAATTAACTTAATAATACGCTTTTAGAAACATAAATCTGAAATCTAAAGCTACAAAAATCACAACTTTTAGGAAAGCACTGAAATATAAGTATGATGTGCAGATTCCAAAATCAATCCCTAACCATTTGTGTTGAAAATGTATATTTTATAACTCAATAAATTATTGCTTTTATTATAAAAATAAAGGTGAACACGATGCTTTTAAGGCAAACTGCTTCCTTTTGGAACTTGGATGATAGCAGGGTGTTTGTTCGATGATGGTTTTGTTGGGTTTTTAAGTGATTTTGTCCTCCCAGAAAAGTAGTCTTCAATGTCTTGCAACGTCCTGCCTTTTGTCTCTGGTAGAAATGCATAGAAGAAAATGGTTCCAAGGAGAGAAATCCCTCCGTACAACCAAAAAGTGCCATAACTGCCGATCCCATCATGCAACATAGGGTATGTCTTGACGACGAAAAATATAAAGAAATGTGCACTGCAGGAAGTGATTCCTCCAATAACTCCTCTTACCTACAAATATTTAAAATAAGTAAATAAAATTTTTCAAATATAATATTTGGACTATAAAAAACGAAGTTACAAACCTGGGTCGGAAATACTTCTCCAATCATAACCCAGGGTACGACAAGATAGCCCATTACAGAGGCTGCTGTAAAAACAAGTAGTGCGAACACTGGAACCCATGTCATTTGAAGAGGTTCACCTAATTCAATCCACCTTGCTTTGTAGTACATGTAAGTACCAAGAAGTACCATAGGAATACCACAGCCAATACCTAAAATATTATAAGTTAATAAATTAATTATATTAAATGTAACTCCTTGATAAATTCTTACTTGATATAAAAGTTAAAGGTCTTCTGCCACATCTTCTCAACATAGCACAGGAGACAATAGTAAATACTAAACGGACACCTCCAGTTATCACAGTTGCAACATTTTTATCAATTGAGGCTCCAGAGTCCTATAATATTAAAAAAAGTATAATTAACAAATCAAATAACAGGTTTTTAAAATATTTTCTTACTTGGAAAATTTGTACTGCATAGAACGTGATAGGGTTGACCCCTGAGAATTGATAAATTAAGAAGTAAAAAGCAAGTATGAAGAATGGTTTATAAGCTGAGGGATGGACTAGGCCTTTGAGAGTTTCTTTCAAAGTAGGTTTGTGTATGTTGTGTTGATGTGCAAAAGAAACCAGTTGGCTTGCTTCATATTCTACATCGCAAGTTGGCCCTCGTAATTTTTCCAATGCTGCTTTACAATCTTCCTCTCGTCCTGCTGACATTAGCCAGGAAGGTGATTCGGGTAGCAAGAATGAACCAACTAGAGCAATTGTAGGAACCATGCTGCTCAGCAAAGCAACAATTGGCCATTGGAATACGGCCCCCAATGCATATTCAATCAAAACTCCTGAATGTATTTCAATTAGACACTGTTCAGCTTATATATTTTTTCAATTTCTTTATACCAAGTGAGACTCCAACTGATGCCAGTGCAGCGAGCATTCCTCTGAGATGTGGCTGTGTTGCTTCTGCAGTGTACACTCTTGCTGGAGCACCGACCATTCCAGAGCCTAATCCCACGAGCAATCGTCCTGCATATACCATTGGGACCGTGGTAGCAGATGCAATCATCAGCCAACCGGCAATGAGTGGAAACTGGGTAAGTATGAGGATTCTTTTCCTACCAATTGCATCCATCAAGTAGCCACTCAAAATGCAACCAATCGGTGTTGTCACAGATGATAAACTTGCTATAAATGAGTATAAATAAATGTCTTGTATAATACAAAAATATATGCATTGGCTTACCAATCCATGATGCTTGGCCAGAATCAATCTTAAAATCACTGGCTGCATCTTGCATCTGTGGAAGAGCAATGGCAGAAAAGCCAAATGCCATTCCTGTGTTAATTGTACCAATATTGGCCAATAAAGATGCACAAACCTGTTGTAAAAAATAAAAAATAGTAATTATATTTTAGGGTATACAAAAAGTTATTATAATTTCATTGATAATAATAAAAGTAGTATAAAACAAATTTATTCTAGATTGGCATATAGGAAATGTATTTTTCAATACATTAATTTTTTATTTGTTTAGTTGTCATTTAATTCTTAATATTGTCATATTGTTTTTACATAAAAAGTTCCAAGTCTAAATAAGATGAGAGGCAAGACATTAATTACAATCAACTTTGTCTTTTGTTGTTTTTCATCTAGAGGTTGCTTCTTTTTAAAGATTTTGCAAGTTACTTTTTTTGTTAAGAACAATTACAACCAGTTGTCTTTTTTATTATAAGATATATTTTTATGTATTTATATTTCAAAGCAGCCCTGCTTCCTCTTCAGCATACAAAATCTTTACAATATGTCAGGTGCATCTAATAATTTTTTTTTTGCTCATCAAAGAAAATTACCTGTCGAAAAGAACTCCCTCTTTTCCTTTTGGCTCCAGGAAGCAGGAGTACGGAACCCTCTTTGACCACCTTGTCCACTATGATTTTTGGCCCGGACGGGCTCACTAGTGCCTTGAGGCTCTCCAGATCTACGATGGAACTGTTCCCCTTCATACTGCAACAGGAAGGTGCAAATCCGTCATGATATATCAATGTTTGAAGCATTGATAGCTTTATCTAGACCCCCCAGGGTCAAATTTTGATAAGCAAAAGGGGTCTTTCATCCTGCTTTTTCAGACCTTAATCACAAAACTTGTAATAAAATACGTAATATTCACACACAAAAAAAAAAATCTAATCACTGTAATATAATTTATCTTAAAATTTTTTTAAATTAACTTGATTAATTTAGATATTGCATCATAGAAAAATGATTATCTAAAGTTTAGGTTGAATGGTGTAATAGAGCATAAGCTAACTTTCAAGTCATTTATACTGAATCTTCTACTTCATAGTTAAACTATTTGCAATAAGTGTGAATTATGCTTCAAAAATTTGCCAATAAATATAAAGATTTTATCTGAAGAAATTTAATTTTTTTAAATGCGAAATACACCTTGCACCACAAATGATTATTAGTTTTAAATAATATATGTGTATGTTCTTTCATGTGTGGTTGTGATAATTTAAACCAACTTAATCTTATTCTCCAATATTGGCCAATTATGTATAAACATTAAAAACAACATTTAAACTTTTAAAACAGTCAATGAAACAAAGAAATGCCCATGAATGTATGAAAAAAAAGGTTTATTCCAAATTGATCTAATTATCCAAAATTTGCAAAACACAAATTATTTTGGCCAATATATCGTCTTAATGAGTAAGAGAAAAATATAAAAATTATCTTATCTTTTTGACCATTGTTAACATTAACGTATTGCTGTAATGCCAAGGGAAGAAATGTTAATATTAACAATAGTAAACAACCAGTTGTCTAAAGCTGATAACATTTTTTTCTTTTTTAAATGTTTTTATTACCAAATCAACAGACAACTTATCATGCAAGGTATTTCTTTTTCAATGGCTTTTGTACATAGAAACATGACCTCATTAAGCTAAAATACACTTATAACACAGTTTATACACTTTCAATGATTAGGAGTCTATTTTTATTAAATTTTGAAGAATACATGACAAGATAAAAGGAGTAAATTTTGAATTAAACAGCTCTATTTAATTGAAATAGTTTTAAAATGAATTTTTTCAATTTTTGGCGGATGAATTCCTGGATAGTTGGTTCTTCTAAGTCCCTATCTGGTCGGTTATTCTTGACTTTACTGCTATTTTTAACACTTTATTTTGAAACCCTTGCATTCTTTTGAGTTTAGTAAAGTTTGGAGAAGTGCAGTACCTACTAAAGTGAAAAGCTGATAAAAATACTGTTCCCCCACAGGAAGAAAACATAGCTTCTAGTATCTTACACACAATAAAAACTGCTTTGAGAATTCAAAGTAAAACATCTTTAATTATTTATATTTTGTTCGATTGTTAAAATTAACTTATTGCTGTTATAGTGAGAAAAGAAATATACATTGTATTGAAGATTTTAAGAACCCTTCTCTTGCATAAAAGCTGCTGGCATAAAAGTCGGGATAGAGTAAAAGTAAGGAGGGAAAACTCATAAGGTGGGGTTGAGATGGGGAATCCGAGTGGATCGAGGTCACGATAGCTCAGGTGGTAGAGCTGCGGCGTATCAAGCCAAAGGTCATGGGTTCGAATCCCTCTCGTGCCATTAGCTTTTTTTCATCTCAACTAAAAACCTTAATTAATTATAGAGTAAAAGGTTCAGGAGAATGTTAAGCCCACATTTATTTATTTTCAATTTCCTGGGGTTCAATTGCACCTCATTGTTATATTCATTAATATACACTTAAAGACAAAAATAAACCGAATACTGGACATATTTTATTGTTTATTTGAAACTGTATATATTAATATCATTACATATTATTATCTTGTGTATATGTTATTATTATATTAATTGCAACATACTTATTTTGATATAAACCAAATTAAATGAGACCAGAAATTCATGTGTTTTAATAAAAAAATATTTAATTATAATGATTTGAAAGAAAATACACCAAAACACTGGAAAATCATTTAGTGGTAGTAAAAATGAAACTAACAATTTTTTTTAAATCTTGTTGTTCTTATTGGGCTATTGTCTTTATTGCATTGTTATGATTAATAAATGGTTAGTTAAATTTACTCTATCACTAAATGATTTTCCGGTGTTTTCATAAAGGTTCTTTCATATCATCATAATTAAATATTTTGTATTAATGAAATGATGAATTTTTTATATGGGGCTACAGCGGTTTAGCCGTTGACATGACGCTCATGCTGTAAGGTAAAACTCCCAAGTTTGAATTCAGGGCCACTGGATTCGAACCCGACATACTTACAAATGGGCTTTTTTTCAAAATCACCGGCACCCTGAGGGTTGATATATGGGCCTCACTGTTGCAAACTTTTATAAAAAAAAAAGAAATGAAAAAAAATTATCTTGTTTACAGGGTTCCAACTTGCTAATATCTCCCCCCCACCAAAAAAAGAAGATCTCATTTGATTTGGTTTACATTAAGATAAGTATGTTGTAATTAATGTACGATAAAAATACATATTAGTTTGAAATAACAAAATTCGAGTGTCTGGTGTCTGGTTTTTTTGTCTTTGAGTACACATGATTGTAATAGTTATCAATTGAATTGCCCACATAAATCTTTCTTTTTAATAGGCTTCATTACAGATTATAGCATTAAAATTTTTTTACTGGGAATTTCATTTTATAAATTGCAATTTCATGATGTACTTTAGATATTCAAAAAGGGAGATTTCCTCTCGGGTCTGAAGGGTAATAAAATTCTTGAGAAAACAAATTTGTTACGAAAAAAGTCCAAACTGTATTTATTTAATGATTATTCAGAAATCGTGAGATGCGTCTGGTGTGATGCAGGTTTCAGAAAAACATTTTCTTTATTATGCCAACGTTTTGATCTTTATTGAGATCATCTTCAGGGCTCAAAGTGTTTCTTTTCTGTGTAATTGTGCCATTCTTGCGTGTTGAGAGTGTGTTTATTTATGTAGTAGAACTACTGCCAGTAACATAAGCCAAGCATATAGGGAAATCTATAATACATATTATTTTGTCTCTTTTTAAAATTGACCTACGGTAGTTACTCCAAGAAGGAATTGTCCATATAAAAAGCTAATCATATAACATATATATTTCATGGCAATAAAGCTTATTAAAGAGAGAAAAATATAAGCAATTATTTTTAGTTTCAATACTTTAGTATTAAAAAATGTCCACATTGTGGCCATATCTGGAGAGAGTGGAAATATTGGCTAGGCTGTTTTTTAGACTTCCTTTCCGATTTAGACACAAAAAATTAGTTTGGATATTTAAAATTCGTTTCGGATTGATTTATTCGAACTCTCAACCACCCCGTCGTTTTTTTCTTCAGGGCAGACCCGGCGGTTCACTGTCTGGCGTCGGTCTAATTAGCGGTCAGGGGATGATTTTACGTTCGACCCGGCCGGGTGCTAATCGTTTCCAACCTCGTGTAAAAATAAATTCGTCTAGAAGCTTTACTGGTAAACAGTACCAAGCTGGCTACGGTTCAGGAACTCGGGCACGTTTCCATCACGTGCGGAGGAACACCTTTTTTCTCTCTCTCTCTCTTTCTCACTCTCTATCTCACCCTTTTTATCGTTGCTACGCAGTTTGATGTTCGATCGTTCACTCATGTGGACAGACGCGCTTTTAGAAGAAACTAAAGAGGAGTAATACATCGACCGAGTTTACAACTCAACAAAGGGATAAAAATCCTTTAAAAAATACACTTGATCTTATTTATTGATTGATAGTAAAACTCATAAAATATTCACAAACAAACGTTATTAAGTGTTAAAACTGTCTTGAACTTTCAATATATTTTAAAGTTACTTTCGGTTTTGTTTACTATTAGTCGGGAAATAATAAAATAAGCCAGTCTAGGTTCAATATATGACTAGAATCCTTGGAAATCAACAATATTCAATTTCGTCCACCAAATCTTTTTTTTTGAAAATCATACTCGGACAACTTTCCTTTTAACAGCCTCCGCTCATTTTCTTCGGCCATTTAATAAAGACATAATAGGGAGAAAGTGGTCCTTATAAGCATTAATCCCTAATTCCCAAGATAGAATATTCAATATTGTACTATAAAGTAAGAAATACAATCTATAATAAACAGACAAATTTTTTATTCAACAGTGAGACCGACTTAAAACAGGTTTGATAAATTATAATTAATTAACACTGATAAAAACTTCAAGCTATATCAAATAAAATCACGCGAAAAAAATAACAAAAATCAAAAAGAAAGTGAAAATTGCCAACTTCGAACCCTTCGAGGTCGTACAAGTCGTCAAAGCTTTATGCACTTACAAATAAAAAAAATAAACAATCCAACTAGGACGCACTTGATTTGTCATTCTAATGCCATGAATATTATCTCTTCACTTTCTCTAGTTTTTCTTTGTCTTGTGCGATAAGCGTTTTTTCGTTGTGTCGGGTAAGGGTTTATACATAAATAAACGTCTTGGATATGGCCAAAAAGCCACATGAGAATTCTTCTTGACCAGGTGAGGGTCAGAATATGCTCGCTTATTTTTAAATTTGATGATCATGTTCAAGAATTAATGAGGTGTTTTGTGTTCAACATATAATAAAGCTTCATGTCCTTTATTAGATTCCTATTATTCCTTTGTTTACATTATTTTATAATTAATCTGTAATAATCCTGACTAGATTCATTGACAATTAGGGATCGAAAAAAACTAGTTTAAATTGAATGCCAAAAAAACATTGCTCAATATTTTCGGCATGACACATCTAGAAGAATCTGCAAGATCGAGACTGACAATCGCAGACGAACGATCTTTCTGTCCAAATTTACTCAAAGATTTTGCAATATGGGGTTCAAAGTTTGTCGAATCGTATCAGTAAAAGATTCTGTTTTATTTAGATTAAAATTTGATTGAACGCCACCAATCAACGATACTTCAAAATTGATACTATCAATCGCAGGCGAGAGGTATTTTTTCCAAATTCGCCAAATGTCATCAATAAGGGATACTTTGAGTAGAAGTTCGAAAATTTGCATGACATCAATTAACGATAATTCAAGATTTGTACTATCATCCACGGACGAGCATTCTTTTCCCAAATTCACCTAATATCATCAATAAAAGATTCATAAAGTAAAAGATAAAAACGTTTCAGTAAGATTGGTATTATCAATCGCAGGCAAGCGTAGTTTTCTAAATCTGCTAAATATCATCAATAAAAGATTCATGAAATAGATCGAAAGTTTGTTAAATATCAAAAATTAGGTAATTTCTCATTTCGAAGTAGGATATTGAAAATTTGCTGGAAATCAATCAACGATTCTTGAAGATGGTATCAATCACAGACGAGTGTTCTTTTATTTATTTTCTAATTGGCAATGACATCAATAAAAGATTCATGAAGTAGGAGATTGAAAATTTGCTGGATAATTTGTATAAATCAAAGATTTTTCAAGATTTGATCCTATTAATCGCGGACGAGCATTCCTTTCATTCTTTTTCCACAATTGACGTATGGTATCAGTCAAAGTTTCCCCAGGTGGAAATTTCTTTTCAATTGTTGAATAATGACGGCTATAGTATATTCTGTTACATTGATAATTTATCAACGCAGACGAGGGACTATTTTGAAATTCTGAAGTGAAACTTTAGGGTTATTTTTTCAAAATTTAGTTGTCATACCTATCACATAATCTGAAATCTTGAGACCTGATGTGAGCATTCTTTGTTTTTGTTCCGACACAAGAACACATGCACACTGCAAAATTGAGAAATTTTAACAGAATATCTGTCAAATTGCCTTACCACCTGCAAAAGATTCAAGATTATGACGACGTTCTCTTTCAAAGCCTATCGAAAAATCCTGCAAAATTTCATTTTTATGGCGTATTAACCGTTAAAAAATATTCACAGTTGATATGATAAAAACCCACGTTCAGCAGTCATAATGCTATCACGACCGGCTTAGAAACAGACCAGAGTGTAAAATTTTTGATTACTATTTTGTCAAGCGAGATAAGCTGAATTTAGATCAAATTTAACTTCCGGCTTTTGTAAAAGTCACTCAGGGGAGTCAGAGCGGACGAAAAAGCGTGGGAGAATTGTCGGTTTACTTTGAAGAGGGTTGCATGCACAACTCAGAAATTCTTGGATTTTTAGATTAAGCTAATTTTTTTTTTTCAAAAGGGTTTATGATAGGGAAAAAATTATAAATTTAAAAGTTTTATTTCAATTTTTTTTCTACAATTTTTTTTGTTATTAAAAATTGCAAATAAAACAATGTTGACATTTTATCCAAAGAATAGGTTTTGTTTTTGTATGTGTTAAATATAATTTTACTTACCCCATTGTTAAGAAGTTCCTATTCTTTCAGCTTAAACTAACGAGATCTTGTTACGCGACTTATTTATTGTATTTGAGTATGGTTTTTTGGAAGGTGTTTTATCATGTTATTTGATTTCGCCTTTACTATCTCCACCAAGGACACCAACGCTTTGTCGATATTCTTTTCCTAGACGAAAACGCTTCTTCTTTTAACATCACTTTTCTCCCTACGACTCGTATCGAACTGTCGGCGGGGAGGGTCGCTTCCCATTTATAAGAACGGCTTCCCCCCTCTTACGAGTCTCCTTCTTTTCAAACCAAGACCCGTACGAGTACGGCCTGGCGGTGAAGAGCACGGACCTTTCGGCAATTTTGGATTACGACCTTTGACATATCTTGAGCTATATGTAAAAAAAAAATTCACTTCGTGCATCTATACTCCATTCTAAAACAGCCAAAACGTAATAATTCTCGGCTCCCGTTCAAATCTTAAAGAAATATCCTAAATACCCTTTTAAGTTTTAACTGAGGGTAGCATATTAAAAATAAAGGCGCATAAAAGCCCCATCATCCCTTCGCGTGCCAAACTTGCAATGATTCATCGTAGATCAATAAGAACGCTTTGAAAATGGCGTTTTTTTTTTTGGAAGTACATTACAACTACCTTCAAGTAGGTAACATGTAACAATGAGAAAGGAAATATACACAAAATTAAAAACAAGAATGGAAAAAATACCCTTTGGTATTACTCCAAAGATACCATCACTGCCTAGACTTTGCGGCCATTGTCTTTTCAGTTGGCGAGGAGGGTTCGAGGGAATTCGTCGGATGTGAGATTTCTTCGTGCTGATTTACAATGGTTGTTGTTTCGTGAAATTACGGTAACGGGAACGGATTTCATCTTGAACGAAGGGAATATTTAAGTCTGTATGTTAGATTCACTAATTTCGTGGTCCGCTTGACCAATTAACATTACAATTAATTAAGGTTTTTAGTTGAGATGAAAAAAAGTTAATGGCACGAGCGGGATTCGAACCCACGATCTTCGGCTAGATACGCCGCTACTCTACCACTTGAGCTATCGTGACCTCGATCCACTCGGACATCAACTTCCTATCTCAAAACCCATAAGGTGAGGTTGAGATAGAAAGTTGATGTCCGAGTGGATCGAGGTCACGATAGCTCAAGTGGTAGAGTAGCGGCGTATCTAGCCGAAGATCGTGGGTTCGAATCCCGCTCGTGCCATTAACTTTTTTTCATCTCAACTAAAAACGTTAATTAATTGTTCTGTATGTTAGGTTCGACATAAAATGGAGGATCTAGTTTTTATCGTAGTATTAAGGATTGGGCAGTTTGAATGCGACGGATGTTGGAAGGTTTGGCTGAACCCCACACTTCCAGTCCGTAAGTCCATATCGGCTTAACTATGGTGTTTTGTGGCTGTTGTTTTATTTTTGAGAGGTAAATTAGAACGTTTGTCAAGAAGTCGTGCAAGAGCTCTATATCGTGTCATAACCCCCTGACGTTTCAGTCGTGTGTGAGGATTCCATGTCAGGCGTTTGTTGATGTACAGTCCTAGGTACCGCATCTTGTCCGTAGTTGGGAGGGGAGATCTTTGTAGGTTTCCTGTGGAAATGACAGAATCGGAGGTGGTAGAGAGAATTGCTGAATCGTCTGCAAATGTGAATGTGGCGGTTTGGGGATATAATGGATGCTGTGAACACCTGTATAGTGTGCGGCCAGAACGCTACCCTGAGGAACACAAGCACGGATAGGAAAATATGCAGAGAGGGAATGGCCTTCGATGACTTGGAAAAACCGGTCAGTGAGGTACCTGTGCAGTATGAGAGGAGAGGTGGATGGAAGGATGCGTCAAGACTGCAGAACAGTACTGGCCCATCTCAAGGGGGGAGGAAATGTCTACCATGCGACGACACTGTCGGACAGTTGAGTCATATTTATGACAACAAAATTGATGGTCGAGGATTATATTTTGAGAATTTAGAATATGAGCCTGTTTGATTCGGATTGTTTGAAAATGAGTAATCGAGGTGCAATTCGATACACAGAAATATTAACTGTGCACAACGTCGTCGGTCCGCTATTAAAATCTCCTTTATAAAAATAGTAATATACCGGTAAAAATGCGTTAAGATCATCTCGACAACGTTAATAACAATTCTGAAATGAAATTCATTTGGCTCGTATAAACAATAACATGGCACAGGAACATAGTTCTCTTAAAAATGGATAACACTTTAACTAAAGAAAAGTAATTCCTGTCATACGGGATGGTTTAACGTCCCACTGCCCGTTAGGTGTTTCGGACGAGGAGTCAGAACTTTATAACACTTTTTGCAAATTATTCTCCATTAAAATTTCATGGCCTGTGCCGGGATTCAAACCCAGAACCACTAGAGTGGCAAATACGAGCCGGACCACTCAGTCTCCGAGTTAGATAATATTTATTTATAAATCGTGAGATGCGGTCTGGTGTGATGTAGGTTTCAGAAAAACATTTTCTTTATCGTGCCAACGTTTCGATCTTTATTTAGATCATCTTCAGGGCTCAAAGTGTTTGTCTTCTGTGTAATTGTGCCATTCTTCCGTGTCGTGTCGAGAGTGCCAGGCAAATGTCAGACGACAAGGAAGAATGGCACAATTACACAGAAGACAAACACTTTGAGCCCTGAAGATGATCTAAATAAAGATCGAAACGTTAGCACGATAAAGAAAATGTTTTTCTGAAACCTACATCACACCAGACCGCATCTCACGATTTATAAATAAATATCGATTAACGGTCACTAATCAACACACACTTAGATAATATTGTTAGACAAGCACAATAGGTCATAGGTGGGTGTTTAAAACGTATGTAACATTTGCTGAAGGTAGATGGATAATTAAGTGCGCTGATAAATACGTGATAGGCAGATGGGTATGCAATGTTATGTTTGGAATGCGTCTAATGCATATGAATTTTTTTTAAAACAGTAGCTGAACTTTTTCCGAAAATTTGATATTCCTCTGTCGTTCTTCAACTTCTTCACCGAACTTGGAGAATGAGAGACCTATGAATGTATTACAACTCGTAAACGGCCTGTCGAAACTCCAAACTCGTTTTATGATCTCCCAATCGTATACCACTTTCCACTCATATAAAGTACGCCAATATTAAGTTTTCATGGTAAAACATTTTGTTTATCAAATTTAAGGTTTACATTTACAGTTTTACAGTTTATTTGATAATTTAATAGTTTAAACTGCTCTTAATGGATGGTATACAGAGTTCATTTGATCGTTTTCCTGATCCTCCCAGATTCTAGTATACACTATTCGCATTCATAAAATTATTCTTTAAACTGTAAATGATTGAAAGTGTTAATGTTAATTAATTACCGTGACAATACACATTTTTACAGCACCGAGAGAGCGCAATGAAACATCTTGGCTTTATATGATCGAACAGTCGGTTCTTCATCTACCTTACAACAAGGAAAATTATGTCTTTAGTCCAAAAAACTTCGGTAATCATGAAGAGAAAGATTTGGAGCTTGATACACAAAGTCCAAACCAGGTAATCAACTTCGAGATTTTATTCTATTTCTAAGATATTTTTGCTCTTTGCATACAAAGCTGAGACAGATATTTTAGACGAGACGAGCACCGTTTCCGCTACCTCCTCTTCGAAGCAAGTCGACTGGAAAGATGGTCTTTTCCCTGCTGATGAAAAAGGCGATTCTACTGTCTGCGTTTACGTCCACATGTGTAATGTGTCAATGCAGAACAAAGCTGTCTATAATAATGCAATGGTAAGGAAGAGTTATTATTATCAAGATGAGAGCGGACCTTCAGTAAATTGGTGAAGTTCGGGCTTCCGCCACGTATTTTAATAATTATATAATCAAAAATATGCCTTACGTTTTCTCTCTATACTCTTATTCTGCATAAAAACCTAAATTGTAGCAAATGAGTTTCCACTGTTTGCTAATATCCAAGGGCAATACGGCAATAAATTAAAAGAGCCACGAGTTTAAATTTCACTTTCACGTGATAGATACCGAAGGCGAACGGAAGGATTCGAGCACAATTTCCAAAAATAATTTTTACTGTGACGATGTCGCAATAAATTTTTTTTTTTGTCCGCTCACGGATTACCGTATACAATTGTGTAAATAATTTTATCAAACGTTTTGCAGTATGTAAATTGTACGTTGTGGGTTCTTAAAGCAAGCCAGCCTTCTGAATATTTGAGTGGTTTTTCATTATTGTTCTCAGATGTGTAGAAGGAACTCTCATTATTGGTTTTCCTGTTTTGACATTTATTTAAACTATACTCAAAAAAAGGACACTTCTATTTTTATCGTTATATCAATTACAACCACTTATTTTAATGTAAACCAAATTAAACGAGATCAAAAATTCATGAGTTTTAATTAAAAAATTTTAATTATGACGGTTTGAACGAAAACACCTGAAAATCATGATTGATTAAAATTGAACTAACAATTTATTATTTATTATTACCTAGTTTTGCTCTTAATAACGCTCTTCTGGCCTCGCGGAGGGCCTTAAGACTCCTAAGAATCGAAAATTCGGGATTAAACGTAAACAAAGAAAATTATATATTAACGTGCACATAATTTAAAATTATTATTCTACCCTCCAGTTGCTATAATTCAGTGCTCAATAATATCAGTCTATATTTATATTATTTTCTTCTAAACAAATCCCCAAGGGCCGTTTTGAAACTCAATATTAGAAATAGATCAAACAACGTTTTAAAAAGAAATATGGTATTTTAATTAAATTTGGTTGGTCAGTAAATGCCACAATAGAAATTAGGTTAGAGAGATAATGACAGTCGTTTCGATTTCAAAGAGTTACTCATTCGTGATATGGGTCCGGACTTAAACCGGCTAATCTAATATAATTAGTCTGGCTAGTAATTACAAATATTGCATTTGTATATAATGCAATATTGATAAATTTGCATATAACTCAGATGATCATTTATAAAAACAAAGCACTATAACTAAAAAATTTTAGTACGAGAAGAGGTAGATCCTTAAAATTTTATTGCATTTTTTACGTAAACGAAATTTTGGTTATAGTGAGAAAATGACCCACCCGGGTTTTGGCTGTCTGGGGTCAGACTAAGGTCATATCCGTCCCGCGGCTGAACTTGAGCTCAAGGAGCAGTACAAAGTTAAGACATTTCAGGCATCAAGCCATCACTTTTTAAACGTAAACTCAATCGCTCTTTACATACATTCTTTGCCTATTTACATAGCATAACTTAGGGTGGTGGATATATTTATATACAGTTTTATGCATATTTTACATAAAACGAATGTATTGTTCTGGGTTTAAGCAGACTATCTCCGGCGAACTGGATCTTTTCCCATAACTTAAAATCGAAAATAAGCGGATTTCGTCTTGTGAAACAGAATTCCATTCTTCAACAAGATCGGTTTGAATTGGAGGCGGCGAACGATGTCTATCCCGTCTCTTTTCCATGTTCAATAAGTGTTCTATATGATCATGTCAGGAGTACGTGCTGGTCAATTGATTATGATAATCCCACTATCCTTTAGGTAATGGGTGACACATCGAGCTACATGCGGTCGAGCATTATTACATTCAAGCTATAATACGAAGTTCTCACTGACAAATGGACCGAATGGGCCCACAGCTTCCAGAAGGTCCTCATAGTATCTTAGAATAGTCAAAGATCGATTCTGTGTGATAATCCTTTGAAAAGGCTGAGACTGTTGGCACATGAAGCAAAGCGTTCTCCACGTCTTACCCCAGACCCGGACCCGGTGATCTGATTAGTACAAACGAACTGGCACTCAGTTATGAAGAGAAAAGCCCCAATTGTTGAAGTGTCAAAGCGAGATTTGGGAATTCCTTTCTACTCGATACTTCTCCTGTACTAGAGAATCGGAAGCGGGTCTTCTAGCGACTAGGCTTTCACGAAGACTTCTGATGTATTACCGACCGTTTGGAGTTGACCACCTACCAAAGAAGCCGTTAAATGACCGTTCTGTAGTGACGTAAAGGCAATAAAACGATCGTCTCTAATGGTCTTACATCGCGGTCGACCATTACTTTCTTCGGTAGTGACTTCCCCCTAAACCACTGTAGACCATCGGACCATGGAAGTTAGAATGCGGCACACCTTGGCTATTTAACAGACGCTACGTCCGTCGTTGGCCAAAACATCTGTCCGGGGGAGATCTTCTCGACTTAAATAATTTTTTTAAGAAAAAATATGTAATATAACGAATATACGTGCAATTGTCCATGAGAAAAACATGTATTGTCCAAATTCAATCCACACAATTGCAATTATTGACTTTGTGATTTGTTTATCGTTATTTCAAAACCTGATATAATTAGAAATTGCAATTGTTTGAATTGAAAAGGCATATCGGTTTCCTATTGGCTTACATGGTATTAGCCCGCCTCTCCTTCGAATTTGGCAATTAAAGTTGTTGCTACGATGACATTGTTTAATTATCTTTTGACCGCATGGTATTCATTTCAAAATCGGGTGGGTTCATGTTTGTAAGAAGAAGATAGAAACACCAACCAGATTAATGTTGTATGGTGGCAATCCATATAAATCCCCAGTACGGACACTTCACATTAGGTGACAGCATGTCGGGGACTTGGTGCTGGTGGACGAGGATGTTCAGGCCTTGTACGCTATTGCACGTCCGGGGATGGCCAGGCCCTCTATCGGCACGCGAAGGTTAGGGATGGTTGAATAAAACACTACACATACAGCAGGCAGTTCTCATATGGAGGGGGATCTCCCGGTCTCCTTGGGTGTCGGTGAACCCTGCTCCTTTGAGGGTACCGGAGGAAAGCTGGGTTACGATACTTCCGAGCTGAGAGTTAGTGCAGCGACCCAACCACCGGGGAGGCTGTCCCTGTAGTCACCTCGTGTATTATTTAGTTTGTGTTTATAATTATTATCAATAAATTCACTAATTTCGTGGTCCGCTTGACCAATTAATATATTACAATTAATTAAGGTTTTTAGTTGAGATAAAAAAGTCAATGGCACGAGCGGGATTCGAACCCACGATCTTCGGCTAGATACGCCGCTGCTCTACCACTTGAGCCATCGTGACCTGATCCACACGGACACTAACTTCCCATCTCAAAAACCAAATTCAAAAGGTGGGGTTGAGAGGGTCACGATAGCTCAAGTGGTAGAGCAGCGGCGTATCTAGCCGAAGATTGTGGGTTCGAATCCCGCTCGTGCCATTGACTTTTTTATCTCGACTAAATACCTTAATTAATTGTAATTATTATCAATGTTGGTGCTTTGACTTATTTAATATGTCCATTATGTTTAGGTGGTCTTATTGACCAAATTATTTATTTTTTTATGTAAGGTCTTGGTTGAAATAAAAAAGCTAGTGTCACGATTGGGATTCGAACCCACGACCTTCCGCTCAATAGGCTGCTGCTCTACCACTTGAGCTATCGTGACTTCTTAGTCTTCTAAGAAGGCAAGATAGCTCAAGTGGTTAGAGCAGGAGCGTATTGAGCCGAAGGACGTGGGTTCGAATCCGGCTCGTGACACTAACTTTTTCATTTCAACCAAGACCTTAGATAAAAAACATAATTATTTAATAACTTTTTAATTTTTTGACACCTTCCCGACAGAGATTCAACCCTACCCGAAAATGCTCTAAGATGAAGGAAAATTGGCCCCAAGACCTCATTGAGTGAAAATTGAGTAAGTTTCACTGTGAAAGTGTTACCACTGGGCAACCTCTCCTACAAGAAACTCAAATTAAAATTCAGCATATACGAACACATTTACGTAATAAAATATTTGTAGTTGTAAATGTCAAATAAACGTGATAAAAAAATTCTTTTTACAATTTGATATCACTCGATAAAATCACTATTATGATCGATAGTGTTACAAAATCAATTATTTTTTTATTATATAAAAAAAATCCATTCGAGGTCGTCATTCACGATCCGAGTAATTTATCATTATCAGCAAATATTTAAAAAAACGTTGTCAATTTTTGCCCTCTGATATATTTTACCAGCAAGATTACCTTAGTCGACAGAGTATTTTTTTTTAAAGTAAAATAAATAATCAAGCTATTAACACGAACGTCATCGAATCTTTCTGGGTCGCAAGATACATCTTGACCTAAGGTCCAATCATCATTACCAATAATCATATTTATGACACCTTTGACAAATTTAATTGAACTGAATCTTATCTATTTTTCTATTAAGTTTTTTATTAGGTTTTTTTTAATATACGTTATGACATAACGACGACATTGAGAGTAATCATGCGGATGCTCACAAAGGGGATCCGAGGCGTAATGGGATTATCAAACCGAGTCGATTGGTGAGCACGATTACTTCTGAATCATCCTGTATGCATAAAACGTATTTAAGTGGATTTAAACGAACGGCAGCGATAAGTGTCATGAGAGTTGCCGGTTTATCAGTGACTCAAGATTGATTCCCCTTTATTTATTTATTTTTTATTACAGAAGGATTTAATGTGACAAATTATAAAATTGTGAGATTTTCTTTGGTAACGTTTTGCCAGTGGAATAAAAACTGGAATAGTTTTCAACACAACTGCAAAGGAATTCACGAATTCAATCCTTGTTTTTTGGAATTTCCCACAGGCGGTGTAAACTATCGCGAATTGCGTCTCAGGAATAATCGCTTCAACCGATTAAGTTTTATGCTGAACATTTTTTCTTTTTAATTTTATACTTATATTTCAAGTGCTCTTTTCAATCAAAAGATCGAAGTGAAAAGTTGGCCCTAGATAAACAAATAAATTTAATTTTTTTATCATCAACA